CTAGTTAATATACCTTTAAAGTAAAAGAATTATAAACCTATCTAATAAGATATAATTAAGGAACTCTTGCCTATACTTCAGGTAAAGCTAGGAGATTTATAGAATAATTAAGATAAGAATAGGATAATAGCTCCCTAAGAGATCCTGATTATATAGTTAAAAGATCTAGAACTTTTAACTTAAAGAATACTAATATAAAGGGTAGCTAGTAACAAGCAAGCCTATAGGATACTATTAACTACTTTATAAGATTTATTTTAGAAGATATAATATAAAAATACCCATGCAAGTTAAATTTAGAGTAATACTAGTAAGAAATATCTAGCATGCTAGAGGTATACTTAAATAGTAGAGAAACTACCTAAATAAGAAGTAATAAAATAGCTTAGAAATAATACTAAATAAAGGTAAACTTATAAGAATAGATAATATATTAATAGTAATAAACTAATATAATATAATAAGGCTATTTATATCCCTTTTAATTAAGTAATATATTAAGAATTATTAAGAATATACTATAATAACTTATATATAGGCTACTTTAGTTAAGAGAAAATATTAAATCTTATTAAATAAAAGTTTTACTAGGATACCCTATAATATAATATTAAGAAATATATAAAGAGCTATCTAATTTATTAGAAAATAAAGATATTTAGATAATTTTTACCAGGCCAGCTTATAAAGCTCCTAGTACTAGAATATTCTTAATAGGATCTAACTCTAGACTTTATTATAGGCTTATTATTATTAATATAAAAGGGGCATGTGTATAATACTATCTTAGTAGTTATAGACTAATATATTAAGAGAGCTAAATACCTTTTAATAATAGAGAATATTAATATAGAGAAGCTAGCTAATATATTTATAGAAGAGATTATACTTAAAATAAGAGTATTAAAGAGCCTAGTAAGTAACTATAGCTTACTCTTTACTAGTAAATATTAGACCTAGCTATATTAAGGGCTTTAAGTTAAAGAATAACTAAGTACTATATTCTACCTATAAATAGATAACTAAATAGAATATTAAAACTAGATATTAGAGATCTATTTAAGGACCTATATTAATTACTAATAAACTAATTAAGTAAATTAGCTAGGCATGATAAAATTTATATATAATAATATAAAAAATATATTATTAGGAATATCCCCTTACAAGGTATAGTATAGCTACTAACTAATATTATTTAAACTTACTAATATTAGGGACTCTAGCATGATTATAATAGTAGAAGAATAACTTAATTAATTATAAATAAAATACTATTAGCTAGAAGAGAGCCTGTACCACACTACTAAATAGTAAGTAAGGAACTATAATAGAAGGTATTACCCAACTAAATATTATATAGGCTAATAAATATTACTATTTATAAAGAATATCTATATATAAAGGCCTAGTAAGAAGCTAGATACTAAATATAAAGAGCTATTTAAAATAGTTAAGATAATAAGTTAATAAATATATTACCTATAATTACCTAGATTATATAAGAAAATCTACCTAGTCTTCTATATATTACTTCTTAAAAAATAAAATATAAGAGATAGTAACTTACTAGTACTATCCTAGCTAGTTATTATTAATAATAAGGAAGAATAAGAGGTAGAATAGATTATTATATAATAAAAGTTATATAGTAAAGACTAATATCTAGTTAAATAGAAAAGATAGCTAATATATAAGAATACTTAGTAATTAATAAAAAATTTAAAAAATATATAAGATATCTTAAATAAATTTTATTATATAAATAAGATATAAATAAGGTACTAGTAAAATATTATAAAATAGTAAAATATAAAAATAATAAATTAATAAAAGTTAAAGAATTAAAAAGATTATAAAAATATATTAATAGTACTATTTTTTCTTTTTTTTCTACTAGGTTTTAAGGTTTAATAAGGGTATACTATAGATATTAAGAAATTTTAAGAAAATAACTTAATTTTACTATATAAAAATAAAAATAATAAAGTACTTATACTATAATATTAATAAATTCTTAATTATTATAATTATTCTAAATCTCCTTATTATTATTCTCTAATTTTATTATACTACCCCTAATATACTATATATTAAGTAGGTAAAATATATTATAATTAATAAATTAAAGTAATTTTTCTATCTAGTTCTTAATCTTAAAATAATAGATAAAAATCTTAATAATATAGGCTTATTAGGCATAGGCTACCATGCCTGCTACTTTACTAGATATTACCTAAATTTTCCTAAAACTAACCTATATAAGCAGGATAATAGAAAAGCACTTTTTATATAAATAAGTATATTAAGTATATTATTATTCTAGATTTAGGTATATATAAGAACAGGCTTTTATAGGACTATTATTTATATACTACTAAGACTTAGTATAATATAAGTAATATAATGTTCATATAATAATAGCCAGGCTAGCAGAAGTAACTAGAATAGTCAGAGCAGCTAGGGCTATAGTAATAGCAGGAGCTAGCGCGACGACAGGAGCTGGTATAATAATGGCAGCAGGAGTAGCTAGAGTCACTATAGTAGAAGAAGTAGAGGGAGAGGTAGTAGGAATTACTATAATACTAGAAGTAGCTATAGAGGACAAGGGGAATATAGTCCTACCAGATAATAAAGTAATAATAACAGGAACTATAAGAAATATACTAGTAGTAATAGAGGTTGCAGGCACTATAATTAATATAAGTATAGGGGGGTTTACTATAGAAGCCTATAAATAATTAGTATAATAGACCTATACTACTAGAATAAAGGTACTTATAAAGAAAGAAATAATAGTAATTAAATAAACTCTCTTTTATAAAGATATAGCTAGCATAGTACTAGATAAAGAATATTTTAAGGGAGCTATAAAGTCTATAATATAATTAGCTATTACTATAATACCTAAGTAATAATAACCTACCTAGTATAATATATTAACTTATTAGGAGAGACTTTTTAAAATATAGATTAGATTAAAAGAAGTATATATAAAGAAATATTCCCCTATAATATTTATATTATAATAATATCTTTACTTACTACTAATATATTTAGTAAACTACTTATTCTTATTTATTATTTTATTTAAAGTAAAATATAATACTATTTATATTTTATTTAATAAAGTATAATTAATAAAAGTAATATTATATATACTATTATTATTTTTAGTATTAAATAAAAAAGTAGGTTATATTATACTAACTAGGGCTAGCTCCTCCTTAGTAGAGTATTAAGCTAGATTAGATATAATACACGCAGCGCGCGGACATACTACTAAGAGAAGGGGAAATAATTATTATAATAACTATATAATATATAATTATATACTAAACTATATACTAAACTATATATCTAGTAATTAAGGATAATTAGAAGAATAGTAATATTTAAGTTATCTATATCATGCTAGTAACTTAACTAGATAATATAAATAATAATATAATAATCCCTAAAGTACTAAAAGATAAGTACTTTATTTTATTACCTCTAATACCTTCCTACTATCCTCATACTCCATGTAGCTTTGCTTCCTTTACCAACACTACCCATACCCAAGCGCCTCACCAGTGAGACGCTTACAATATCCGACACATAAAACAGAGCAGGGGTACAGATGGCTTGGCAACCCTGTTAGAGGAGCATTATTTACCCGAACCGATATTCTGCCTCCTTTTCCTCATCAACTGCCCTTGTTTGCTAATCTAATCGTATGTACATACAGTACTAGGCAAAAAGTCTGCATAAAAACATGCTAGTGTATGACTAACCACTTTAACATGTTTACTACCTATACTTTTCAAAAAATCATTATACTATAGATAGACTAGCTTTAACTTTAATATCTTTAAATATTATTTAAAATTATAAACTTAAGTCTTAGGAAAGGTCTTATATACTAGCCCTTGAAAAGGTAGGATAGAAAGTATCTTAAATTATAATTTATTATTTTTAATTTCTTTAAATTATATATTTAATAATTTACTAATTAACTTTAAGACCCTCCTAAATTACTAAAAAATAATCTAGTTAACTAAAATTATTATCTAATATTTAAAAATAGTTAATAATTTAATATATTAAGTAAAATTCTTTTATCTTTTATTAAAAAATTTAAATTAACTTAAAATTATTTATTTATAAATAAACCTTCTATACTATTATTTAAAAGGAAGGATATAATAAATAAAAAGCTTAAAAAAGGCTAGAATTAATACTAAGAATAGTAGAACTTTAGCTATAATAAATTTTAAAATATAAAAACTATATTATAAAGTAATAGGCTATAATTATCTAGTTAGATAAGTACTTAGTTAAGATAGGATCTAGTAAGTAAAACTAGTATATTTTTAAGCTTAATTTATACTTTAAAAAGTAGAAAAAAGATTATATTTAACTATATAAAAAGGGCAAGAATACTAGAGTTATAGTCTAGGTAGTATTTTAGGAATCTAATAGATTTAAATTAGTCTATTTAAAGTAAGATTTTAAAGTAAAGAAATATAATTATTCTATAGTATTATATCTTATTTTATTAAAGAAAAATCTACCTATTATTTATAATTCTAGCTTAATCTTTATATAAGATAATACTCCTATCTATATAGCTTAAAAGATTAAGAAATAGTTTAATAATAATAGTATATAAATTATAGATTAGCTACTTTATTTACCTAATTTAAACCTAATTAAATATCTCTAGTTTCTGCTTAAAGAAGGTATATATGATTATAACCTAGATATTAAAGAAGTAGCTAGTTTAAATAAGATAAAGAAGGACTATCTTTAAAAGGTATTAGAGATATCTTAGGATAATATTAATAAAGATATTTAAAAAAATATTTTAGAAAGTATATTCTATTAGATAGAGGTAGTAATTAAGGTAAATAGATAGTATACTAAATATTAGAGCTAGTATAAACTTTATATTTAGTATTTAGACTTTAATATTAATTTACTATTCTATAGAATTTTTTTAGAATTTTTAAATACCTCCTGGTTGCAAAATATATATATTTTAGGTGGGTGGTCGAATATAGTATGGTTGCTGTGGAACTATATTATGCAGACTTTTTGCAACCCACTGTATACAATACCCTTTGCTCCTAGTTAACAGAAGACAAGCTGACAAACAATGTCCCAAGACCAAGATCATAGTTTACAGGACTTGAGAAAGCCTTGTCATTTGCTTCGTGGCGAAATCACATACTCTGTTGCAAAAGAAGAAGATGCCAATATCGTGCATGAACTAGGCTATCAAGATGCAAAGGTTCGATATTTAACATATTTGTACCAACATCGAACCCTAATCAAATCGATTGTCGCTAGTCATCTCGGTCTGACTTCGGCAAATTCGTGCCGCCTTGCTGAGGTAGAGGACTGGATAGATGGCAGCTTTAATATCTGCATCCGGGTCGATGTATATCGAACAGACCAAATATTGGGGCAACAAGTGATGATTCGATTTCCATTACCATATCGGGTTGGGGAGAACGTCTGCCCTGGTAATGCCGATGAAAAGATTCGTTGTGAAACTGGTACATATGCATGGCTCCAAGAGAACTGTCCAGATATTCCTATTCCGCGTCTTTACGGGTTTGGACTCTCGACAGGGAAAACTGTACGAAGCTACCCGAGGTGATTTTTCCTATTTTATACTAACTATTCTAGTTCACACTCCTCAGTAATATGCCATGTTTGACCCGTGCTCTTCAGTACTTTCGGCGTGCAGTATTAGGATGGTTAGGTTACCCAAGCCCGTCTATCTATGTCCCTCATAGGATTGAGCAAGCAGGGTCTCTTAGAACCGGCTATATTCTAATTGAATATATCAAACCATTGCAAGGCAGAATGCTCTCAGAGACATGGGAGGATCGACGTCATGATCCCATATTACATGCTAATTTGTTCCGCTGCCTCTCACATATCATGATTTCACTGACACGGACTCCATTACCAAAAATAGGCTCTTTTACCCTAGACGAGACAGGGCATCTGAGCTTGAATAACCGCCCCCTGACCCTTCAAATCCAACTTCTTGAAAACGAACGCATCCCAATTGATATGCCGCGACATGTTACCTATTCAAGGGCTGACTCATATATACATGATATTCTTGCATTTCATGAAAGTCGCCTTCGTCATCAACCTAATGCTATTAGTAGCCTCCAGGATGGCTTCTATCAGACATGTGCATTGATGGTTATGAGAAGTATATGGCCCTGTTTCTTCCGTCGCGACCTTCTTACAGGACCTTTCTTCCTACATCTCACCGACCTCCACCAAAGCAATATATTTGTGGATGAAAATTGGAACATTACATGTGTTGTTGACCTTGAATGGGCATGTTCTCGTCCAGTGGAAATGATGCACCCTCCACATTGGTTAACGAGTCAACCTATTCCCATGATTAATCTGGAGGCGTATGATCCCCTTCATAGGGAGTTCATACAAATACTGAAAGAAGAGGAACAGGCAAGTGCCATAGGACAACAGTCTTTTTTTCAGCTACATTCTGTATTGCAGGAAGGGTGGGAGCGCGGAACCTTTTGGTGTTCTCTAGCACTAAATACTCTGATGGCGTTGTTTGGAATCTTCTACGATTACATTCAACCCCGGTTCTCTCAGTCTCATAAAGACGATGAAGCGTTTTGGTTAATCACGATGTGATATTGGACATTCGATACTTTCAAATTTCTCGATAAAAAGCTAAAAGACAAGGAGCAATACGACCAATACTTGCGGGATGAATTTGTGATCCTGGAGTCAGAGCGTCGATCACCCATTGTATAATAGATATCTAAATTCAGAATTTTCAGCCCGCTTGAAAGAATAACTCGCGTATATTAGAAATCTACTTACCCTTGAGTTTCTTGAACAGGGGGTGAATTCTCGTGGGTTTCGGGGCAGAGTTTCGGGGCAGAGGGATATGCCCAATAGTCAGTGTTTTGTTGTTCCGTTGGCTACGGGACAAGCATACAGTCGGCCAGGGGATGGGATTGAGAAACGCAGGGCAGGATTCATGCACTCAGCATCTGGGAGCATCAAGTCTATGTTATAATAATCTTCAATGCATGGGGAAAGGCCCTGCGGATGGATATTGACCGCCATGTTGTGTAGTCCTAAATGAGAGCCAACAACCGCAACAGGGCCTTGATGTAGTCCACCTGCCTCACCACTTAGACCGTAAATATCCGCAAGCCCACCTATAATAGCTATTTCTGATGCTGAACTAATTACGGCCGCCCAAAACACGAGGAAGCCCGTGGCTGTCAGAATCCATCTGCAAACTCTATAGGGCTTTTGCTAAATTTTAGGCTAAAGCAAGAAACCAATAACATCCTATTTAATAGTTATCTAATCCTATACAATGCCTAGCCCGGCAGGCTGGGATATTACATTAATGGAGGACGGATCTTTTAGTGCGCGGATGTCTGCAGCTTCTAGGCTGTATAGCTCTTTTGGGATAGATTCCTGCTGCATGGTATGTCAAAGAGAAAAGCGAACGCATCCCTCTCAAGCTTGTCATAGCTTTGCCCTATGGCTCGGATTAGGTCTTCTCTGCTTGCTCCAGAGAGTCAAGCGCACCCGATGCAGGGAGCCTCTTGAATCTTCCTGGGGCAATTCGGCCAATTATACCTTTGGTATCAGTATCCCTAAAGACCCGCACGATGTTACTTTCATTTATCTGGTCCTCGGTGATATTCCTGGCTCGTGGTGAGGACTAGGAACGAGATGAGGGATTTACTGGGTTTAGCCTCTACTTTGATGCGTCCAGCAAAAGCATTAACTCCTTATAAACTTCGAAACCCACACCTAACGTGAATACTTAGATGGTACTGTAAGTCTTCAACTCTGCAGTGGCGAGAGAGAGCCAGTGTTTGCGCCAACACTTTCGCTCGAGATTCTCTCCGGGACCGGTATCTTGAATGATTTCCTGCTGTGAATGGACGCTGTTCAAATTGGATGTCTTGGGAAAGCAGGTTGATCTATGCTCTAGGGCCTTGTGCTGGTAGGTGCATTGTTGCAGCGTGATTCTAAATCCGCGAGCATCGAGCAACACTCAATCTATAGTTTGTAACTATACTACAACCCTTTCTTTTTATACCTCATATAGATTATATTTGAATAGAAGAATAATTGAACTCTATTAGGCCGGTTCTCTATCGACATGATTCTGCCTGTCTTTTCAATCCACATCAGGTGCTGCACTGCACACCTCAGCACAAGTCCTTTGGTGTTTAAACATCTGCAATATACACGCCAATTCTTGAATAGAACAAGCGGTCAGAATAGTATACCAAGGTGACGATACCGAGAGGGCCCCTAGGCTTCACAAGGGGCGAGCAAATCCGGGAACTCATTCCAGGCTCCATCAACACCACACCATCGCACCCATCGTACCATTACACGAATAATCTCTTCGTCTTGTCCCATCTCGTCGCCTACTTCCTTCCGGATTTTGTCCGGAACCTTATATTGGCCAGGTTCAAGCATTCTTTCTACCGAATCCAACCCGAGGTGTGCGATCTTCAGGAAATCTCCCTTTTGCAGAGGGAATCCGGGGCGAGGATCTGGTAGGCGCTCAGCGTGTAGTAACCCCCGGACAACCTTGCAAATGTGTCCATCATCTCCATACACAGAGGCTCGGTGTGCCAACTCCTTCCATCCGTGGCTTGGACGCTTCGGAACATATTCAGTGATCCTTTGAGGGTAGAGCGTGGGGCAGCCACAGCCGGCATACATGACCAGATCTCCCCAAGCCTTAAAGTGCAGCAGTCGAGCCTTATTTTCATTCGTGATCCAGTCTTGCGTCATAAAGGTCGGATAGAAAATTGAAAGGGTGAGGGTATGTAATAAGACAAAATCAAGTGCCTCGACCTTCCCCGGGTATTGGGCGGCACCAATCATATAGGCGCAAGTATGAACCATATCCATTGTCTGCTTTTCCAATTCCTCCGCTGTCGGTTGTACTCGGTACTGTGCGAGATACGGAATCAGCTGTTTGCATACCTTTGCCAGTAGTCCGTCGCTTATTTTGTTCAGGGGGTCGGACATTTGCACTGCGTTACGGATGGTTGCATCTTGGTAGAGCTCATCCATGATATCTAACATGGACTTCACAGGGGTCTCTGGCGCGGCCCTCATGTGTTTTTCGACCGGGAATAGAAATGAATGAGGCCAGTCATCGTGAACGCAGCCTGCTGCCAGAGCCTCGGCTACTAGAAGTGGTTGGTTAAATTCCAGGGCGCATCCCAGGTGGATCATGGGGTGTAGGAAGCCTGGACGATATCAGTTGGGCTTTATTCCCTGCACAAAAAGAGGAGATCTGAGTATCTTACCAGAATGCATGCGGCCAAGGATATCGTCTGAAATTTCATCACCCTGGAAGAGATACTCATTGACAACATCGGGGATCCCTCGCTGGGCGATCTCATCCTGGAAAAACCGAACATAGCTGTCGTAGTAGCTGAGATCTCCCAGGCACTGTTGGAAAAAGCTACGGTCCTTCAGTTGAAGCACGGTGGAAACCGGACGATATTGGACTAGAGCTTGGTATCCCTTATTAAGATCGTACATTGCCCGGATCTCATCCGGAGTCGCCCCTAAGGCGTAGAGGGTAAGCAGGTGGTGCACTGTGTGGTCTACGATGCGAGCGACTGGTCAGTATACACCCTGTAGTCCGAACTCACTCACTTACTATGAAATCCCACCGCATCAAAGAGGGTGTGATACCTCGCATAGTTGATCATGAGCAGCTCCGAGACGCGATCCGCGCTCTCCTGCGTCAACCCCTCGACATGGGTTCGTCCAGGTGTATCGGACGCTGAAAGCTGTATATTGTATGGTGTATTCTGGGGCGTAGAGGAGGCCATACTTGCTGCAACATTACCGAAAAACAGTACATCATGTCAAAACTAAGCAGATTCCTGGGTTCTTTGGGTCAAGATATCTGTACTTTGGCCGATGACCGACGCTTTGCGATGGCCCACAACCCTCGCTGAGCGAAGGCGCTACGGCGAGAGTTGAAGACATTAAGACGCACGACCGACCAGCCAACGACCCAGACAGAGAAAATACACGCAAGTTCTAAGCGCTTGTCCTGCTGGTTTCTTTACGTCCCCTCCCCCGCTTCTCGATTGTACCCTATCAAAATCCCCGAATGCCTTGCTATGCGGTGTTGGGGGCTACAGGCAATACGGGCCGTGCGCTCGTCCAGGTACTCCTTGATCGAACCGACCACAGAGTCCACGCTTACTGCCGATCCCAAGAGAAGCTCTTCCGACTCTGTCCCGCGGCCGCCAATCAAGCGCGAGTTTCCGTCTTTGAAGGTGGTCTGCATAGCGATGGTATTATCGATGAATGTCTCCGGGGGACCGACGCCGTGTTTCTGGTAGTCGCCATCGTCGACAACATGCCAGGCTGTACTGTTGCGATGGAGACTGCGGAGGTCGTTGTTGCCTCTCTACAGCGCTTGAAAGCCGCCTCACCCACGATGCGTCCTCCACGACTGATCATGCTCTCGTCGGCCTCGCTGGAAGAGTCGTTCTGCGACGACGTGCCCCCGGGGGTTCACTGGGTCCTCAAGACTGCCGTCTCGCACCTATACCACGATCTAGCTGCTGCCGAAACTTTTCTCCGTGCCCAGTCGGACTGGCTGTCGGCGACCTTTGTGAAGCCGGGCGGCCTAGTGCATGATGAAGCCCGCGGGCACGAAGTGCGTCTGGACAAAGCAAAAACACCACTCTCGTTTCTCGACTTGGCAGGAGGGATGATCGAAGTGGCCGAGGCAGTAGATGACCGCTACGACATGCACAGTGTGAGCGTTATACCGACGTCTGACAATGTAAAGTTTCCGTGGGATGGTATCTACTACGCATTCACCGGATTGTTATTTCATTTTTTCCCTTGGACCTATCGGTACATAGGCGAATATCCATTGCCGTCGGGAAGAAAGATCCATGCCAAATAGGATACATTGTTAGAGTTAAGAAATGCGTACCTCGAGTTAATCATAGGGCCATTATTGGTTTGCTTATTCCCGTAGACTGAAGTACAAATACCGATCCCTGGAACCCACATCGACATTAGAATTATTGGGTTGTCCTTTTAAGTAGTCGCCCCTCGACGTGTTAGACTTTACTGGTTTTTTTTTCGGCCAACCCATATATCTTGCCTCACTCAGCATGGATGCAATCTTCAAGCAGATCAAGGAGGAGTATGCCAAGAGCGACGATAATGGCAAAAGACAAATCCAGGGATATATCCGTGAGCTTCAAGTCGGCTTCTATTCCGACTGGGATGTGGTTATGCGGTTGAGCAGCGGCGTTAGTTTTGTGCTCCAGCTGTGAGAATAGTTACTGATACTGATACCTCTCCAGCCGCTGCAGGTCGCCCTGGCCAAAGTTGCAATTGACTTGGGTATCTTTCGTACTTTGAAAGAGAGTGAGACGCCGGTAACCCTGGCACAATTCGTGGAAAAGACCGGCGCTTCACCCAGGCTCCTCGGTTTGTTACCCTCAAGTCCAAAGTGCAGGTTCGGTTTTATAACAGTTGACTAGGCCGTATTCTGCGCACTCAGGCTTCGTTTGGGCTCATCAAGGAGACGGGTCCCCAAGAGTACACCTCCAGTGCGTTTACGGATGTCTTCGTCAATCCCGACGCGGCCGGGGCCATTGCTCAGCTGTACGTTGCGCAGAGTGTGAATTCCTGGAGCGCTATACTGATGAAACTGCAGATTCGATATTTCGGGACCCTGCACGCAAATCCTGCCGGACTATCTTGCGGAGAGGAATTACCAAGATATCACCTCCAACAAGGACTGCGTTTTCCAAAAGGCCTTCAACACTGACGTGACCATGTTTGAATGGATGCCCCAGTATCCTAAACACATGCAATCTCTGGGTCATTTGATGGCACTCAAGCGCCCGGTCGTCTGGGTCGACTATTTCCCAGTCCTGGAAGAGCTGGGCGACTTTCCTGGCCCTGACAAGGCTCTGATGGTCGACGTCGGCGGCGGGTTCGGTCAACAATCCAAAGCCCTACGGGCCAAGTTCCCCAATCTGGCTGGTCGGGTCATTGTCCAGGACATTCCACAAACCCTGGCTGGAGCTCAACCGGCCGAAGGCGTCGAGTTTATTGCGCACAATTTCTTCGAGCCGCAGCCGATCCAGGGTGCAAAATTCTACTATCTGCGCCATGTCTTCCACGACTGGCCCGATGAGCAATGCGTGCAGATCCTCAAGCAGATTATTCCGGTAATGGGTCCGCACTCGTGCATCTTGATCGATGAAGTCGTCATTCCGGCGGTTGGGGTGCCATGGCAGGCGGCCTTCATGGATATCCTCATGATGGACTCGCTCGGAGGTGTTGAGCGGACGCGAGCGGAATGGGACAACTTGATGGAGCAGGCAGGGCTGAAAATCATCAAGTCCTATCAGTATGACGGGATCGAGCAAGCCATTATGATGGCAGTTCGTAAATAGTGCTGCCATTCAGTGAACCAGGATGATGATCACCGCCACGGTGGTTATGCTGTTCCATACACAAATCACAGGGGTCTAGTTCATTTTGCACCTTTTCTCTATGGAGTAATTACCGATCGGATCAGAGTAGTCAGATGTAGATGTAGTGGAGAAAAAATGGGGTCAATCTTAGTTGATCGCCGAGGGAGACATATGTATATAGTTGTCCAGGTCCCCCTTTAGATCTCACCAACTGTCTTACTACAAGCTGCAGAGACAATGCCAACATACGCACTTCTAGGCGCCACCGGAGCCACCGGGTCTAGTGTCTTGCGACATCTCCTACGGAATCAATCCGATAGTCTCAGCATCAACATCCTCGTTCGGTCGAAAACAAGACTCCTACAAACATTCCCCGATCTCAGAACCACCAGAAATCCCGCAATCTGCATTTTTCAAGGAAGTAGTACCGACCCAGAAATTTTAGGGCAGTGTCTACGAGATGCCAGTGTCGTCTTCATATGTGTGGGCCAGAATGGGAGCCCGATGGGCACGACGCTCTCCCAAGACACGGCAAGCGCCATCATCGATGCTCTTCGACGCCGTCGGCAGGCAGAAGAAGGGAGTCAGCATCGGCCATGCACGATTATTCAGCTTCGGTCAGCGTCATTAAACCCTGCCCTCGCGGCGCAAGTGCCACGGTTCGTGCATCGCATAGTCAGGTTCTGTCTATTCGCTAGCTATGCAGATCTCGAGCGTGCCTGTGCGTACTACAGCGAGGCGCAGAGGCAAACCCTGCTGGAGTATATTCTCGTCGATCCCCCGACACTTCACGACACTACCGGCACTCATCCAACCGGCTACCGCTTGATATCGACGGAGCCACAGGCGCCGGCTCTCAGTTACGCCGACCTAGGGGTGGCTCTGTGCGAAATTGCTCAACGTCGGGGTGAGCTGCACGGTCAGGCAGTGGGAGTTACCGCGACCGGGCGTGTTAATCAGACTTGGGGTGTGTTGGCAAAGTATTTACTCGATGGAGGAATGCACCACGCCAATCATAAGTTTGGGAAGGAGAATATTCTGGTGGTGGTAACCTGTTTTGCTTTATTGATAGCCTGTTTGGTATCGTATATGTGAATGTATCGTTGTACCTAACCCGATCGTGCGGCTACTCTACCTAAGCTGTATATATTTCCACACACTGTAATCCTGTCAAACATGTGCCCATACAGCCTTCCTAGTTTCCGGTCAAGATATCTGCTGCAATCTTTTCTGCCAGCGCGTACACTGTTCCCATCGGCTGACCATCAATAGCAAAGGGGAAGGATGAGGCGTCAACGACGCGCAGTCCTTGCACTCCAAGAACTTGGGCTTTGGAATCGATCACAGTCTTGGGATCGTCGGGCTTTCCCATGGCACAAGTCCCGACGCCGGCGTAATAAGCGTCGGAGGTCTCTGCGATGTAGTTGAGGATCTCCTCGTCGGTCTGGTACTGAAACCCGGGCAGCAGCTCGGTGCCGTCAATCACCTCCTGCATCGTCTCGGACGCAACAATCTCACGGCAACGTCGGAAAGCCGCAACAGCCATTTCTTTATCACGCGGATCGTCGAGCCAGCGAGGATCAACAACCGGGTTGTTGGCGGTGTTTGTGGTATTGATGGTCACCGTGCCGCGGCTAAACGTGGTCATCAAAGCTGCGGACATGCTGAAGTAGTTCTTTCCGTCATATTGGGGAACAAACGTATCGTCGAGAGCGATGTAGGAAAACGTGGGCCAGTCTGCTGGAAACGCCTTTTCGATGTCCGTGGCGGTTTTGGCGCTCAACGATCCAGGCTGGTGCTTCTCGAAGGCAAAGTAGTCTTGACCCGGGTTCGTCAGAAGCCCAGTGCGGAACGTATTATATTCGAAGATCGAGCGAGGTAGTGTCTCCTTGCTCCCCATCAATTGGCTGTGACTCTCAACTTTGACTGGATTCGTGGGGCCGAGGATGATGGTGTCTTGCATATTCTTTCCCACTCCTTCCAAGTCTGACAGAACCGGAATGTCGAGCTTCTCAAGCGTCGCCTTTGGCCCAATGCCCGATACCATCAATAGCTGCGGAGATCGCATGACGCCAGCAGACAAGATGACTTCCTTTTTAGCTCCTATCTGCCACTCAAACCCGCCAGTGTCGATGACTACACCCGTTGCCCGTTTCTCCTCGTTGAAGAGGATCTTTTTTACCAAGGTGTGGGTAATAATATTGAGGTTGTCGCTCTTCAGCAAAGCCGCACGCAGATACGACGTCGAGGCAGTATCACGGCGTCGCGTTTTGGGGTTGATGGTGTGGGTAATGTATGAACGACCGAGTAGCTCGCCATTGGAGAAACCCTGAACTTCGGGAAAGCCCATCTTCTGGAGCGCCTTGTCTACCCAGGATGAGATAGCGTTGGTCCAATACGGATACGCCACCTGCACTGGACCCCCCTCACTTGCGGAAGATGCAAAGACCGAAAAGTCATTCAGAGTCGTTGCATTGGTAGGGCGTGGATTCGTCGCAGGGCCGGAGAAGTGCACGCTCTTCTTAAAGAATGGCAGCCAGTTATCCCAGGTGTAAGCATCATCGCCAACTTGATCAGCCCACATTTGGTATGCGCCTTTAGACCCTCTGCAATAGAGTCAGTTCAGATTATTCCCTGTGAGAAGCTTCATGGAGACAAACCGATGGTACAACATGGCGCCACGGGCAGTCGACCCCCCCAAGGTCTTGCCCTGCATGTAAAACATTTTTCGATTGGCCAATCCCTGAAATATAGAATATCGATATTAGCCATAGCTTGCAATGTTCTTGGGTAATGCATGTCCACGTACTGGTTGCGCTTCAGTGTACTGGTACCAGTCAAAAAGCGGGTTCTTCACATGGCCGTTGTCGAAAAAGTAATTGAACAGGTACATAGGAACGTCGGTGGCATTTCCAGCTTCGATCTCATGGAAACCGCCAGCTTCCACAACAGCCACAGAGTTGGATCCATCCTCAGACAGTCGGTGAGCCAGAGCAAGCCCAGCAGTTCCCCCACCGACAATCACATAGTCGAACGACTGGCCTGGCCAGCCATACATACCAAAGTGGGAGCTCAGGAGATCGCGTGCCTGGATGCGACCATCCATCGCTCCCTTATCCTCACTATCAAATATGGCTCTCCATGGCGAAGAGAAAGTCGAACTCTGACTGGCAAAAATGCCCAAGAGAGGAACGCCCGTGAGAGCCAGCAACGACCATCCGTTCAGCATGATGGTTCCGGTTGGCGGTAGGTATTCGAGCCGGATACTTCTCTCCTGTCGTGGAAGGATAAGAATGAATCTTGCCCTTGCCGGTCGTCATAAATAAGATTGACAACCTTCGGTATGGGGAGCGAGCCTCGTCCCTTCGGCACCGATTCGCTCGCCGAAAGGACACCCGCGATCGGTATAAGACACTGACGACGAGCACACCTGGACTCTCAAAACCGCAAGAACCAAGCACCGACAGCAATATACTGTCCGCAATGAGCCAAGTGGGAGTGGAAGCAGTGGCCGTCATCACCGGGAGCTTTCTTTCCGGTATTCCCTCCTGTCATCCTCCCTCAGTATCCGGAGCTAACGCCAACCAGGAGCCATGATGAGTGTCTTTCTGCTGACCATTCCGTCGGTATTGGAGACGACCACAGACCCAGGGCAGTTACTACGCCATTGGGCCCGAGTTTTCCTCAACGGGCACGTCAAAGGTCCAATTATCTGTATTACCACCACCTTTCTCTACGGTCTCGCCGCCTTCACCAAATATTCGGCCGGTGAGCCATGGCGCGTGTTCGCCGCGGCCGGTATTGTCACCATCAGCATGGTTCCTTTCACACTCGTGGTGATCGATCCGGTCAACACTGCCCTCTTCCGAATGGAGTCCGAGGCCAAGAAGGGGACAGTTGCTCCCTGGGCTGTTGTTGAGCCGCTGGTCCAAAAGTGGAACCGATTGAACCTGACGCGCGCCTTTTGCCCGCTAGCTGGAGCAGTGCTTGGATTGCTTGGGACTCTCAAACTCGTTAGTTTCTAATCGGAGCACGTTTATGATTCTCCCAAATCCGGAATCAATGGTGGATATAGATCAAGAGGAACGAGGAACGAGGATTGATCCACAGGCGGTTGTGAAGAGTTGAATCTAGGTTGTGTGGAGGTACAATTCCGGTGCTTTAGTTCTTACATACAAATTCATGGCTTGAGGGATTGCTCACTATCCTCCTCTGTCCCCTCTTTTATTCTGTGTAAGAACCAAAGGCCAGCTCTATTTCCATCTGGAGTCATGATCCAAGCGTCTACAGAGCGAGATACCCATCCGTAATGCAGTCGTGACTCCTCGTTCCTCCATCCATGCTGTAAGATTAGGGCATAATCCCGGATCCCCGGTTCGCTGTCCGAGGAGAAAAGCATTTCAAATTGGTATATTTCAAGGCCTCGCGCCGCATGCCAAACAGGAACCCACGACTTCCAGCAAATATGGCTCTACCAACGCTGCCGGTGCTCGCGGTGCTTATAGGAGCCAGCTACATCCTTGTCCAGCTGGTCTACAACCTCTATTTCCACCCGCTACGCGACTATCCAGGTCCACTGCTATGGAGGGCCAGTTCCCTGCCATGGAAGTTCACTCTATTGCGTGGTACAATGCATCACGACCTAATGCGCTTCCATCAGAAATATGGCGACACCGTCCGCATCAAGCCCGATGAGATCAGTTTTGCTAACGCCCAAGCCTGGCGTGATATTCACGCCCATGTCCCCGGACGCCCTGAATTCCTCAAAGACCCCGTTCGCCTACCTCTTGCCCCCAACGGGGTGATGAGTATTCTCGTGTCTGACACTCGCAATCACGCCAGATTCCGTAGTCTATTCGGTCACGCCTTCAGCGACAAGGGCTTGCGGGCCCAGGAACCGACCATTGTGCAATATGCGGACCTGCTGGTGGAGGTGCTTCGGGAGGTCGCTGATACGGGAAAATCGGTTGAGATGGTGCACTATTTCAACATGGCCATCTTCGACTCCATTGGCGCGCTTTCGTTCGGAGAGTCCTTTGACAGCTTGAAAAATCGCCAACTACACCCCTGGGTAGACGCAATCCACAAGAACCTCAAGAGTGTGGCCATCTCGCATGTCTTGCGCAGTATGGGTATTGAATTTCTCACCCCGTATGTACTGCCAAAGGAGCTCCGAGGTAAACGCCAGGAGAATTACACGTACGCAATTGAGAAACTCAAGAGGCGCATGCAGATGACAGGCGACCAAGGCGACTTCTGGGACCGTGTGATTGTCAAAAGTGCCGACGGTAACCAGAGCGGGGATGGCATGAGTCCCGGCGAGATGCTCAACAATGCCGCCGTCATGGTCGTCGCTGGGTCCGAAACGACATCCTCAGCTCTCTGCGGTACCACGTATCTGCTCTGTCAGTCTGGCAAGATGGAGAAGGCCGTCGCCGAGATCCGCAACGCCTTCCCGACTCCCGATAAAATCGACCTGGTGACTGTGTCTCATCTGCCATATCTCACGGCCGTAATCGATGAGACTCTCCGCATGTATCCTGCTGTACCTGGTCAGCCCCCTCGCGTGGTGCCCGCCGGGGGAGCGACGGTGTGCGGTAAATTTCTTCCCGCTGAGGTATGTATCCCCTAGAATCTACACCTCTTACAACCCCGGCTGATCAAAGGGGGGGGGAAATCTCTAGACCCGAGTAGGCGTCAGCCATCTAGGTGCCTACTATGCAGATTACAACTTTACCCGCCCTGAGAAGTTTATCCCCGAGCGACATCTCCAGAAGATGGAGGAACCATTCAAGCACGATAATTACGGTGCTTACCAGCCTTGGTCTGTCGGAGTGCGAAACTGCATCGGTCGTAATCTAGCTTACGCCGAGGTTCGTTTAACATTGGCCAAGCTCCTGTGGCATTTTGATATTACCCTAGATGAGGCCAAAACCGGAAACTTTCTTGACCAGAAGATTTGGTCCATTTGGGCGAAGCGGGAGCTTTATATGTCTTTCAAGGCTCGAAAGGTTTAATCATGAACATGTTTGGTTTTGCCTACTGTTGAGATACTAGTAGTTCTCTTTCCATCATGACGTTAGTGCTGAGCTACATGCGAGTAATACGAAGCCTTTCCAATCCAAGGCTGTCTTAAACGAAATGCAGAGAGATGGTGTCATTGACAATCCAGGCTGTTAGTCCTCCATAAGAAAAGTGAGGAGCAAATACAGACGTAACCAAAGGAGTCAAAGGCTTCAAATCAAAGACAAGAAAAGGTGTGCAGTACGCCATTCTAAATCTATATAGCACAATCAATTGTTACTTACAAGATCAAAGTAGTATATATATTCTCCAACTGGTTCCCATCTAGCTGTGTACCACGTCAAGGGTGATTGATGCTAGGCTAAGCGTTCTTTAAGTCGCTGTAGAAGGTCCATCAACGGCTGGCTGCCTGTAACGCGCTGCACAAGATGTATATAGGAACTATCGAGTGCGAACGGTTTTCCTACCACGTTAGGAATCCAGCGTCCAACAAATTCATCGGGCTTCAAGTCTGAGATCCGCAGGTGACGTCGAAGATACTGTCTGTAGTTGTCAATGTGCCCCCGAAGCATCTGGGAGTGAAAAGGGATATCCACACCACCCAGTGGAATAGTTGCACGGCCTCGAGCAAGATTGGTCTGGTTAGTAACTGACTGAGACCCGAGGACGTGGCGACGAACGCACTCCCGGAGAGTATCCCCATCACCGGTGAGGGTCAATTTGAACAATTCGTCGCATACACGGCCCATAATCCAAAGCGCACGAACCTTTTTCTGTTTGTCAGAGAGATGAATCCAATGACGGGAAAGGCAGACAATGTCATCAACACTCCTGGGATCAAGAAAAGAACAACACTTACATGGCCAGCACAGACATACTGTCGTGATCGGACATTATGGTTAACCACTTCCAGTAACAATCCAGCTTCCTGGCCGATTAGTTGGACCAGGTCCAGGAAATCGTGCTCATCGAAGTCTGCTGAAATAGTTAGCTGTCTCTGACATCATTCCCGGGGGCAGAAGGCGAGGAAAGAAATACCTGGTCGGATGCGTGAGGGATCTGCCGCCATCATCGCGTAATCTGTGCGTCCATAGGTATCGCGAGGGAGTGCATTCTGCATCTTGAGGCCACGGTACAAAATTAAAGACAAGAGAGACTCGAAGGGCATAAAAGTAGTGCAGGCTCCGAGGGCACTGTACTCTCCCAAGGAATGGCCAGCAAACAAGGCCGGGTTCTGGACTACTCCTTGGGCTTGCAGATGCGCATATTCGGCCATCTCCATTACTGCTAATGCAGGTTGGGCAAATTGAGTGGACATGAGCAATCCCGCAGGATAGGAAAATGTATAAGACCTGCAAGACGCCGTCAGACCTGGAAGAATACAGGTATCCGAGTCTGATCCTGAGCTCATGGCAAGATAGTTAGCACGAATCTGTCGACCACGTCGACCGCCAAAGTTGACGGTGAGAGAGGTGGGATTCTCCCGAACGATTTGGAGGAGAGAAAAGCCTGAAAAATATATACAGGTCAACATAAGTCCCCGAATGGATTGGATACGGGACACAGGGACTCACCATATTGAGACTCGAAATGTCGCTCCGCTTTATCCCAAAGTGCTTGGGCAGCGGTATGTGTGCCATATAAAGCCATTCCCATTCCCTTCTCCTGGCTTCCCTGACCGCAAAAGACGTATGCTGTTGGGGCTTGTTCGATTATGGCTTCCGCACGCATTACCGGACGCTGCCCATTCTGGTCCAACACCTTCACCTGGACTACCAGCAGGCCGTCTTCCATCGCCCGATGCTGCACCTCCATCTGAAGCTGGTCTTGCACTCGAACTATACCGTCAAACGACGTCTTCCAGCTACGGAACCGTGTTCGATGGGTATCCCCGACCATCCACTCGAGTATCCGTCTCACAGTTGCGGATAAGTGCATGCCATGGACGACAGGTGCTCCGCGGCCAGCAAATCGAGCGAACAGTGGACAGAGATGGATCGGGTTTGTATCCTGTGACACACAAGCATACGAGCCGCTCTGTGATGGTGCACGGAAATCGATGGTAGCATCCCCGGCCCATCCGGGGTTCTGTAGCATGCGGCGCTGAATCCGCGGGGCTGCGTGTCGATTCAAGAAATCAAGAACTGGATTTACCCGGCAGCCTTCCTCCTCCAAGTATACACGACCAAGTTGGGCACCGAGTGAGGAACTAGAAGACGTAATTTCTGGTAGCAGACTCACCGATCCGGCGACTTGGAGTGAGCTGAGCGTCCCAGATGTGTCGTAAATGGTTTGAGTGTTCAGCCGAAACACAAGGGTTTTTCCCAGTAGATCAGGGGTAGATCCGTCCAGGAGAAGCCATTTCCGGCTGACAAGTACCTGCAACTTTACCGGTGAGTTGATGTGCATTATCATGTCGGGCTCGTCAACGGAACGGAATTGTTGTTTGGACACACTTTGCGGACGGCGCTGGATGACGAATACTGATCGAATGTGAACCACGGGCTCGGCCTCACGACGGATCTCGGCAGAAACTTCAATCAACTGGCCGGTGGCGGTAATCGTACGCTCTGTGATCCGTGATGAGGTCGTTACCACGTCTCCTAAATGAAGCGGACGGACGCCTGGTACGAGGCGGATAGATATCGACTGGTGTAGGAGTTGCACCGGATCCCCATCCAGGGCTGGGAGCAGAACGGGTTTGGTGAGCACCGTCCAGGCCAATACAACACCATAGTCAAGAGGAATAACAGAGCCCTGTGCCTCCCAAGCTTGACATCGTGCCGGGCCAGTCTGTCGGATGACCGCAAGGAACGCCTTCACAGCATCTGCGGTGATTGTCACCCGGTCACCAGCAAACTCGGAGTTTATACCTGCCGATGATGGACCGTGACTAGGCCCTTCAATCCAGAGTTGCGTATAGAGTCTACGAACGCGATCGAGGTAATCTCCCCTGCTCAGTTGCAGCATATGAGAATCCATTGGTCCACCAATTAGTTCCATTGTGAGCTCTAAGGCAGGTCGTCTGCTCTGACCGCCGAGGATTGGGGACATCAGTAGTGTCATTGTAACCTCTCTACCCTCATGATAGGCGAGCTCCAGTACAGCGTGTGGATGTTTGGAGTCGCCCCTTAGCGGTGCGGTATACAGAGTAATCTCGCAAGGCTGTTCGGCAGCGTACCTAACGTCTATAACGTCACCAGCCTCGGGTCTGAAGGCGTTGCGAATTGGATTCTTGGCCCTATTTTGGCCATAGATCAAATACTTGTTAATAAGGGCAGCATAGGCCCAAGTGCAGTCACCCACCAGGTGCTCAACTAAGGCCTTTGCAGACGGTAAAGCAGGGCCAATAAGGTGATATCGATGGATGGGTCCGTCTTGGGAGACTCGGACTCCTGGTAGCGACAGTTCCTTTTTTTGAACTGTCTCATGTCTAATCGTCCCCTCTTCTTCTTCTTGTTCTTCTTCATCTTCACGCTGTTGACACAGCATCTCGATGTGGGCATCGCGAATGCAATCCAAAATGTGGCCTACGGGCTCGTTGCAAACTGTTGAGTGGCGAGCTGCCAGAGGGCCATGGATAATGCACACCCGCTGTGGATCTTGGTTGGGCACGGCCTCGACGTCCTCTGATTGCCACAGTGAATCTTTCTTAAACCAAGTTTCAAAATTCACGTCGAGCTTAGGTATGAAGGGCACGGGTTTCTGGCCACGACGACGAAATAAGGCGAGGAGATGTGCCACATCTTCCGGGTGAAGAACCTCGTCGCCCTGGGCTGCATAGGCATTGTCAAATGTCGCCTGAAGCTCAACTGGATCTTCACTAAGATAAACCCCATATCCAAAGCGGCTCTGAACAAGATGTAGAAATCCATGAACCAGGTGGAGGTACGACAAGTCAATCCAGCGAGCCTCGTGAGGGACATACATCAGCTGGCACAGCCGACGAAGGACGTCTTTGTAACTCATGTCTTCAATCTCAACAGCCTCCCCGCTCAGGGTGAGAGCAAACCACGGCCGGGCATAATCAACGTTCAAACGGCTGATAATGTATTCACGATGTCGCTGCAGTGCATTAAGGTATTTTTGTGTATCCCGAATAGAAAAGAACCGCGTGTCGAGCTCGTGCCATAATAGCATAGCACGGGTTGCAAGCACATGAATAGGCTGGCCCATCTCTGAGGTGACGGATATGACGCCGCCAACAGGTTCGATCTCAGAGCGTGTCCACGTAGCACGGTCATCGTCTTCAATCCCCGGCGCGTCTACAATCAGCCGCTTTGCTGCCAGCGACGTTTTCGCTTCACGAGCAACCATCATTCGGCTACCAAAAAGCACCCCGTCAAATGGCATGGCGGCAAATCCGAGCTTCTGTGACCATGTACCGGTGAGATAAGGCCATGTATCACTTGCACCGCCAAATCCACTCCCGGCAACAAGCACGATGTTCTCGCATTCTCGGATGCGAGTGTAGCGGTCGAGTATAGGCTGGTGGAAATCCTCACTCGAATGGTGCCCCCCTGCGCGGCCGCCAGTCCACTGGAGACCAATAGGAAACGTTGGATAATGGCGAGCAAGGGCGATAACTTGATCAATAGCATTAACGGACCCAGGTTTGAACCAGATATGGCACAGGCCCAGCGATTCAATCCACCCGCGAATCACCTCCAGTGAGGGGATCCCCGCGCCTACAGTCAACCCCTCAATAGGTAACCCTTCATCAATGAGATCTCTTAGTAGCTCAATTTGCCAAGAGAGGGTCTTGGGGGAGGCGTAAATGACATTGCAAGTGATGCCCCGGTGTGGGGGAATTGCAGCGGCTAGACGACGCAATGCTACTTCCATCTCAGCGCGCCGGTGATAACCCCCTCCGGCGAATTCAGCGTGATATCCAGCTTGCATTATTGCGGCGACGAACTCCGGAGATCCGGTAGTTGGCGTCATCCCCGCTACCATAAGTGGAGGTGTGTCCAGCAGACGGGTCATCTTAGTTTCGATATAGGGCGTCCTTTGATTAGCACCGACTCGGAGGCGTGGGCTATACTGTCGGCGCCAATTCGATGCAGTGAGAGAGCTCATTCCCCAATTAGCCAACGATGACAAACCAGAGGACAAGGAGCGACCGGATAACGGGATTATAGCCACTCCTGTGCCCTCCATAACATCATGAACCAGGTTACCAACGGCGCCAGGGCCTAGTGCCAGGATATGAGTAGCGCCTTTCATTTGACGACAGGTTGCAGGCCAATCGACGTAGCCCACCGTCACCGCTTGGATGAGCGGCCGTAGTACATCTTGTGATCCTTGCTTCTGCAGATTATGCCCATCCACTGAGTGATAGATGGGGATAGCCAAGTCCTCCCCAGTTAGTCGAAGATTGGCCAGAGCACTCATTGCGAATGACTCCACTGATTCCAGGAAGGGTGAGTGATACGGGGCAGAAATAGGTAGGTACTGAACATCAATCACCGGTTGACGACGGTTGAAAAGCACACGACTCTGATCAAGCTTTGCTGGTGCCTTATGGTTACGAAGGGCCATACAAACTCGCCGTAGTCCTTGCGGCGCACCGGCCACAACACACTTGTTGCGGCCATTGACCAAAGCAAGATAGACCAAGGGCCCGCCATCCTCGGCTTGACTTTTATTTAACTGCTGGATCACACTGGTGAGATCTTTCGGTGTCATCCCCACCACGCTCAATAGGTATGACGCAGTGCCTTCCTCGTGGTCGACGCAATCCTTGACTTCCTCCGCAGAAAGTGTACTGCCCGGAGCTGCCACATGCGATTCCAGACCAACCCAGAATGCCAGCTGGAGGGCAAGATCCGCAGCTTGATAAAAGGCAGGCCACCCGGTGCCAACATGGGCGATGGCGGCCGCGGCAAATACTCCCTGAGAATGGCCAACAACGCCATGGAGTCGCTCACGTAGTTGGGTCGGGTCAAGACAGAGCTTGTGAGCTGCCAGCGCATAATGAACCAAGGTGAGGAGGGTATTTATTGGAAAGCTAAAGGGCGAAAGAGCAAGATCCTCGGCTGATGGTGCAGATGCACCCTGATCGTCCAGCCAGGCCTGTAGTGGAAATCCTCGTCCGCAAAAGAAGGCGGAACGATGAGGGATCGAGGCGAGAGATGTGATTCGCCGCGCAGCCGACGCAAGAAGCAGTTGTATAGGGGAACAGTGGTTGTATGTAAGTGATAGATGGATCAGGTCGTCAAGACCCGTCAGGTTGCTTGGTCCCTGGCCGCCACAGCAAGCATAGAGATGTACATGTCCAGTATCGACAGCCCCCAGGAGGCTGGACGGCTCGTAGGGGGTGCGTGGACGCATTTTTGCTCTTTGATACCTTGACTCTCAAGCAACTCCAGATAGTCCATGGAGGCGGAGGTTTAGAAAGGGGGGGGGGCGAGAGAGCGAGATTATCGTGTTGAATGAGTAACATGAAGGAGCTCGTATTCAGTCGGGCTACGAAGCGTCGGGATGTGATATGAGTTTCGGAGATCGAGCAACGGCGAGTTCTTCTTTTAGTTGTCTCTTGCAGCCCTAAGCGAATTTCACCCTAACCACGCCGGTAGAAACACACACGGCTGTCGCGATGGCCATACACTCGATTGAACGGGCAATTGCACATGAATTGGTGATAGAACTGCTGGCGTAAGGTCTCTCCCCTCCGCTTATTCCCAGTGAATCTGACCAGGAGCAGGCATCAATTCGCCTTTCCCGTACAATGGTAAGGCCTACTACGATTCTCACTCGTGGACCAACTAGGTAACCTGAATTGCAGGATAGAGACCCAAGAAACTTTACTTCGACATATTCGGCGTCTGGTTGAGTTAGGTCCAAGCAAGACGCTTCTGGGCATGTCCCAGAAGACCATAGCACCGAACCCTAGACAACCGATACAACTTCTAGCATGTACCCAAGATCTACAGCAACTGTGCTATGTCTACGACGATCCGGAAGAGTCAACAGTTGATGATCCAGTAATCGGGACTCCTGTATCCAGCACATTAGCGGAAGTAACAGCCCCCGAACCAGAGGCGGAGCCAGTACCAGCAGTGCAGGTGCAGGAAGCTCCCTTAACTGCCATTGTCATCATCCGCGCTCTCATCGCTCGCAAGTTCCGCAAGTCGGCAGCCGAAATTGATACTACCCAATCAATCAAAGATCTGTGTGGAGGTAAGGCGGAACAACCATGCACGGGTAACCAATTGCATGCTGACCGAGCCTATAGGAAAGTCTACCTTGCAGAATGAGCTGGTCGGAGAGCTTGGGAATGAATTCCCGACACTCCCAGATCGGCCCGAAGACGTTCCACTTGGGGACCTGGATACAGCCCTGGGGGAGGTTTCACTGGGTCAGGTTTCGTCCGCTCTCCTGCAGCGAGTGTTCTCTGCCAAAATGCCGGCGCGCATGACTGTCGCGACAGTTCGTGCGCGCCTGGCTACCATGTGGGGGCTCCCTACCCACCGACAGACTGCAGTGTTGGTAGGGGCTCTGGCTGCTGAGCCACAGGTCCGACTACCCTCCCTCGAGGCCGCTACCCAATACTGGGACGGGCTCACGGAGGCATATGCGCAGTCAGTGGGGCTGTCTCTGCAGCGACAGACCGTTCAGCGATCGCGCAGACCCCAGCTTACACCAGGCGATGACGACGATATACTAGCGCTCAAGGATTCCCTCGGAGCAAAATCGCTCGCGCGGAAACAGTATGAAGCTCTCAGGCAGTACCTCGGAATCTCAAATTCGAATACGGAGACAGACGGTTTAACGGTGGAGCTGCAGCAGAGACTGGACTCCTGGACTGCGGAATTCTCTGATGAATTCCTCAGCCGCATTACGCCTTGCTTTGATGCTCACAGGGCCCGGCAGTACCGTGACTGGTGGAATGCAGCCCGTCAAGAACTACTTGCTGTCTGCGAACTGGGTGCCGAGGCGGTCTTTACGGAGCAGCTACGAGATGTTCTTTGTCGACGATCTGATCGCAGTCTTGTTCGGGTCGCCCAGGCCAATCCAGCGGCACGCATACTGGCCCCGGCCCTCGTCGCTGCACTCGACTCGCCCCCCAGAGTCCGGTTGGGAGAGTCTTTGACCATGGCTCCCCAGACTGTGGTGTCGCGGACGGGAGTGATTGAATACCATGAGCATCCCCGGGATCCCTCGCGTTTCGCCGAGTTTTTCACCCACTGGATCCAGAAAAACCGCAACCCGGGTGCGGCGCAATCCAACGGAACGGATCTCACAACGCAGATGCTTGAAAGTCTTGCCCATGCGAGCCAGACAGGCGTTACATTTGTCAACAAAACATATCTCATCACTGGGGCAGGCCCCGGCTCTATTGGCGGCCATATCGCGCGCCTGTTGCTTGCCGGAGGGGCCTGTGTCATCGTGACTACCAGTCGTGAGCCCTCGGTGGCGGCACCACATTTCAAAAAGTTGTACGACGAGTATAGCAGTCGTGGATCAAAGTTACACCTGGTCCCTTTCAATCAGGCCAGTGCTGTCGACTGCGAGCGCCTAATTGAGTACATCTATGGCGAATTAGGGCTGGATCTGGACGCCATCTTGCCATTCGCAGCCACAGGCCAGGTTGGGGCGGAAATTGACGGGCTCGATGCCGGTAACGAGGTCGCTCTGCGTCTCATGCTTGTGAATGTACTACGGTTACTCGGGTTTATAGTGACCCAGAAACGCCAGCGAGCGATCCATTGCCGACCAACCCAAGTGGTACTCCCACTTTCCCCAAACCATGGAATCCTGGGGGGCGATGGCCTGTACGCTGAGTCTAAACGTGGACTGGAGACTGTGATGCGCCGCTTTCACTCGGAGTCGTGGGAGGAAGAACTATCGATCTGCGGCGTCAATATTGGTTGGACTAGATCCACCAGCCTGATGACAACCAACGACATGGTCGCTGAAACAGCAGAACAGCAGGGTAAGGTCCTGACTTTTTCTGGGCCCGAGATGGCAGAACTCATCACTCTCCTGTTGAGCCCAGCCTGGGCCACCCACTGCGAAGATGCGCCTGTCATGGCAGACTTTTCCGGTGCCTTGGGTGACTGGCAAAATGCTGCTGCTGGCCTGGCGGCCGCTCGTGCAAGTATCCAACAGCGCGCTGAAATCGCGCGGGCCATTGCTCAGGAGGATGAACGGGAGTCCAGTGGGCGACTGGGCACCACAAAAGCCCAGGACCTTGTACCCATTCGAGCCTCCCTCCGCCTAGGTTTCCCGCGCCTACCCGAGTACATGTCAGAGGTGGAGCCTCTGCAGCATCAACTCATGCCAGATCTAGTCCCAGAGGATGCAGTGGTAGTGGTGGGCTTTGCTGAACTGGGCCCCTGGGGGAGTGCGCGCGTTCGATGGGAGATGGAGTCGCGGGGCCAGCTGTCGCTAGCTGGCCATGTCGAAATGGCATGGCTCATGAACCTCATCCGACATGCTGATGGACCGGGACCAAATGGCCATTATATCGGATGGGTTGATGCGCAGAGTGGACAGCCCGTCGCCGATGCTGAAATTCCGCAACAATACGGGGACACAATCCGGACCCATGCAGGCATCCGGCCACTGCCATCCGACAATCGCGAAATCTTCCAGGAGATTGTGCTGGATGAAGATCTAGCCGCGTTTGAGACTACGCGCGCGAATGCGGAAGCCTTACTCCAGCGACATGGCAGCAACCTTGTCACGATCCTCTCTTCCGGTGACGGGGATGACGATGACCCTTCCAGCACTTGTCAAGTCCAGCTGCGGCACGGTGCCACGATCCGGGTCCCCAAGTCCAGCATGGCAGGGCCAGGGGTAGCTGGTCAATTACCCATGGGTTGGTCTCCAGACAAGTACGGAATTCCGGCAGAGATTGTCCAGCAGGTCGACCCTGTGACTCTTGTGCTACTCTGCTGTGTAGCAGAGACCTTCTATAGCGCCGGGATCACAGATCCCATGGAGATCTTTGAGCATATCCATCTATCAGAGCTGGGGAACTTTATCGGTTCATCCATGGGAGGGGTCGTTAACACACGGGCTCTCTATCATGATGTCTCTCTAGACCAGGATGTCCCATCAGACGCACTACAAGAAACGTACCTGAATACTGCCCCAGCTTGGGTCAACATGCTGCTGTTGGGCGCAGCAGGTCCGATTAAGACCCCCGTGGGCGCATGTGCAACTGCGCTCGAATCGATCGATTCCGCTCTGGAGTCAATTCAAGCCGGTCATACCAAGATATGCCTTGTCGGTGGCTATGACGATCTCCAGCCCGAAGAATCGGTCGGATTTGCGCGCATGAAGGCGACCGCCTCTGTCCCCAACGAGCAAGCCCGCGGCCGCCTGCCCACCGAGATGTCTCGTCCAACCGCGGCCAGTCGCGCGGGTTTCGTCGAATCTCAGGGGTGTGGGGTTCAACTACTCTGCCGCGGTGATGTAGCCCTCGCGATGGGCCTCCCAATCTACGGGATTGTCGCCGGCTCTGGCATGGCGGCGGATGGCGTCAGCCGCTCCGTCCCCGCTCCAGGACACGGAATCCTCACCTTTGCACGGGAGAATAGCAAGAGCTCTCCCGCTCCGTTGCGCGCGGCTCTCGCCCGCTGGGGTCTCGGCATCGACGACCTCACGGTGGCTTCATTGCACGCCACGTCAACGCCGGCCAACGACAAGAATGAACCAGCAGTGATCCAGTCCGAGATGGCGCATCTCGGACGCACCCCGGGCCGGCCGCTCTGGGCAATCTGCCAAAAGTCCGTCACGGGCCATCCCAAAGCTCCAGCTGCCGCTTGGATGCTGAACGGGTGCCTCCAAGTGCTTGACTCGGGGTTGGTACCTGGCAACCGCAACGCAGATGACATCGAGCCAGAGCTCCGCGCATTCGATCATCTATGTTTCCCCACCCGCCCGGTTCAAACCGCGGGTGTTAGGGCATTCCTTTTGAATTCTTGCGGGTTCGGGCAAAAGGAAGCCCAAGTGGTGGGTGTTCATCCTCGCTACTTCTTTGCCCTCCAGTCCGGTCCGGAGTTCCACGCCTACCAGATCCGGGTGCAACGGCGTACGCGACATGCTGAGCGGGCTTACATCCGGGCCCTGATGGGAAATCACATCGTGCAGGTGCAATCGCGTCCTCCTTATGAAGGTACAGACATGGATTCGATCTTGCTAAACCCTTCCGCGCGTCTCCACCGAGAGCAGGCCACGGGATCCTACCATGTCTCGGTCCCAGCAGCATCCAGTGCTCCCACGCGGGCGAGTCCCAATGCTGCATCCGGGAGTGTTCCTCCCCTTCGGCCAGTGTCTGCGCCGGACGCACATCCGTCCACGGTAGGTGTGGATACGGTAACCCTCAGCACCTTTACTGCGCATGAGAATTTGATCTTCCTCCGGCGCAACTACACCGACCGCGAATATCAATCGCTGCAAACACACCGAGACATGCGGGCAGCAGTAGCAAGCGGTTGGTGCGCCAAAGAGGCCGTGTTCAAGTGTCTTAAGACAGTCTCCAAGGGCGCAGGTTCAGCGATGAAGGAGATCGAGATTTTGCGATCTCAGGGAGCGCCATACGTCGTGGTAAGTCCTAGATTTCAACTATGTTCGAGCAGCATTAACTAGCTATAGCTTCATGGAGACGCATTGCAGGCGGCGCAAGAAGCAGGGCTTCAGAACATCCAGTTGAGTCTGAGCTATGCAGACGACAGTGTAATCGCCATTGCACTGGGAGTTCCACAGTAGGTTTCTAGCTGATGATTCAGTATACATCTCGATCTTGGTAAATAGACTGCATTTATTTCATTTAAGTGATGATAAATTAAGAAATCAGAATTATATACTTCATTAATTTCGACGCGAAATTCCATATGCTTTCTGGATAGTCCAGCGGTCAAGTTTTTGCTACTCTTTTTCAAAGACCACGAGTTCGAGTCCTGGGTAGCGCTGTTGCATGTAATTTATTCCAAGCGTACTATTTTGAATCCAGCCATCATTCAAACACTGGGTTATATCTTGACTACTATTATTTGGAGTTATGCTGCTTGAAATGGTTTTTGGAAATAGTATGGCCAAATTGTTTATATATATACTTCATCTATGGGCTAGGTGTGGGATATATATTGTCAACATTTCACTCCAAATAATACTAATACACCAATCTATCAATATATATATTCAACTGGATGGCTGCATTTACTAAAGGGAAATAAAAATACTTCTTCTCATCCTATATTAAACGCAATAGTTCAAACTCGTCCTGCTAACCAAACACTGTCACGGCTCGATACCAACAACCAAAACACCCTGAGATGCCTGGAACGAGAAGTGAATGAATGAATGAATGAATGAATGTTATTGTACTAGTGCTAACTAAATGACATTTCATCAGAGCTTTCCTGAAACCTCCTCGAGGTGATTTGCTGCCATGGGGGCGTACTAGATACGGATAGAGAGATGATACACCATGGAATCACTTGTACAACCACTGAATTCCCCGGATCAAATTCCCAAAAAATTGGCGCTGATGTTCCTTGAGTACTGGACTTGGAAATAACCACGAGTAATGGGGGTATCCTGGATACTCGTCGCACATTACAGAGGCGTCTGCGTCCATCAGGGCTTCCTGCATTAGTCGAACATCATCTCGGAGGGTATCCGCCCCCCCAACTGCCATATAAACCTTCTTGAGATCGCCCAATCGTGGATGCAGCAAGCAAGAAAGCCGGGGATCTTGCGGTGAAGCTCCATAGCACTCGAGAAAAACCCGCATGGCTGAACTGGTGTTGATGGTGACACGGTCGTTTTCTGTATACGACGTGTACTGTGCTTCCTTCCCAGCCGGTACTGCATCTGGGTGCACCGTGACAGGTGCCAACCCAACCACTCCCTGCACACGATCACCCAGTCCCTTTTCAATGAGCGCCAATGCTGTAGAAAAGGCCAGGTTACCACCGGCGGAAGTGCCGAAGAATGCTACCGATTGTGACGGATGCGTGTCCATGGCCCACTCGGCCACCTCGATGCCGTCCTCAAGCGGTGCAGGAAAGCGACACTCCGGGGCCATACGATATGCAACGCTGAGCAGTTTTGTCCCACTCAGCTTGCTGAGTGCCCGACAGAACCCATCTTCCTCTTCAACACTTCCCATCACCCACCCTCCCCCATGGAAGTAGAGAGCGACGGGAGGGTGACTGACCCCTGGGGGGGTATAAGTGCGGACAAGGATCTGGTTGACCATCACATCCTGGGTTTCGACACTAAGATCTGGTGGGGGAAAGCTGTAGCGACTCATCAGTCGACCCAAGAGGGTTTTCCATCCCTGCATGAGGTTTTCATAGGGTCCGTCCAGGGCTGGCGACGTCCCCAACTCCTCGACAAACTGTGCCAGTTAGCCTCCAGCCGACTGCAAGTATAGTGGAAGTTACAACCTGACGCCAGGGCGATGCGATCTGCGAATCCATTTTTCGAATGGGTTGTTTTGATACATGGGGGCTCTGACCGAAGGGCTCTATTATGTGCCTTGTCGGTCACCGAGTTCATACCGGCCTCGGAGCGGCGGGATTGCAGACCATCGCGAGATAGGTATATGTGGCAATCGTAGCCCAGGGAACCAGTACATCCAGCTTGGTTCTTCTGATCGGGTGAAGCTCTCTCACAATGCCGGTATATCACATTGGTCTGTTGTCCATTGCAATGGTTGAATTCGGTCCACTACTAACATGGTAGCAAGCCCTCTTCAAGCTCAAAAGTGATGCTGATCCGAAAAGTGTCCGCCAATGGCAGGATCTCGCGCATGCCATGGTGGGTAAAGTGCCAGGTCTGTTAGAGCTCCAGGCTGGACCACCGGTCGAACTCACCGCGCCCATGGCCAAGGGCTACGATATGGGGGTTGTGGTGCTGGTGGATTACGTCGAGACATTGGCTACATTTTTCACCCACCCCAGCCATGATGAGTACTGCTCCCATCGGACCTATTTTCTGGTACTCGTACACTTACCAAGCATCATCAGGGTCCACGAATTGTATATGCAAGTTTGCGAGCAAGGAAGCACAATCGGTTATGATATTGAATTCTAGATGCAGCCATACGGGCGTGGGAGACTTGAATCATTATGCATGGAATAATAGACACATTTTGCATTGAAAAGGGAAATATCAATCAGTGGAAATCTTGTAAACGAGGGCACGTCAGGCATCGAATCCAGCTTCTCGCCGCCGCTGCATAATGGGTCGTAGCTGGTCTCCCGCCCATCCATCTTCCATATCATCCTTGAGGTCAAAGGTTCCTTCTGGCTGGACAGCCAATGCGCGTCCTGGAGGAGGATTATTAGCCCAGAATCGCCAATGCTCGCCAGTTGAAGCCTCGATTCCATCCTTACCGTGCAACTGGCTGTTGGTGACACAGTAATTTGCTGCGTCTACGCAAGACTGAATACTCGTAAATGCCAGGACTTTCGCCATGTCAATACCGCGCGCTGCCATTGCATTCTTGATGGGTGCTATCAGCGGCGTGTCGACAAACCATGGAGCCAACAGATTGCATCGAACTCCCAGCTGTTGAGTCTGAGCTCGAGTACTGCGGAAGAGCCCCCGCACACCGAACTTGCTGGCAGGGTATGTAGACGCTTTGGGACTGTCCATATATGCGCCAATTGATGCGCAGAATAGCAGACTTTTATCGCTGGGCTCGGTAGCCTGTGTCCCTGGAATGCGAAGATAGTACAATCCTAGCCATGAAGTATAGTAACTGCCGATAAGATTGACCTCAATGTTTCGGATCGTCGGCGCTGGAGGGTCAGCATCTAAGCTGGGAATCCCAGCCGCCCGGACATGATCGACCTGGTTACCGGGAGCTATAGCGGTTCCAGCGAACGCAGCGACAATGTCCAGGGACTTCTGTGGGGAGAAACGGAGCGCACTCTTGAAGGCCTCGATTTGACTCTGCCAGCTGGTCACATCGCACCGGATGTAGTTGATCTGACTGTTATCGGCTGTGCCCACGGGCTGCTGGAGGTCGGCAATTGTAACGTATACACCGGCGGCTGCCCAATTCTGTGCTGTTGCCAATCCCAAACCCGATGCACCGCCAGTGATGAGCGCCGACTTACCCTTCAGGCGAACCAGATCGATACTAAGATCAAGGGGCTCCATTTCGACCTAGGTAGAACTATTGTTCTCTGTTCTTTTTTGTTTCGTTTTCCCGTGGGTGAACTCGGTGCGTTGAATCAGGTCTGTACAGTCTTATTTGCTTTATTTATATCTCTCGGGGTAATTCATTTCCTCGGTCTTCGGTCAACCCTGCTAGGCTTACGGCGACGACTGAAGCACTTCACTTGAGTACAAGCTGCGATACTAATACTAGCAGAATTCTACTCTGTTCTGCTATTATGGTGGACATTTCGCTGGCGCCAATGGATGTTCTTCGCAGCTTTCCTCTCCAGCTACTTGGGCTGCGGGATGTATTGTTTCTGAGTGTATGTGTTGGTTATAGTCATGCCCGTGTTTTCTCAATTAGTAATTGTCTGTTTAGTTCCTGATATTGGGCTCTCTGGGTGCCTATCGTCTATGGCTACATCCGCTGCGATCATACCCTGGACCTCGATGGTGGGCTCTTTGGCGTGTACCATATCTTCAAAGCACCATCCGTGGCACGATTGTGCGAGATCTTCAACGACTGCATGAGCAATATGGCCCTGTCGTGCGCATTGCCCCGGACGAGCTGTCCTTTATCAATCCAGAGGCGGCCAAACCCATCTACACGTCGAATCCTGAGTTCTCCAAAGATCCCATGCACCTCCCACCCTTCCACAATGGAGTTCCTGGCATCCTCGCGGCCGACCATGCCCACCACCGGCGGTATCGACGGCTTCTCGCATTCTCATTTTCTGATAAAGGGCTGAAAGCACAGCAGGGCATGATCCAGCAGTACATTGATCAATTGATTGTCCGCCTTCACGAGAATTGCTCCACGGGCCCTGTTGACATGACACTTTGGTATAATTGGGCAACCTTTGACATAATCGGTGACCTGGCCTTTGGAGAATCATTTGGATGCCTTGAAAAGGTCGAGACGCATCCATGGATTGCGTCAATCCAAGGCAATGTCAAGGCCATTCCGATTCTGAATGCTCTTCGTCGCTACCGACTGAGCGGGGTCCTCGGACTATTGGCGCCTCGAAACCTCCTTGAGATGAGACGACGCAACGCTCAGTTTACGGCGGACAAGGTCGATCGCCGTCTTCAGCATCCAGGCACTGCCCGGGGCGATCTTTGGGACTCAGTGCTAGCGGACAACCCCAACGGGGAATCGCCTATGTCGCGGGATGAGATGGTTAGCAATGCCAGTGCCATTGTCTTAGCTGGCAGTGAGACATCAGCAACCCTACTTAGCGGGTGCACTTGGTTGTTGCTAAAGAACCCGGAGTATCTGAACACTCTCACCGAAAGGGTGCGCTCGCAGTTCGCCCGGGCAGCAGATATTGATGCACAAACCGTTACACAGGTGGAAGGTCTACAAGCAGTGCTGGAGGAATCCCTGCGTCTGTATCCACCGGTCCCCATGCAAAGTAATCGTATTGTTCCGCCGCAAGGTGCTCAGATTGCCGGAATGTGGGTTCCTGGGGGGGTAAGTCTCTTCCTTTCCTTTTCACCATTCATTTCCTTCCCCTCTCTCCCTTGTCCCCCCTTCGTTTCCTTTCCTTTCCTTTCTTTTTCTGCGGGGGGGGGGGGAGGGTACGTGCTATCTTGACCCCGCTCGCTCACCGAGGTTTCCTTACAACAGACGTCAGTCGCGGTGCAGCAATTTGTAGCATGCCGTTCTGCGGACAACTTTCATCGTCCTAATGAATTCCTGCCGCAAAGATGGCAGGGACAAGGTGAATTCGCCAATGACCGTCGAGAGGCCTCGCAACCCTTCAGTATCGGCCCTCGAAACTGCATTGGACGCCAGCTGGCCTACGCGGAGATGCGGCTGATTCTGGTGCATGTTCTGTGGCATTTCAATCTTCGACTGGATCAGGGCCGTATGAAGGATGCGGACTGGTTGGCGGAGCAAGGGATCTGGATTCTGTGGGATAAGAATCCACTGTGGGTTGTGCTGGAACCGCGGGAGAGAAAAAGCTAGAGGAGGACGATGCAACATGAGAAAGAAGGGGCCGTATTTCGCGGGTAGTAAGCGAGGTCTATACTAGTTAACTAGTTGCGGTGGATAGAGTAAAGACATAGGCACAATAGTAGTTAGCTTAGCCGACTCCTCAAGGGCCTCGTCTCTTATCATGTAAAAGGTTACGTCCGTATATACTCCGCACTGACCAAACCGAGACCGTGCGAGACTGGCGTGTACAAGAATCCAGGGAGCCTGATTGGGTTCTCCAGGGCCTGGGAAAGAAAAGAGAGCTATATTGTTGACTGATATGTGGATCCGCAGAGGTCTCGCATAGCCAAATTTACTAATTTCCCAATAATGATTCCATAAATATGCAATAATCATCCGTCTAACGATTACTTGAGCTGCATTGGAAGATTGTTCCTTTCCCAAACGGGAAAATGCGCATTCCTCCCTCCCATAGTACCAATATCTCACCGGCCCGAGCCTAAAGTTCCGCAGCCAATCCAACCCTTGATCAGCCTTGCCAAGTTGGTCTATGGGTGGATAGTGTGGGCAGTGGAGACTGCAGTTCGTGTCCTGTCCCTGGTGGCGGCCGAATCAATCAGGGTCTGGTCGATTATTGCTGGAGCAAGGCGAATGAAGGATGCACGATTGCAGAAAATCCCTGGCCCTCGGTCAGCGAAGGGCCTGGACAGACTGATTTGCTCGAAACTCCCCCACCACCTTCCTTCTTTCCCCCACTTTCTCGCTTCCCCCCCCCCCTCTCTATCTTGAAAGTGGATCGACAGGTGCGCGTATGTCAGCGCCCCTTCTCTTCGTAAGCCTGATACCGCACCTCAAGGATGATCACGGCACTGCTGGGCGAGCGTATCTCATTACTCAAGACTAGCCCCCCCCCCGAATCTCGTGCAGTAGCCAAAAGCTCAATGATCTCGGGCTTGCTTGGCTGCCTGTCATTGGATAGTTGGAGAAGCGATAGATCCCGCAGCCGTACCATAGCTTCTGTCCCACGATCGACGGCTCCCGGAAGGGGCAGGACCAGGGCAGTTAAAAGTAAGCGGGAAGTGGGCTGTGCGCGAAGTACCTGGAGATGGGCTCGGAGCTCCAACATGACTTGGTTTCGAACCGTGGTCCACGATAACAGTGGAGATGGGGATGGGAGACGCATGATGTAGAGGGCAGCCCCTACAACTGTCTGGGCGGTTGCAGGTGCTCGAGACTGCACCGAGATACGGCTACTCACCGACGATGGAAGATGGTAGGTCATCCACGAAGGACCCCCGGGGCCATCGGGGCTGGGGATGAGACCCCCCTGGCCACTGGGGGAGCTCGTTTGGACGACAAATTGAATGGCCGGCGCCAGTGCGGCCAGTGTCGCTGCAGTGGTTATCGATGGAGGGTGAATCTACACAAGGGGGGCAAAGGGGGGGGGAGTGTGACAAGACAAGCCCCTGGTGTTAGCCTAAAGCAACTAGGAAAGGTTTGGGTTAGGGTTTGTTGCATTGATGAGCAACGTATACTCACATCTACTACCGTCGTTGATCCGAGACCCTCCCAATCCACCAGCTTGAGCACCTCATCGACTGCGGATGCCTCGTCCAGTATCCCATGGGCCAGATAGGCGGCAAACTGACGCTGGACCTTGGGTTGCGAGGAGTCCAGACCATCGGCAAAAACGGTCATTTGCCCGTCTGCGGCCGCCCTCAGTGCCCACAGCTGGGGACGATCAGACGACGTACAAAATGGCTGAACTTCGGGCGTCATCTTGAGTGCCGCGGGAACCGCTATCTGAGCCAGAAACAAGGCTGCATCCAATAATGCTGGCTCGGTGACAAATGACGCCGACAACTGAGTATGAGCAACGTGCCCATGGCTAGGCTCACAGAGAAAGCCAGTGGTCGTCATCAGGCGAACTACACGCTGGAGCCGGTCCGCTGGGACATTGCTAATGTCGGCCACCTCTTCAAAGGCTACTGATCCTTCGAGTGGAATGCATGCAAGCACCTGAAACTCACAGAGCCATTGTAGATTGGCTAATATCTGAGTCTATCACCTAGTGAGATGGCCGTAATCGAGTCCGAAGACACACACTCACATACCTGTAGGGCTAACTGCTGCAGAAAGTTGGATGGCTGAGTGAGCATGATTTGGAAGTGGATAGTTAATAGGGAAGGATTCTAGATGATAGTCGACAATCCTCCTCTTTCGTCTCTGGTACACCACAGAGGGGAGGGGCGCTGGAAAGGAGGAGGAGGGGAATGTCTCGGATGCGAATCCCAAATCGTCTATCCCAAGTCTTGATTGATATCCTGACAAGTTGTCACGGATACCCCATTTATCTAAGGGAAACAAAATCAATAATTACTCCGGATAGCATTCTCCATGCCGGACCTATCCATTTTATGGGTTATTGAAGGAATGCTGACAGCCCTAATGCAGCATCGAGGGTTTCTTTTTTTTTTTTTTTTTTTTTTTTTGGCCCCCCTCCTTGAGGTCTTCGTCGGTTGTTTGCTGAGCCTCTCGCACTAAGCAGACGATGCAAGTGGAGGACTGCAATAATGTATGAAGCTATTAATTGATAATGCAATTAATTACGGAGCCCTCAGATTCGAGAGCCCACGATACTACCCGACGACCGAAATGACTGGTTGCTGTAAACCCCGCTGACCTGGTCGTACGAAGATTAGTTTAGTCCAGGGACACAGCTTACTTCCTCCCAGTAACGACAATGAGTATATATCAATATCCATCGGCATTTAATTCTGACGCTCCAATTCCTCATTGCGGATTTGGGGATTTTTTGGCTTTTTTTTTTCTTTTCTTTTGGGGTTCTCCGTCATTCAACATTCATGGAGCGCACCGCGGTCCATCTTCAGCATGATACATCTCGTCCCAGTGTCACCGGGGGTAGTACGCAAAGTACCCGAAAACTGCGAGAAAGTTGCATGCGTTGCTCCGGCTCCAAGGTTAAATGCAATAAGGAAAAGCCTACGTGCAGTCGATGCGCACGCCGTGGTCTGTCTTGCGAGTATACTATATCGAGACGCACTGGCCGTACCCGAGTTATTGGGGTCGAGAAGCCACGAGCAACAACAGCAACAGCAGTCCCAGGAACAGGAACAGGAACAGGGACAGGGACAGGAACAGGAACAGGCACAGGCACAGGCACAGGAACAGACACAGGAACAGGAACAACAACCGCAACCGCAACCTCAACAACAGCAACAGCAACAGCAACAGCAACAGCAACAGCACCACCAGCAGGACCAGGATCCGGATCAGGACCAGGAACAGAAACACCAGTCGCCGCATCGGGTGCCACCATTGACCCTTCCTCAACTACTGCTACCACAACTAGTAGTAGTGGCGGTCATGTCAATGTCCATGGCAACCATGCGGGGATTAACAGCAATGGCATCTGCTCACATCGTAATACTCCGGTTGTCACTCCCCATACACCGGCTACCACTGCCCGAACCTCCCCCAAGTTAGACCATTTACGCTCTCCCCCCGAGGAAACCGAGCTCTGGAACTCAATTTTGTCTCCCAATGCCAGCAATTGTACAGATCTATCCTCTCTCCTCTCCTTGAACACCGATATTGGACAGCTCTTTGCCTCACTATCGCCCCCGAGTCTGGACACAGATGCGGTGGATACCGATCTGCACCGGCATGGGATGGCAGACCTATCGGTGGCCGATGCCGCATCCGCCTCCTTTATGCAGGATATCACCGGGACGGCTGCTCTGTCATCCGGGTCCTCTTTTCCCAACACGCATCCTTGCTGTTTGACCATCTGCTTGGAAATCCTGATGCGGCTATTCCCGAATGCCCCCGTTGGCTGCCAACGGCCCGGGAGCGAAGACGAGCCTAGTAAACTCTGCACGATTGAGTCGGTTATTGCGGATAATAAACAGATTATGGACACGATCCAGACCGTATTGGAGTGCCGCTGCGCACAGGATGAGTATGTCGTGACGCTCGTGTCCCTCATTGTCCTCAAGGTGATGGGTTGGTATGTCGCTGCTGCTCGGGACCGGCCCTCGGGTGCAGTCCGCGACGGGGGTATGGATTGGGAGGGCGGGCTGCACAGTCGTCGACCTTCCTCCTCCTCGTTTGACGAGGAGGTGCTGCATTTGCCCACGATTATTGGCGGATACTGCATTGATGGCCATCATCAGAGCCGTATGGCCGCCCAGCTGGTGCTCAGTGAACTACACCGCGTCCAGCGGCTGGTAACGCTGGTGGGACGTAGGTTTGAAGTTCTGAGACAGCGTCCCTTTAGTCAAGACTCTTCTGCGAGCTCCAGCTCGGCCGCCAGCAGTGTGCTGGACTCTGGCGGCCCATTGCCTATGCTCCCCGGTCCGGGGATATCGCCCCTGTCATCCAACACTTTGTCTCATTTGGAGGACGATCTGCGCAGACGATTCCGGGCAGTCTCCTCGGAAACAATTGAAATTTTGCGCCGTGCATAACGAAGTCTTTCTTGTTTACCTATCATGGATGAAGGTCCTTTCCTGGCCGGGAGAGAGAGAGAGAGAGAGAGAGAGAGAGAGAGAGACAGAGGAGTCCTCATGAGGCGTAGCAGCAAGTGTTACTTATGGCCTCATGCCTGCATACCCGAGTTGCGGGCTCCATCCGATTCTATCCGGCCTGTTCATAAATATCAAGCATAAAAACAAAGACCAAAAAAAAACCAAAAACCAAAAACCCCAAAAAATCAATAAATATCAATGACAAGCATGGCAACAAACAATAAGCAGATATATTTCGCTGGCCGACACTGCGTACACCATGCTCGATGTTCACGGAGTTCTTCGCGGCCAGTTGGGTGCAAATATCCAGGAGAGTTGGAAGTCCATCGCCGGGGTCAATAACCCTATGATATTGAGGCCAAAGGTGTTCATGATTTATGGCGTGTCATTCCGCATTTTGGATTTCTACTTCTAGGCGTTGTTATAACTAGATGTGCGTTGAATGCAATGCATTAACATTCCACCGTCCTCCACACGCAGCCTTTAGAATCTCGATACAGAATACTGGTCTGCCAGGAGGAGGAGGAGGGGAGACTTTGCGAGAATGTAGCATTGATGCGGCGAATCTTGTATAACATACACACACGATCGCAGAGTTCCCGAAAGATAGAAAGATAACACGAATACATCGTAACTACCAAGCAACCTGAGAACCGTCCGAGAACAAGACAAACTGTCCGGACGTGGTCTCTTTCCTCGCTTCGTTCATCTGCGAAAGACCAGATGCCGATTAGTAAAGACATATATGCATATAACTATACGAGGGAATCCGATATCGAACGTACCCTGGAGCATATTCCCACCACACTGTCTTCGATAGTTACAGGGGCAGCGTCCCGGCCCAAGAGCCTGGCCCCTTGTGCCCCCATGTCGGTTTGAACATGTCTGGCTCCATATCCATATCAGCAGCCGTCTGATTTCCGAACCCCTTCCCCCGCCGGGTTTCGGATCTTACTCACCCCGGGTCAACAATATAGGCGAGGAGCCACTTATTCTCAAAGTGGAACTTGCGCACTAGGTAGTTGGCGGCCAACTTGGAGAGCCCGTAGTTGGTCAGCGGTGCCCGAGCACATCCTTCCATCTCGGTAATGGTGCTGATGGGCGCCCCGATCAGAATGAACTGTGGAGGGTGGTAGGAGGCTGCCTCTTGCAGCAGGAGTCGCGTGGCCTGGAAGAGCAGCAGGACGGCGTAGGCGTTGACTTTCATATGGGCTTCGAGATGCTCCAGCGGCATGGTCGACGCGGGGCCGTAGTTGGCGGCGATCGCGGCATTCGCGATCACTACATCGAGATACGTGAGGCCATATTCTTGCTTGAGCGTCGCAATGGCTTCGTCGGCGTCAGACTGGGAAGTACAGTCCAGCTGTAGGACAATCAGTTGCGAGTCGTCGGCCCTGGGGAGCTCCTCCAGGGTGGCTTTCTGCGTGGCTACACTGCGGACCCCGGCGATCACAATACTGTTGGGACGGAGCAGAAACGCCGTAACGAGACCTTTTCCGAGACCTGTGATGGCATCAGACCACTATCCTTCAAATATCCTCAGATGCATGGTGGTGCCTGACCTCGACTCGCCCCGGTCACTAAATACACGGTCTTCCGATCAGCTCGGAGATCATCTTCTGCGCCTGCAGTTCCAAACCTCGTCATGGTGAATATCAATATCAAAAGGGAATTGGACACGATGAAAGCAAAAGTGGGATGGCGAGACTGACTCCTTAGGTACCTCTTTCTTAAGTACTTCTCTTGCCTGGTCGGGTGAAAAACCGAGCTCGGATTGCGAAAGTGCATCCATCCCTACGCTGCATCGGACTTGACCACGGCGCCAATATTAGGATCGAATGGATTTGTAACCGCATCTCCTTTGTTTTACATTTTTTTTCTTTTTTTTTGGTGTGGCTCTTCTCGTATTCACCACGGAGTAAATTTGCAAATGGTGTACATACATACAGGATGAGAAAAGAGACTACGCCGTGTCAAACAGACCTAGGAGAGCGCTACCAACGACAGTAATAATAGGGGCATATCCCCAATGACCCCATTCGCCCTTACCCCAGCTCCAGCATATCACGCCGTCTGCAAACGCCACACTGCTCGCGGCGATGAGAGTCCAACCCAGGGACTGGCGAGTTCCGAAGAAAGCGGCGGCGTAGATGGCAAGACCCATGAAGATATCTCTGACACCGTAGACGTGCATCAAACTGTCGACAAGTTGTTTTTCTGCGAGGGTCGTAGGATGCTGCCATTCAAAGAAGGACAAGGCATGTTCGGGACGCAGGAGGGCGTTGATACCGAACCCGATAAAGGTGGTCGCAAAGCAGTTGCCCGCGATACGAAGCGCGCTATTCTGAGAGAGAAGCATTTCGTTTTTGTTTTTTCTTTTTAAAGCAAAAAAAAAAAAAAGAATACGGTAAGTGGTAATCTGCGAGAATAGTCAGCTCAAGCAAGACTGAGGGAAACGCGTTCGAGGACTGCTGACCGTCACCAGCTATGAGAAGCGGCAAGAAATCAAGAGAATAGGAATCGTATAGGGAGGTTTCCAGTTGCGAGAGTAAGAAGAGGAGCTGAACTGAAGGGATTTATTTATCGTGACAGAGAGAGAGAGAAAAAAGCCGCAAGGACGGAAGGAGGGGAAAGTTGTTAAAATCCCTTTGGAAACAAAGAAAAACACACCGGATTACTAACTATTCTTTGTATTTTAATAAAAAAATAAGGAAATGGAAAGGAAATTCGTCCAGTCTGGCCTGTGGTTCGCTCGCCGAAGTACGTCGTCGTCGTCGTCTTCTTCTTCTTCTGCTTCTTCGTTCTCGTGGAATGTAGCCCTAGAGACTTCACCACACGGAGCCCTCTAGAACTCTCACTCTCGGGCATCCACCAGCCTGGTCTAATTCTAAGATTATCGTGAGATTTTACTGGCTCCCCATTTCTCCCCATTTCTCATCATATTCTAATTTCCCGTAAACAGTTTGGGGCTGAGAATGAGATCTCATGCAGTTCGTGCAGCCAACATGCCTTCCCCCCCACCTCCCTTGGTCCCCTTGGTTCCCTTTCTGCTTCGCTTCTCTCAGGTCAGACTCGTTTAGTCAGTTCGTGTTCTATTCATAGTTTCTTCCCACAGCCGGGCTGACTTCCTCCCAGCCGGGTGGAATCGACGCCCTCGTGGTGTACTATGTAGGTAGGGGTCTTGCAACGAACGCACCAGGAACAGGCATCGTTTAGTGATCGGTTGTCGTTTAACTCTCTATTCGCCGGAGCAGGACGATTATAGAACCTCGTGTCCAAGCCCAGTGTAACTATGTGGTGAAGCTTGTTATCCCTCTATACTACTCGATACTACTGTAGACTACTCTAGCTTACTCGATCTCGTCTATTCGCTCTCATTTAGTCTGATAGCCCCCAAATTCTGTGTCTTACCCTCCTCTGCTAGATTGATTCCGGCTTAAGAGTCGTCGATATTCGAGATGATGACCCCCAGTGGCTTCATCGCCCCCTTGAGGTGGGCAGCCAACATAAACCTACCGAAATGAGGTATGATCAGGCAATCACGTCTGCCTCGTCTCTGCCTCGCTGAAGGGTAATTTGAAGCGAAGGCCAGTGAAAGCTCCACTAGGAAAGGATGATGACCTATATAAAGGACGCTGGTGGTTCTCGTCTTCCGCTTGAGACCATCAACAACCTCCACATCTCCCCATCTTTCTATTACCAACCCGAGCAAGCACCGGAGATAAATTCATCATCATGTTCGTGAAAACGGCGCTGCTTGGCCTGCTGTCTGGTTCCTTCCTGTACGGAATGGCCCAGGCCGAGCTGGATTTTACCCAGTGGCATCCTGCAGGGCCCAGCGACTTGCGCTGCGGCTGTCCGGCGATGAACAGTTTGGCCAACCATGGGTTCATCAACCACAATGGCAGCAACATCACCGTTGGCGAGGTCGTCCCCCTGATGCAGGAGGTCTTCCATCTGAGTGAAGAGCTGGCATCCATTGTGACCGGTCTCGCCTTGCTGGCAGCGGACAATCCGGCGTCGGGTACCTTCTCCCTGGCCATGCTCAACCGACACAATATCTTCGAGCATGACGCCTCTCTTACCCGCAAGGACTTCTATCTGGGCGGCGACGGGCACACCATTGACCCGCCGTCCTTGAAGAGCTTCCTGGCCCATTTCGAGGGGAAACAATGGGTCGACCTCAATGATGCGGCTGCTGCCCGTTATGCCCGTGTGCTCTTGTCGCGGGCGAAAAACCCAGACTTCACATATCGTGACCAGCAAGTGATTACCAGCTACGGCGAGACCATCAAATACTTCCGCACCATGGTGGATCCACGATCGAATCGTACCTCGGCCGAGTTTGTGAAGATTCTGTTCTCGGAAGAACGCCTGCCGGTCAAGGAAGGTTGGCAACGTCCCGCAGAAGAGATCAGTGGCTTTTCGTTGGCGAGCGACGTCACCCAGCTGGCCTTGCGTACTCCAGAAAAGTACCTGCACCATCCCTTTGACCAGCGACCTTTTGCCGAACAAGCCTTGGACCCCCTGTCGTGGGAGCTGCCTCCCGACCAGCAACATGGACACAACCAGTCCAAGCGGGAGATTTCATTCCAGGCCTAGAGTACTCTGACTTTGTTAGTAGTGAGCTTGTTCTTCTTGTGTCTTTTCTTGTTGGCTTTTATTTGAGGTTGCGTTGTGATCAGGTTTTGTTGTAAATAGCATACATACCGGTAGCATTTTTCAATGTTTCTATACTCAGGAGTGTCAATGTGAATCTCGTTTTACCTACATGATGAACCAGCCGTCCACGATCTCTCTACGCTAATTCCGTGCGAATGCATGTTTTGGATGTACTTCTGTCCCTCCACCATGTCGAAGCCGAGTCATATCCTAACCCCAAGATATAAATGGATGCAATAAACCCGGGATTATCCAGTCTGCATATGCCAGCCCGTCCCAGACTACACTCACTCTGAACAACAGGGCTGGACATGCAGCCGATTTGTAAGCGGAAATCTCCGGATACTAAATTTTAGTTCGAGTTTAGTAGCTTTTAGTAGATTCTATGTAGTGAACTTTAGTGGGTTTAGTGCGTTGGGGCTATACTCTGTTCCTACGACCTCTGTCTGGACTTGGGCCCGAAGTACATACGAGATTGCAGCTGGAATAGGATAATAGCGTACGCCTGATAGGATGAATCTAGCCCAGCCGGATAGTACAGCGACGGTCTCGAGGCACTCCCGCGATAAAGCTATCCACCACCTGCATACTTTCCTCCGTTACGCTCTCGCTAAGTCGCGCTCCTGCACATTCTCGGAAAAAAATGGCCGTGGCCAGCCGCATTTCAACCCGGCCAAGATGGATACCCAAACACTGTCGTGCCCCATGGCCGAATGGGTTGAATGCTATCTTGGCCTGCTCCGTCATGCCTGACTCCCGAAGCCATCGCGTGTGGTCGAACCTAGATACCAGAAGAAGAAAATGCCGTGTTAGTTGTGATACGTGAAAACAAAACGGGACCTCTTACGAATTGGCATTCTCCCAGATGTTAGGATCCCGCTGGAGACTCCAGTTTTGTGTCACCACCACCGTGTCCGCAGGGAGAAAGTATCCCCCGAGCGTCGCCCCCCCCGGCGGTGGGCTGCGCGGCATACACCCGGGGGCTGCTCCATAGAGCCGGAGACTTTCATTGATGACGGCGTTCAAAATAGGCAAGCCCTCACAGGCGGCATCCGTGATCTCACCCTCGAGCTGGGCTACTTCTGCTTCGACCTCGTGTTGAATCTGGGGCCGACTCAGCACGCACCACAGAAGAAAAGTCAGCGAGATTGCCGTCGGGTCGGAGCCTGCCAATAGCAGGGCTCCGGCATCGGTGATGATATCTGTGTCCGTTAGACTGCCTGCCTCGAGGGCTTTATTGAATAGATTGCTGGGACCACTGTCGTCGCCGTCACGCTTGACGGCCCTTGCCCGCGAGACGACACCTCCTCCGGCGGCAAACATCTTTTCCTGCGAGTAAAATACGTCATGTAGCTGGGGGATAACATGGGCCAGCATGCGCCCCAGGTAATAGCCCGGCGGCGCAAAATGCTTGAGCAGGTGGGCGAGATCCCCCATGCGGCGCTCCAGCATGAGGACAAACGGTTCCTTGACCCCTTTGGCTACCGTTCCAGCGCCTCCACCGAACGTGAGCCGGCAAACCACTTCGTTCGCCATGAGCGTCCACCATCCCATAATCTCCGCCTCTCCGTTTAAAGCATCATGTTTGATGCGCTGCACCGTCATCTTGGTGATCTCGCGTATGGTTGGCTCCCACTCTTTCCGTAGACTTTGCAGGGTGAATCCGCGCGCGTACAGCTTCCGCCGCGCCGCGTGAAGTTTGGCGTCGCGGAAGTTGAAGATGTTGTCGACGGGGCCTGGGGACAGCAACGCGTAGAAGGGAGCTTTGGTAAACCCGGATCCCATGCGGTGCATCTCCCGCCCTAAGGCTGGGTCTGCCACATCGACCTCCTGCGGTCCAATCCGGACAATGGGGCCGTAGTCCTGGTGTAGCTTATGGACGTAATGAATCCGGTTGTTGGCAAATACCGACCAGGACAGACGGAGCCCAGTCAATCGCGCATACCACGGACCGGGGATCCGACTCAGAGGGCTGAAGTAGGCGATACGAAGAGTCTGGAGCCAATGTTTAAGCAGGAAATTTCTCTTCCCCGATACTGGCAGACAAGACTTACTTGGAACACCTTAACCAGGAGCCACAGCCCCCCGACATAGACGAGAATGGAGAGCCATTGTGTGCTTCCAAGTGACGTGAAGAAATCCATAGCATCGAGTCTCATCAGATCATGACTGCAAGATAGACTCCATGTTAGAGCCGGGGAAGATATATTATTATTCTTCTTCTTCCGTTTGGACGGGTCCGCGCTTGTTGGCCGCTGTCGGGGATGCGAGGAGAACTCACAGCAGCCCCCCTTCGCCAGATGTCGGTCCTCGTTCAGGGCCTGGCAGAGTTGCCTTCGTGTCGGCCCTCTCACGGGTCACGGTCAGCGAGCTTTATATCGGTCCGAAGATGTGGGCCGCCGTGAGTGCATGTCCTGCACGATGGCATCGAGATAGATAAAACTCATCATGGAAATTGAATCCTCTGAGGAAATCAGACCACCTTAGGCCAACATCCTTTGTCATTCACTTCGCAACCTCTAGGATGATGTCTCAACCGTATCCTACGCGACTGTTTCTCTTCGGAGACCAAACCTATGATTTTGCCCCAGAGCTCCGAAGCCTCTTGGCCGTCCGCAACAACCCTATCTTGACGGCCTTCCTGGATCAATCGCACTACGTCGTGCGGGCGCAGATGATCCAGAAGCTGCCCCCCAAAGAGCACAAGGACGCACGCGCCGGATCCCTTGCGGAGCTGCTGCAGAAGTATGTCGACGGGAGACTTCCTTCCGCCTTCCAGACGGCTCTCTCGTGCATCACGCAACTGGGCTCTTTTATGCGTCAGTTTGATGACGCTTCTATCCCCTACCCTCGCTTTAATGACAGTTATGTCTTGGGGGTATGCACAGGCTCTCTTGCCGCAGCCGCCGTCAGCTGCAGCACCTCTCTCTCCGACCTGCTGCCCATTGCTGTACAGACCGTTCTTGTTGCGTTTCGCCTGGGTCTCTGTGCGCAAGAGGTGCGTGACCGACTCGAGATATCGTTTGAGAACCGCACAAAGCCGTGGTCGGTGGTGTCCGACCTCTCCCGACAAGAAGTGGCTGCTGCCCTCGATCGATTCAGTGAAGAAGGGGTTGGTCACCCCCCTTTTCATCTCATTTCTCATTCGCCATGAGCCCTCCCGCTGACTTTACTGACACGATTACCTCTAGATGCTATCCACCACCCGCAAGCCCTGGATCACCGCAACCTCAGCTAAGACAACCACAATCAGTGGCAGCCCAGAGATACTAGCACGACTGGCCGCTGACCCATCGCTAGAGCGGGGGAAACGGTGGAGGGAGATTCCCATATATGTCCCTGCCCATAACCCACACCTTTTCACCGCGAGAGATGTCGACTCGATCCTGGAAACGACCGATCCGCACCCATGGTCCGATTATGGTGCGAAGATTCCCTTCGTATCCGCCGTCACAGGAAAGCTGGTCTGGATCCGGAACTACCGCGACCTGCTCCAGCTTTCTCTGTCTCAGTGCCTCATAGAACCCATCCGATGGGATCTCGTCGAGACAGAGCTGCCAAGGCTGTTTGAGTCCCGGAAGGGCATTGAATCGGTGTCGATTGTTTCCTTCACCACGGTCCTCACCAAGAGCCTGTCGACCGCTCTGACCAGCGAAGGGATCACTGCAGATATCCAGACCACAGCCGACAGGATTCCGGAGGCCTGCTCGCACAGGCCCGGTGCTGGAAGAGGGAAGCTGGCTATTGTCTCGATGTCTGGTCGGTTTCCCGAAGCTCCCTCGACGGATTCTTTCTGGGACCTTCTTCACAAGGGCTTAGATGTCTGTAAGGAAGTTCCTTTGCGCCGCTGGGATGTAAACACCCATGTGGACCCAAGCGGTCGAGCGCACAACAAAGGTGCCACGCGCTGGGGCTGCTGGCTGGACTTTGCAGGGGATTTTGACCCAAGGTTTTTCAGCATTTCGCCCAAGGAGGCACCGCAGATGGATCCTGCTCAGCGGATGGCACTGATGTCCACCTACGAAGCCATGGAGCGCGGCGGCATTGTGCCCGACACTACCGCGTCCACGCAGCGTAATCGGATCGGGGTTTTCCATGGCGTCACCAGTAATGACTGGATGGAAACAAATACTGCACAGAACATCGATACGTACTTCATCACAGGCGGCAATCGAGGGTTTATCCCCGGCCGTATCAACTTCTGTTTTGAGTTTTCCGGTCCTAGCTATAGTAACGATACTGCATGCTCGTCAAGCCTGGCTGCTATTCATCTGGCTTGCAACTCACTCTGGCGTGGTGACTGTGACACCGCCGTGGCTGGCGGTACTAATATGATCTTTACCCCCGACGGCCACACTGGTCTAGATAAAGGGTTTTTCCTCTCACGGACAGGCAACTGTAAGCCCTTCGACGACGCGGCAGATGGCTACTGTCGCGCCGAAGGGGTTGGCACCGTCTTTATCAAGCGCCTCGAGGATGCCTTGGCCGATAATGATCCTATCCTGGGGACCATCCTGGATATCAAGACAAACCACTCGGCCATGTCCGACTCCATGACACGACCTTATACACCGGCGCAGGTGGACAACATGTCAGCGGTGCTGAGCACCGCCGGCGTTAGTCCACACGACCTCAGCTACATCGAAATGCACGGAACCGGTACCCAAGTAGGAGATGCCGTCGAGATGGAGTCGGTTTTGTCGCTCTTCGCGCCCAACGAGGCCTTCCGACCGCAAGACAAGCCCCTGTATGTGGGCTCAGCGAAGGCTAACATTGGTCACGGTGAGGGAGTTTCGGGGGTCACTAGTCTCATCAAAGTATTGCTGATGATGAAGCATAATACTATTCCACCGCACTGTGGTATCAAACCCGGTAGTAAGATCAATCACAACTACCCCGATCTGCCTGCTCGCAATGTCCATATCGCTTTTGAGCCAAAGCCATGGCCCCGTACCGATACTCCACGACGCGTCCTCATCAATAACTTCAGTGCTGCCGGTGGCAATACGGCGGTGCTGGTGGAGGATGCTCCCGTTCGAGATATGCCCAACGTCGTCGACCCTCGAACCAATCACATTGTTACTGTCTCAGCCCATGTCGGCAAGTCACTCAGGGCCAATATGCAGAGGCTACGGGATCACATCCAGAAGCAGCCAGATATTAGTCTCCCGCAATTGTCGTACACTTCTACCGCTCGACGATGGCATCATCTCCATCGAGCCAGCGTCAGTGGTTCCTCCATCGATGAGATCTTGCACAACCTAGAGATCGCCATCGAGAAGGGCGAGGGAATTAATCGTCCCAAGACTAAACCTACCATTGTCATTGCTTGCTCTGGCCAAGGTTCTCAGTATACCGGAATGGGTCGGCAGCTTTATGATGCTTACCCAACATTTCGCGCTGACCTTGAGCGATTCGACCAGTTAGCCCGGAGCCAGGGGTTCCCTGGCTTCCTCAGCGTGTACACTGCTCCGAACGTCGGGGATAGCATGGAGGAAATGCTTCCCGTGATTGTCCAGTTGGCCCTAATCAGCCTTGAAATGGCCCTGGGAAATCTCCTCGAGTCATTTGGATTGAAGCCCAGCGCGGTGGTCGGCCACAGTTTAGGCGAGTATGCTGCTTTGTACTTGGCCGGTGTTCTCTCCGCTGCAGACACACTTTACCTGGTGGGAAAAAGAGCGGAGCTGCTCCAAGAGCGCTGCCAGCGTGGTACTCATGCCATGCTAGCTCTGCGAGCATCGCCCGACATGCTGGCGGAGATCCTCGCGGACTCTAGCTGCGAAATTGCATGCCGCAATGGTCCCAGTGACACGGTTCTTAGCGGATCACTGGAGGAGATAACCGGCATTCAGCGCACTCTGCTAGCCCAGGGTATTAAAGGCACTCTGTTAAAACTTCCATTTGCCTTCCACTCGGCTCAAGTCCAGCCAATCCTCTCAGACTTTGAGGAGCTAGCTCGCGGCGTCACATTTCACAAGCCATGCATCCCAGTGCTCTCACCCCTGCTGATTAAATCTATCGATGAACACGGCATCATTGATCCGGCATACCTTGCACGACACTGCCGCGAGCCCGTCAACATGGTTCAAGTCTTGGAACTGGCACACAGCCAGGGAATCATCAGCGATCGCACCATTCTTGTGGATGTCGGTCCCAAGCCGTTGCTGAGTGGCATGATTAAGACGACCCTAGGCAACGACGGTAGTAGCAGGAGCACAGCATTGCCAGTCCTTAGCCCCAAAGCCGATGTTTGGCAGAATCTCCTAACCGTGCTCGGCACCCTGTACTGCGGTGGTCAAGATATCAACTGGCCTGCATACCATGCGCCATTTGAGTCGGCTAAGAAGGTGATCCATATGCCTGACTATGCATGGGATTTAAAAGAATACTTTATCCCCTATAAGGGTGAGTGGTGCCTCCATCGCCATGAGATCCACTGTAGCTGTGCTACTCCGGGCAAGGAAACGGCCACCAGTGATTATAAACTTCCCACGCTAGATCCCGTCCCAGTCAAACGTCCATCCAAGCAAGACGAATCCAAGGAGGCGTACCCGGAGATTACAACCACCACCACCTTGCATCGCGTGGTGGAGGAGAAAACGGAGCCATTGGGTGCCACCTTCATGGTGGAGACTGACATCTCACGCAAAGACGTTCGTGGCATAGCTCAGGGCCATCTAGTTGATGGTATTCCCCTCTGCACACCTTCCTTTTATGCGGATATCGCTTTACAGGTGGGTAGATACTCCATGAACCGCCTCCGGGCTAGCCATCCTGGTGCTATGGACGGCGTGGTGGATGTCTCCGACCTGGTGGTCGATAAAGCCCTGATCCCCCATGGCAAGGGACCGCAGTTGCTGCGCACCACACTCGCCATGACATGGCCACCGAAGGCTGCCGCGACAACGCGCAGCGCCAAAATCAAATTCGCCACGTTTTTTGCCGATGGACAGCTGGACACCGAGCACGCAACCTGCACTGTCCGGTTCACCAGCGACGCGCAACTCAAGTCTCTCCAGAAGAAGGTGCCAGAGTACAAAGCTCACATTGAGCGACTACGCCAGGGTCTCAACAAGGGCCAGTTCATTCGGTATACCCGGAAGAGTGGATACAAGCTGATGAGCAGCATGGCCAACTTTCACCCTGACTACAAGCTGCTGGATAATCTGATCCTGAACGAGGCGGAGAATGAAGCCGTGTCAATGATGGAGTTTTCAGCCGCCAAAAGCGAAGGTACCTTTGCCGCACATCCTGCTTATGTTGACGCCATTACCCAAGTGGGTGGGTTTGCTATGAATGCCAACGATAACACCGATATCGAGCGCGAAGTATATGTAAACCATGGATGGGACTCGTTCCAAGTTTACCAGCCTCTGGTTAAGGGAAAGACTTACGAAGTTTACAGCCGGATGGTTAAGGATAAGACAGGCGATCTTGTCCATGGCGATACCATAGTACTGGATGGGGACGTGGTTGTAGCCTTCTTCAAGGGGCTTTCCGTGAGTAAAATGCTTCCCTTAGTTTTTTTTTTTTTTTTTGGACCAGCTTTCGCTAATGATGATTCCAGATCCGCTCTGTTCCACGTAGGGGACTTCGAATGGTCCTACAACAGGCTGCGGATAAAGCTGCTCAAGTGCATGGAGGCAAACCAGCACCAAAGAACCAAGTGGCTGAACGTCTTGCCTCAATGCATAACCACACTCCGTCCCCTGCAGCCCCGGCTCCGGCACCTACTACACCTACACCCGTAGTTTCAAAGCCGGCGAAAACCATTGCGAAACCGTCCCATTCGAAGCCTAGCAAATTGCAAGCCGTGCTGCATGTCATCTCGGAGGAGAGCGGTGTCGCCTTGGAGGAACTCACTGACGACAGTAACTTTGCGGATATGGGGATTGATTCCCTTAGCTCCATGGTTATCGGAAGTAGACTGCGCGAGGACCTGGCTCTTGACTTGAGTGCTGACTTCTCGTTGTTCATTGACTGCCCCACGGTTGGAAGCCTGAAGACATATCTCGCAGACTCGAGTGGTGCACAAGAGTCGGCAGATGCCGTCGAAGAAGAAGAAGAGGAAGAAGAGGAAGAAGAAGAAGAAGTGGTGATCGAGAATCTGGCTCCCCTCCAGCCCGATCTCGGACATGAGCATTCTGTCCCCATGGGTAGCGCAAAGGCTCAAACTGATCCCCAGGAGTCGCTTGAACTTGGCGATGAAGTCTTTAGGGCTGCAATGAAGGTCATATCAGAGGAGAGTGGGGTGGCTCTAGAAGAGTTGACTGCCGAGACAGTTTTTGCCGACATTGGCATCGACTCGCTGAGCTCGATGGTGATCAGTAGTCGATTCCGTGAGGACTTGGGGATCAGTCTAGACTCGTCATTTAACCTGTTTGATCAGGTTCCCACGGTGGCCAGTCTCCAGCAATTCTTGGGTGGGAGAAGCGGAAGCACGACTGCTTCTCTCGGTAGTTCGGACGAAGACGAAACAAGCAGCAGCCGTTCCACTATACCGGAAGATGATCCTCTCATACCGTTGCAGGACAGGGTTGCTGAGTGTCGCCCCACGAGCTCCGTGATCCTCCAAGGTCTCCCCCGTATGGCGAAGCGGACATTGTTCATGCTCCCCGATGGCGGTGGTTCAGCCTCCTCCTACATCACCATTCCGCGTCTGCAGTCTGATGTCGCCATCGTTGGCCTGAATTGCCCTTATGCACGAGACCCTGAAAATATGCAATGCACTCATCAGGCCATGATCCAAAGCTTCTGCAATGAAATCAAACGGCGTCAGCCGCAAGGTCCCTACCATCTCGGTGGTTGGTCGTCCGGGGGTGCGTTTGCATACGTGACAGCTGAAGCTCTTGTGAACATGGGCGAAGATGTCCATTCGCTCATCATTATCGATGCGCCTGTTCCCCAGGTCATGGAGAAACTGCCCACCTCCTTCTACGAATATTGCAACAACATTGGTCTGTTCGCCAACCAGCCCGGTAGTAACACGGACGGCACCGCCCAACCTCCACCATACTTGATTCCTCATTTCCAGGCTACTGTCGATGTGATGCTTGACTATCGCGTGGCACCACTGAAGACTCCCCGTATGCCCAAGGTGGGCATCATTTGGGCTGCCACCACTGTGATGGAGGAGGCGAACGCCCCGAAGATGAAGGGTATGCACTTCATGGTGCAGAAACGGACCGACTTTGGCCCAGATGGTTGGGACACCGTCTTGCCAGGGGCCGAGTTTGATATTGTACGGGCAGAAGGTGCCAATCATTTTACTTTAATGGTCAGTTTTTTTGTTTTGTTCTGCTCCCTCCGTAGTAAATGGCTATCGGCTGACCACCAGCACAGCAAAAGGAGAACGTCTATCTAGTGCGAGACCTCATTGATCGGGTGATTGGCTGAACTGATTTTGATTCTGTCTTTGGACTGTTGAATATTTCTTTTTACGAAATTCCAGGATTGCTATAATTATTGAGAGACGTGAAGGGCTCAAGATTACCAACCTTCCCCTGGCCGTATATCAGGCAACCCGAACTTACACTCACTTGTATAGCTCTTTCGAGATATTCTCCTACTGTTACTTGCTTCTAATGTCGCACCTATTGTATTAGTTGATCTGGATTTAAGATGTGCTTTTATAGAGTACAGTTGTCGACGCATGTCCTGCCATCAATATCATCTTTGGGCAGTGGAAAAGATATACTTCACATATGATCCACGCTTTTTTTTTTACGCATTTCCAAAGAGAGAGCACGGATTTTATAGGATTAAATGATGGAAAGTGTGCTCGCCAATAGTAGGGCTCTATGCAATTGTTCTATACGATGTTATGTTGTTCTCAGTGTCACTCGACAAGGAAGTCCGTCCGCAGGATGAGCTCCTCCTCCTCCTTTCTCCATCTGATAGGCACGATGTCCATTCACCTCCTTGATTGTATCGCGAGGATGAAGGCGGTCCCATTCATCGTAGGCGGGAGTGATGTTGAACTCTCGCAGGGTCATCGCCAGCGCAATTCGTAATTCCAGTAATGCTAACGTCTGGCCAATACAGCTATGCGGTCCAAATTCAAAGGCCCGCCAGGCCCCTTTGGCCGGATACAGGGGGTCTTCAGGTCCGACCAGCCATCTTTCCGGGATGAACGATTCAACTTCCGGCCAGTGGTTGCTATTGTGGTGGAGAGCCACCGTCAGCGTCCACACGTTGCAGCCGGCAGTAGGATAGCGCCTGCCGTCATCGCCCACGATTTCAACATCGGGTCGCCCCTCGCGCATGGAGGCAGAGGGAGGAAACAGTCGAAGCGTTTCCTTGATCACAGCTAATGTATAGGGCAGTTTATTAAGCAACTGGGGATCCTCGGCGATGCAGCTTTGCGCTTTCTTGATATCCGTGCCAAATACCTCATCGTGCTCCCTACGAACCCGCTCTAGGATCTCTGGGTGTTTCGCTAGGAGATAGAAGGTGTAGAGCAGCGTGCTGCTCGTCGTGTCCCGACCGGCAAATAGGAAGACACGTAGCTGCGGCGCAACCTGCCGCTTGAACGCTTCGAGGGATTGCCTTGTGTCTCCATTCGACTGCTCTTTGAGATACTGCTTGAGGGCGAGTGAGATCACAGATTTGGACGAATAGCCAGGGCGCGCATTATGTACCCGATCCACTTCTTTCCCAATCAATCGGTTCATGAGCCGGCTGTTGTACCACAGTACCAGGGGACGAATCGTTAGGTATCGCTTAACAGGATTGAAGGTCGTTCCGAACGAAGCCCACTCGATTTGTCGCTGTAGTGCTACCGCCAGCGGGTGGTCTTTTTGTTGGTGGAAGAGTCGGGCGTCCCTAAGAAACGTGTCAGTTGCTCCCTCCTCCCACGGGGGATGACGACCACTTACAGCGCAACTGAACAGATGGTGTCCACCGTCAACCTCAGGGTCAAGGGCTCTAGAGAGAAGATGTCACCCTGCTGGGCTTTCTTCCTCAGTTGGTTACGAAACACGGCGACTTCGTCCGCGATGTTGGGAGCCAGCCCGATCAGGTATGCAGGGTTAAACCCCGGGTTGAATAAAGCACGCCACCGTTTCCACGTCTCCCCATGCATACTGATTAGACTAGGGCCGCCGGTTATGGTCTCCAGCGGCCGGCGAAGAATCGCGGGTTTCGTGAGATTTAGACTCTGGATCTGCGAGGCCGCAGTCATTGTCGCGACAATCATCCATGTTCCACTAAAGGGCCACAGATTGATGTAGAAGATGCCCGAGGGAAATTGCTGAGAGAGTTTCAACATGATACTATGCAGAGTCGCGTTGGGTGGCATTCCTTGGATCGTCTGCTTGAGGGCCGCGAAATGGCCCGCTAGGAGCTTGAACTCCGGCATGGGCTGTCCAAGGGTCAAGTCAGTATGTTTCCATTCCCTTGAGAGACTGGGCGAATTGGCATACCAGATTCGCCTTCTGTAGCTTCCATACTTCCCGACGGGCTGTGTAGAACAAGGCCAGGAAGCGGATGAAGGCCACCACCCCAATGGCAGCGATGATTTGAAGATACATAGTAATAACTCCTGATTTTCCCCCTTGAATACACCAGAACCAAGGAAACAACAGAATCTAGGGATAGACAGAATGAGAATAATAAAGATCGAGTGCGTCTTTTGTCTCTCGGAGGCCGAAGTAGTCAAGTCAGCTTTGCTCGGCAGCACAGGTAAATTGTCTGAGAATAACACCGAAATCACTAAAATTCCCAGTGATCATTTGGTATGCTGCCTTGAATTCTGCCTAGGGTTGTATGTATGTTTTATAATATAATTATATCAACTAAGATCGGAGGATACTGGAGTACTAGTTAGGCAGCTCCCCTTGATTTCTAGTTGATATAAACAAGATTACTAGTATCTTCTACCTTGACTAGAGTTTGACGACCTTGATCAATAGGTATATTGCTTGTGTATACTGTATACAAGGGAATTTTAGCCATTTCGGTGTTGCCCTAAGCCGCTGCCGTACTACATATATAGAAAGGTCTCAAATCGCGACGGATTTCTCGTCGATCCACCATTCTTTCCCAACACCATTAGTCCTGTCTATCTATCTCTATCCTCCCCTTCGTGGTTCCCTATGGCGTCCTTCGGCTTCACCATCGTTGTGTTTGTGACCCGCAAACCGGGCCTCTCTCCGTCCGCTTTTCAAGACCACTGGGAAAACCACCATGTTCCTTTACTGAAACGTCTGGGAGGCTCTCGGTTTCCTTTGCGCCATACCCGTCATTATCTGAAGCGAGACCCAACACCTCCCGACTACCCGGTGGCCGCGCTCGTGGGGGGCTCGGCCGATTTCACCTGCGACGCCTTTGCCGTCGTGAGCTTCGAGGATGAAGCGGCTTTCCGAGAATTTCTACCGGTTATGTCGAGCCCGGAGGTTTTGGAGGATGAAGAGCGGTTCACGGATCGTGCAAGGCTCAAGGCCGTCACTCTCGGGGACATCAGACTTTCGACATCGGAGATCGGGGCCTGAAAAAAGGATGCTGATGGCCGCGGCTGGAAGAGAGAGGTCTGTCGGATCTGGTATATTTTGTCTTCGCTGTGGTCGAATTACTTAGAATTGATATTTACTTGCTTGCTTGCTTGCTTGCTTCCAGTCCCGGTTTAGAAATTTCATATCCTCTCCACCCTCAGGATGTCATTTGGCGTGTTCTACACTCGTCCGGTAGTGTCAACCCAACCGTAGCCGGTCGTCCTGAATCCTCTTGCGTATCTAATTTGATTTCTCTCTCTACCAGTTCAACCCCCGGTCGCTATCGATCCTTGCGGTTGCCAAAGCGAACAACCTTGCCCTGGAGGTCAAGACCATCACATCGTCGACCGAGGCCCCCGAGGAATATCTCCAGGTGAATCCTTTGGGCAAAATCCCAACATTCGTGGGATCAGATGGCTACGTCCTGACTGAATCCATCGCTATCGCTGTCTATGGTAAATTTCCTGAAAACAAAAAGAATGCTTTGCTTTCGCGGCTAACCGAGATATGTAAAAAAAAAAAAAAAAAGTGGCTTCGCAAAACGAAGAGACCACCCTGCTGGGTCGGTCCAAGAAGGACTACGCCTCGATTCTTCGCTGGATGGCATTTGGGATTACTGAAATCCTGCCGCCATTGGGAGGCTGGTTTAACCCACTTATTGGACGCGCACCGTTTGTGCCGGAATTAATCGAAAAGAATAAAGCGGACACGCTGGTTCGGATGCAACTGCTGGAGAAGCAGCTTCAGGGCCGCACATATTTGGTCGGGGATGCTCTCTCACTGGCCGATCTGTTCGTCGTCGGCATTCTCCAAGGGCCCTTTCGCTTCTTCCTGGACCCGAAATGGCGCCGTGAGAATCCTGCTGTGTCCCAGTGGTTTGAACATGTCCATTCGCTTCCGATAGTGGTCGATGTGGCAGGACCGCCTGCATTGGCCGAGAAGGAGATGCCAATTGCGCCACCCAGAAAAGCATAGGGTCTCTCTCTATCTAGTTACTTGTTTGGCATGATGAATTCGAGGCGGGATTTTTTTTTGTTTTCTTTCTTCTTAGCTTAGCTGAAGTATAGAAACTATCTGAGGGATTCAAATATCGGCGAGCGAGCCGCACAGGATGACCCCGGTTACCGAAAAAAAAAAACAGGCCTTAAGACATTTTTTGATCAAGAGGATGCATATATGGATATCCCTAATGAACCTATCGGAAAGCGCCTCCATCCACACCGATGATCTTGCCGCTCACCCATTCGGCCGCATCGGACGCCAAAAAGCTCACCACTCGGGCCACATCGACTGGAAGCCCAACTCGGTTCAGGGGAGACAACCAGGCAGCGCACTGTACCACAGGAATCAGATCAGGGATCGAATCAAGTATCGATCAGGGTGGCAATTGACTTACCTCGTCCACTTGCGCATCGGTAAAGGTCTCTCCGTTGGGAATGTACTCCCGCGATACAGCTAGGAACATGTCCGTCTTGATGGCCCCAGGGGCCACGGCGTTAACCGTGATTTTCTTGTCGCCACAGTCGATCGCCAGGCAACGGACAAAGGTGTCAATAGCTCCCTTCGAGCCGGAGTAGATCGAATGCTTAGGGACACCCTTCACACACGCCGTGTTCGAGCTGGTGAGGATTATGCGTCCACCTTCTCGGAGATGGCGATACGCTTCCCGGGCAACAAAGAACTGGCCGCGGGTATTGACTCGGAATACGCGGTCGAATTCCTGTAACTCTGAATAAGAACCTGAACCGAACCAAGATGAGAGAGAGAGGGAAGAGATCAAAGGGGCTGAATACATCGGGAGTCACGTCCTTCAGATGACCGAAAGAGACAATTCCGGCATTCGAGGAGACAATGTCCAAGTAACCGAAATGTTCGACGGCCTGGTCCATGAGCTTTGCTACCGCCTCAGGGTCTCCAACGTCGGCCTTCAGAGCGATCGCATCACTGCCATTGGCCTTGATCTCCTCGACAACCTGCTCGGCGGCTTCGCGCGAGTGAGCGTAGTTGACAACGACTTTGGCGCCGCGTTGCCCAAGAGCAACGGCGATAGCAGCACCAATACCGCGGCCCGCACCCGTCACCAGGGCTACTTTTCCATCAAGACGGTGGTTATCGGGAGCAGACATAATGGAACAGGGGTTTTAGACTCAAATAGGCTTGAGTTGGATGTTGAGTTTGGTTCTGAAGGGTTGGGGATCTACAGCGAAGGCAGAGAAGTATACGAATATATATATCATATATATCAGTCAATTTCATCCGGCAATCTGCATTCAACTACAAAATAGACCCCCCGGTCGGCCTCCGAGAAGTTTGACCTATCCTGGGTTTTGATTGGCCTGGGTTTTCTAACAGCAATCACAGGGGAAAGTCCGATGTTATTCGCCAAAGCCCCCAGACCGTGGCCGTATTTAGTTCCGATCCATTTGGTTAAATCCCTGCTTGGGTTCGATGGGCTATCGCGACTCTCGTTAGCATCCCGGATTGAAACCAACACAGTCGAGCACAGAATCCAAGGGTACTCACTCGGGGCTTGGGCACGGTTTCCAGACGGGTATTGCAGGTCAGTTGCCAGATGTGCCGGGCCGACATGGTGCTTCGGTATTTCTGCTGGGGAGTCTCAAAAAGGAACGACATAGGGAAACCGAGATCAAAGGAAGTGGTGTCCTCAATCTCATAGATTTCCTCGTCGGTCAATTCCACACCCAGACTCTCAATGTTGGATTCGAGCTGCGCCACCGTCCGGCAACCGATAACGGGGAAGACATACGGGGCCTTGTGAAGCACGTAAGCGAGTGCAATGCTCGTGGGAACTGTGCCCTTTCGCTGTGCCAATTCCGCCAGTTTCTCGCCCATGAGACGATGCTTGTCCTCCTGAGGGCCCATGTTACGTGTGCCCTCCTGGCTGAACTCCTCCGGAGTCTTGTACTGTCCTCGGCCCAGAACCCCCCAGGGAGCAATTGCAAGCCCCTCGGATTGGCACATGGGAAGAAGGTCTCGCTCAAAGTCCCGGAAGGAGCACGACCAGCGACCCTGGTAGATGCTGAAGCGAGTCAACCCATGGAAACGGGCGTCTGGGGAAATCGCTTAGCGAAGAGATCCTGTCCAACCGCCCGAACGGGGGGAAAACTCACATTCATTACATTTCACGACGATCCAAGCGGGCGCATCACTGATGCCGAGGTTCAGCACCTTGCCGCTGGCTACCAAATGATGTAAAGTCTGCATCACTTCCTCCACGCTGGTGGTGAAGTCCCAAATGTGCACGTAGAGCAGATCCAGGTAACTCGTGTTCAACTTCTTCAGGCTTGCCTCCACAGAGAGCCGCAGACTCTTGGATTGGTTCCCTTGGAAGTTTGACTTGATCTTCTCTGGCCCGGCCAGCTTGTAGCTCATGGTGTACTTGGTGGCGAGCACCAGCTCGTCACGGTGGTTGCGCGCTGCGATCCATTCCCCTAGCCATTTCTCGCTGCCTTCCATTTGGTAAAAGTTGGCAGTATCGATAAAATTACCGCCGGCCTCGTAGAATTTGTCGAGGATCTGGAAGGCAGTTTCCTTGGTGCATTCGCCCATCGCGCGCGTCCACATGCCGCCAAAGTTCATCGTACCCAGGCATAGCGGCGACACGCGGACTCCGGCCAAAGGTGAAAGGATTCGATGGTATCCTAGAAGAGTGGGAGGCTTCGGTGCTGGAGGAGCTGCCATTATTACCAAGGAATTCTCCTTTTTTCTGTTGGTTCTTAGCTGGATGAGAGGGGGTTGAAGTTGTTGGACCTGGCCGACAAAACGGAATTTTACTAGGTCCCGCATGTATGTATACTATCCTTATTTATACAAACTGGGGGAGAGCCACCCACGTAATACCCAGCTCGCTACCTATCGTTTTGGCTTCCAAAAGCCTAACTCCGCACTTTGTTGCCGAGCTTCTTAGTTTCGGATTACGAGCTATTGGGGGGGGGGGGGGGGGTTGTCGCTCGCCGAGCTGCGTCAGATCAAGGAATGCCTCCCTGCTTTAAAGTACAAAGAAAGGAAGCGGGAGGGTTAGAGAGATGGGGTACGGAAAGCAGTTAGATAGCGAACAGGAAAAGCAAAAGTGAGCTGCTGATATGGTATTAAACACGAATAGACACGCCGATGGCAGCGCCACCAAGGTGGACTACTCTCTACCAGGAGCTTCAGGGTACTCGATTCCCCAGAAAACAACATGGATGGACCCAGAAAACCGCCGCCTCCGGATAATTACTATCGGAGCAGGATTCTCTGGGATTCTCATGGCATACCAAATGCAGAAAGAGTGCCAAAACATGGAACATGTTGTATATGAGAAGGACCACGATATCGGAGGTGGGTCAGACCATCCTCCCCTCGGTCCTGTTCTTTGCCCGTGCCTAAAGGAGTGACGGTACAGGTACCTGGTTGAAGAATCGATACCCAAATGCGGGATGTGACGTTCCCAGCCATGCCTATACATATCGATTTGCTTTGGTCCGTCTTCTCGCTTAACAACCCCGTGGAGGCTTCGCGAAAGCTGACCGTCAAGTGAAGTATCCAGATTGGCCCCGATATTTTTCCTACGCGCCCGATATATGGAGTTATCTGGATAAGGTGTGCACCGTGTTTGATTTGCGCAAATACATGCAGTTTCATACGGAGGTGATAGAGTGTCGCTGGGATGACGAGAAAGGCCAATGGAAAGTGCGTCTTCGTCGACAAGAGCCAGGGCAGCAACCTCAAGAGTTCGATGACTACTGCCATGTATTACTCAATGCATGTGGGGTGTTAAGCAATCCCAAGGTACCTATCTATAGTAACCCCTAGATATGATCGGAGATTGCTCACTCATCTCATCTAGTGGCCCGATATCCCGGGATTGCATGATCGATTCCAGGGCCGGGTGATCCATACAGCTGGCTGGCCAGATGACTATAGAGAGCAACAGTGGAAGGATGATCGGGTCGCGGTCATTGGATCGGGTGCTTCCTCTGTGCAGGCCGTCCCAGGTATGCAACCTCATACCGCGCATTTGGACGTGTTTGTGCGAACCGGAGTCTGGTTTGGTGTGTTGGCTGGCAACAACGGGACGCAAGCAAGGGTATACAGCAACGACGAGTGCGCTGAGTTCCGTAAGAACCCAAAGACCTTGGTAGAGCATGCAAAGAGTATCGAGGCCGAAGTGAATGGCATGTGGGGGGCCTTCTACAGCGACTCCATGGCCCAGAAGATGGCCTCGGGCTATTTTCGCAAGCGTATGGCGGATATCATCAAAGATGAGGAATTACTCCGGGGATTCACGCCTACATTTGGGTTCGGATGCCGTCGCATCACACCCGGTGATCCGTATATGGAGGCTATTCAACAACCCAACGTCAGTGTGCATTTCACGGCCGCTGAACGCTGCACCGAGGAAGGAGTGGTTGGTGCGGATGGTGTAGAGCGAAAGGTCGACACCATTGTCTGTGCAACGGGATTCGACAACACGTATCGTCCACATTTCCCCATCATCGGCCAACATGGCATCGACCTGCGAGACAAATGGGACAAATGTCCCGAGGCTTACCTTGGCCTAGCAGTTCCGGGGATGCCCAACTACATCACCTTCATTGGGCCTTCTTGGCCCATCCAAAATGGCAGCGTCATGGCGCCGCTACACTCGGTATCAGAGTATGCAATCCAATTCCTGAAGAAGATGCAAAATGAAAACATCCGCAGTTTTGCACCAAGGCAGGATATCACCGATCAATTCAACGATCATGTACAGGAATGGGTGAAGCATACTGTGTGGAAGGACGATTGTCGCAGCTGTAAGCGTCGTGCTATGGTTATCGCTACGACAGGCTAACTGGTTGCAGGGTATAAAAACAACGAAACAGGACGTGTCAATGCTATATGGCCCGGGTCCTCCCTGCATTATCAGCAGGTGGTCGATCGTCCGCGGTATGAAGACTTTGAGATTCGGTACTTTGATAGCAATCCCTGGGCTCATCTTGGGATGGGTTGGACCATCCTGGACCGCGAAGGAGGAAAGAAAGCAGACGTTTCCCCCCATCTCTGTTTGGAAAACATTGATCCCATATGGTTCGTTCTAACCATACCCCCCAGTAGTACTGGCCATTGCACTGACACGCCCTAGGTTCAAAGCGATGGGCGGAGACATCAATGCACTCAATCCCAATTCAACGGTAAACCCGGGGAGAACATGAAGGAATTTGCCTAGATGGAAATCTTTCAATCGTCTCTTTATAACATACAGGCCATCTCGTCTATCTAGGAAAATCAACGTCTTCTATACACTGTTTAGCTAAAAAGGAGAAAGAGTCTTGTAACCTCGGCTGTATGTACAAGGATAGGGTTATGAGAGTACTTTTCCGGCTGGCCCATAATCCAGGTCAATGTAGACTTTATTTATAGAATTAAATCAGGGTAGAGGCCAGTGCTACTGCTGCTGCCGTTCCATGTACACCTGCTACTTTAGATTCTCGATAAAACCAGGATGTCGTGTGCGTCCGGGACCATGGTCATACATCCGTTACCATTACGAATAGAGGGTACCTCAAGCGGTCTTGGGCGTGTTAACATTTGAAACTCAAAATAGTGAGCCCTGGAGAGTCTAGAGGCTTAGCGATTGGGCCACCGCAGTCATTGATATCCGAAGCAGCGATTGGCGGCATCATCACTCCGCCTCATGCAAACTGGATATAGGATGATTCATTGGGCTCCAGGCTAACACGAACTTTGTAAAGGCAATCTTGGAGAAGCAGCACCGCCATAATATAAAAAACTTGTAAGGCACCGCCACGAGATATCTCATTGGATCAATAATCGTAGTATTCAAGCTAGTGGCCACTAACTCAACACAGCCCTGCCCTGCCGTTGGAATGGGCTCAGATCCGGGCAGCCGCAGCCCCTCTCCTACCATTTAAGGAGGGAAAAAAATCCTGAGATTCGCTCGTTTCTGGACATCTCTGTGATAAAGTATCAGTTCCAAACCCCCATTACTCCTGCTCGCCCATATACCGAATTTTTGGTTAGCCATGACTGCTCGCGAATATTACGGGGACAACACCCCCAATCAACCGCCCATGGCATCTGGCTATACCCCTCAATATCCCCCACATGGGCAGCCTATGTATCCGAATCCCCAGTCGTCCTCCCCAGTACCACCATATCAATACGCGTATGGGGAGCCCCAGTTTGGCCAGCAGCAACCCCCTCCCTACCAGCAGCCCCAAGCCCCGTATCCGTATACCGCACCTCCCAATGCTGAAGTCTCATCCACGGATAACCGGGGCATTCTTGGAGCCGTGGCAGGAGGAGCCGTGGGCGGCTATGCTGGCCACCAAGTCCACCACGGCATTCTGGGCACTATCGGCGGCGCTATCACCGGTTCTATAGCCGAGGACGCCATCAAGGACAGGAAGCACAAGAAACAGGAAAACGAGATCAAACGAAAGGAACACCACCAGAATCCCCCTCCATACTCATCCCCGTCGTCGGATCATCATGATCGCCGCCAAACGGCCACCCCGCTGTACGGGAACTTCTCGGCCTCTTCGGTGAATATTGCGCTGCGAGACCACTGTGAATTGACTGCTTCTTGCCGCGAACTCTCCGGCCATCGTAATGAATCGCGAATTTCGCTCAATAATGTTTTGGAGAATCAGCGTGGTCACTTTAAGTGGGTTCGTGGGGGGAACTTTCGGGCTTCCGCTCGCAACGTTCGTCTGGTTGAGGGAGGAAGGGTACTAGAGGCCGAATTAGCGGACGGCTATGGGGGATGGAATCGGGACCGGGTGCGATTGGATGAGATGATCTCCAATCAGAATGGAAATCTGGTGTTTCTGGACTAATGCAGGCTTGGTCAAAGGACGGGAAGATTCTGTATCTCTCCCTTTATATAACTATGGGTTATCCGGGTATTGATTACTTACAATCTATGCAACTGACATACTGTTGTACCTATTTAAATCTCCTTAAGGGGTCTATTCTCATGGGATAATTGTAGAGATCAAACCACCTACCCGCAAGACCCGTTTAACTAGTTAATACCTGGGGATTTGTCTCTAGGATGGGAATTTTACTGTAGAATTAACCCCCGAATATCTCAACACCAGACCACGGAACAGCAATCTGAATCATAATGAAGCAAACCCCCCCCCCAGCTGGACCTTTTCTAGTCATCGAGATCCCTAACGATGAACTCTTGGTCTTGGGCTCTAGGCCGTGGGAGCATTTCAAGCCCTGTCAGGTCTAGGGGCTTTATAGCCGAGCTACGCAGCATTCTGGGACCTGGATCTTGCCTGCCGCTTTCCTATTGGTGAGAATAAAGTCCGATTGAAATTTAATTTTGGATTGCAGTGTTTCTGTTGGTAGAAGGTTCAATAGTTGCTCGGCTTGATTTGCTGTGTATGGATTTTAGCTCACAGGTTGGAGAGTCGGGGCTGATTGTTGTCCAGTGCCTTTCCGTTGGTTATAATTGCTGAAGCTATTTTGCGCCTATTTAGACATGCTCGGATAACCCCCGAAAGCAGGGCCCTCAGGCGTGGTTGATATATAATAATAGGTAGGATACGGAGGACTCCGTAGTGTTGATGGAATTTCTCACGACTTCGCTCATTCCCTGCTTTATCTGTACTTTTTTTTTCCCTTTAGTCTTTCTTTCTTGCAATTTTACTTCGTCGCTCTTTACCTCTAATCACATTCACTTGCCGTTAAAACGTTCCCGTTTTTTTTTTTTTTTTTTTTTTTCGGACCTAGACAATGCGTGTATATCTCCCGATACTGGGAATTGGGCTGCTCGGTCTCAGCACCGTTGTGAGAGCTGATATCGATGCCGATGTTTGCCCTGTCGACGATATCTGCGAGCTACAGAGCTCCCTGGTGGATTTGATGCTGGAAATTCCAGATATCAGGGAATTCTGTCAGCAGTTGGACCCCGAGGATGAATCCATTGCCCCCGTTACTGTGATCGTCACCGAACTCGTCCACCCTTCGACTACCGTGGATACCATTTATCACACATTTACGCGCACAGTTCAGAAATACGTAACCACGCCGGTCACTGTCTCCAAGTCCATTGGCATTACCGTGACAGATACAAGTTCTTCAATTGCCGTTCAAACTGTGGACGTGACTACGCAACTCACAGATGTGAAGACCACAACCCTGACCGCGACCCAAACCTTTACCAACACCGTGTTGGCCACAACCACGGATACGGTGGTCATAACCGATATCAATACTTCCACTGTATACACCACGGCGACTGTGACAGTAACAGCGCAGGCTACCTCGAATTCAGCCAAGAGAGATAGCAAGGACGTCCCAGAACCATTGCGACAGTATAGTGTCCAAGACCTGCAGGAAGCATGCTCATGCCTACCGGTCTCAACGGTATCTACCACGGTAACAATTCCTCAGCCCACACAGACCCGAACCGTTGTCATTCCAACCACAGTGACGGAAACCGATACTGCGGCAATCACCAGCGTGGTCGTAGATACTATCTTCCATACAGCTACGACGGATGTCATCACGGTCATCACGGTGTCATCCACCGAGACCATTACGGCGACCACCACGATTCAGACGACAGTTAGTACGACTGTCGACCAGACGGTGGATATCACGCTGACCGAGACCGCAACCGCCACAATCACTGACAATGAATCGGCAACTGTGACGGAGGCCGTAACGGTCACCGTCACGGCTACTCCAACCGCAACATGCGGCGTCAATCTGATCCAAAACCCGGTTTTCCAGAGCTTGACCCTGCCTCCCTGGACCAAAACCGTCACCGGCACGTTTAATCAAATGTACAACAGTAACTGTGGCGTTAGTCCTTATTGCCTCCTTATCTACGGTCCGGGGGCCGGATCGTTTTCTCTTTCCCAGACAATCGACACTGTGGCCGGACAGCAATATACAATGTCTTTCGACTACCACACATGGGCGGTTCCCTCAGCTGGAACCACATTTACTTGCCAAGTTAGCAACGCCGATAGTACCACCTGGTCTATCCCACTGTCCGTTTCTACGTCTGCCTGGCACACATTTAGCGGCACTTTTGTGGCCAGTGGTGCCTCGACTACGTTCACATGTGCCGGTTCCACAGCATCGTCCCTGGTGCTGAATTTGTCTGTTTTCGACATTCAATGTTAGATGTCTCCCCTATATGGGTTCATTGGATAGAATAGCCTCTATATATAATTACTGTCATCATTCACCTGAACAAGCTAAACTCTCAAGTAGCCACCCTAGCATTGTAAAAGGCACAGATGTCTGACCTGCACCCGTCCTTGGACATATGCCACCGAGTCGTAGGCGCCATGATCACAGCAATATGGCCGCTCCCTGACCGGCTTCAACAGGCCCTCTTCTCTTTGCAGCGACGGTCCGTGGTTGGATGGCAGAAGAAAATAATGCCGTAGCTGATACGAGGGTCATGGGGTAACCTTTATTGTGCAGCTTTTCTTGTGTAGTAAAGAGGTTCGGTTTATACATATGTAATCAGGGAGAATGGGCGGAAAAAAATCCCAACTACTGGTAGAATTGACTGTAACGGAAATTACTCAGAAAAATGCAAATGCAAATCTTTTCTTGGACGGACTCAATATCAGATAGTGAAAGCATAGTCCGATGTTTTCAACGATAAATCGGCGTCAATATGATGTATAACTCTACATGTCAATTGATCTGGCGCAAGTCCGGAGTATTAGCATTCTATTCGTAATAGCTTATAGCCGATCACTTGGGTATATGAGAAACAGGAGCTTCCACTCACGACAGATCGTCTTGGAGAAATCAAGAAAGTTGCAGGAAGTTGGAATATTTCCTTCTAGGCGTGTCACGGATGCAAGGGCCATGAAGATCAAATGAGCTGTCAGTTAAAGTAGAGTTTCCGATTAAAAGGCAGTTATAAATAACATGCTGAATGAATCCTAGCATTGTGAATAAAGGGGCTTCTTGCATATGGCAAACCAGGATGATATGATGTATAGCTATAAAATCCTCAATTCTACCGGGTCCAGCGGGCTTCTTGACATTGGCAAAGGGATTTTCACAGCCATATAGATTGCCACCCATATCAAAATTATCGGAGTATCCCCCGTTATTTCGGCATTCTACATGTCGATATGGAGTCTGCACAATATCCCCGGGATAGTAGACGAAATCTTGCTATATTCGCCATTTCCTTTGCCTTGATTCTCTCCACGACAGCGGTTGGGCTGCGACTTCTGTCGAGAAAGATTACAAAGAGTCGGATGTATTTAGATGACCACTTGATAATACTGGCTCTTGTGAGTTCGGAATGCACCTCATCCTTTGAATGAAAGCTGCTAAACTTTGGTTCTCAGATTTTCAAATACGGCTGCTCCTTCGGTGCCGTTGGCAGTGGGATACCCTTGTCTCATTGAGATCATCGAACCAGACCTTTAACCGCTTTTTTGCAGTGCTGTATAATGGCCTTGGGACTCATATATGGCTTGTGCCAGCAGAAAGGCTCACTACCTATCTGGAGGTATGGCCCACTTCACCGGATGACAGCCCTACAATTCGACTGATGATATCCACAGATTGTGTATGCGGGCTCATTTCTTTACACTGGCTGCATCACCTTTATCAAGCTTTCAATTCTCAGCTTTTACAAGCGCCTATTCCCAGTTAAACCCATGGTAATAGCGGTAAACCTAGTTGGGTCTCTGGTGATTTTGTGGTGTTTCAGTGTCTGTCTTGTTGGTGGCCTGGTGTGCATACCGGTAGACAAGCTGTGGAATCCAGCTATCGTCGGAGGCTGTCTTGATCTTGCGAAATTCTACTATGGCTTGCAAATTCCTAATATCGCTACAGACGCTATCATCCTCGTGATGCCCATGAAAATTGTATGGGGTTTGCAGATGGCGAAAGCCCAAAAAGTTATCCTGTGCGGTATCTTTATGGTCGGTGCCCTGTACGTATTGACTCCGCCTAACTAACCACCACTCAAATGATGAAACTAAGAAATCTCCCTTCAAGGACTTTAATTTTCGATATGATACGATTGGCCGTAATGATTCGGCTGTCTCAGGAAGGGGACGATGTGACATGTAAGGTATTCGAATCCGTTGTTGGAAGGTCCCTAACTCGGGGGTATAAAACAGATAACCAAACCCCGGCTAGCGCTTGGACTTGCATTGAAGCAGCAGTAGGAATTATGGCGGCGTGTCTTCCTAGCCTCCGGCCGCTTTTAACAACATTCAATAAGCATGTCTGGTACAAACTCAGCACGCGCAAAACCAGTTCTAACAAGGGGGAGAGCGGCGAATCTGGTAAAAGCCTGGAATCCCCGTGCCGGAACTCTGTTGCATGACGAGATCGGGATGGTTATTGTGTCCCTCTTTATGTCGACGATAATTTCCGAGGCTTTAAATATACTCGATTTCGGAATTGGTTGGAACATAACCGATCAAGTCCCCAGATCTAAAACCCCTGCTAAGACGTTGACGATAGTAACGCTTACAGCTGAACAAAGACTCAAAGTAGCGCAGGACCTGTTAAATTACACATGGAAGCCATGAACATTGGTCGTCCGTGCGGGATCGTAGAAAAAGAAAGAATGCAAAAAAAAGTTTTCACCAATCAAGTAGATCATATCGTGGTCACGATTACTGGGAAGACGCAGAGTTTTCGTGTACTTCATGAACTAGGTATTCTAGCAATCTCCCCTGGTAATCTCCATACCGGCTAATGTGATGCAATCTCAAGCTGGCGCTTCATGCTCTGGTGATTGGTTCGGGTAGTTCGTTTTGGTTGGACATATGTACAGTAAGTACAGTAGCTCAATTCTCAAGGCCATGAGTCATGACACTGCATCCAAGTTTTACCGGCAGAAAAGCTGCTTGTGATTCTCTCGCTAGTTGTCTTTGGCTCCTCTACAAGGCTACAATGCCTGGGGTGGGTTCTTCTTGACTTGATGCTTCCCACTTTCCGAGAATCGGGATCACAGCCTATTCGTGAATTCAGAGGTAGCCGAAATAGGCTTCCAGAAACAGTGCCCACGTTGTGTGGGATCAAACCTTTATCCTATGCGATGGATCCTGCTGCTCACTTGTAGGCTTGTTGCGCCTACAGCTGGATGTATTTCGTGTTGCTCTGAAGGTGTAATCAGGAATATAAAGCGTTGGGGAAAGCTCTTCCACGCCACAATTACAAGCGAACTCCACCTAGAAAGGCTCTCGGGGGAAAGCTTTTTTAATTACCAGTAAGTAGGGTGTAAATATGTGCTTTTCACGTAACTTGGATTCCCATCCGGAAACTTTTACCACAAGTCATTCCACGGAAACACTTACCCAACTTAGGTCAGGCCACATTCATCCGGTAGCCCGTAGCAATCACACAGTAAGCTCATGAATGTAGCTCACTACCACGCTGGAAGCAAATAATACAGGTCAGATAGTCTACAATTATGGCGGTTGATTTCTACCTGTGCGCTCCACGACGTGTAGGGGCCTTTACTGGAAGAAATTCCTGAGCTCTCTTGCCTCACCGGGACAGGCCTTACCCTCACTTTCCGAATTTCAGGAGCCCAAGGTGGGCCACAATGTCGACAAAACGCCGACTGAGACATGCAATCTAATCAGATGGCCTCATCCCTGGTCGAAACCGGGCGGCCGACGGAGGACTTGGCCTTATTAGTGCGCATATGGAACCAATAATAGGCAAGGCCACGGCAGTAGTATCCTGATTTCATTTCACGACTTTCTCCTTGTAGGTTGAACGGGCCCAGTCTTCAAGTGGAAGCAGGATCCGAGCGTGGGTCGTGATTCTGTACCAGTTCACCAATGATTGACCATGGACTTCAATCACTCTCGGGTCTTCACGGTGATCGAGAGGGGGACTATTTTTTTTTTTCCCCCTGCCATGGTGGTCAGTCTCCGCCCCGCAAAGGTGAGAATCAGATAGCGAGTAAAGTTATCAGATCGTGGCCGTCCGTGGGTCAATTCCGAGGCTCTGAACCAATAGCCGTCACGTCTAGTGTTGTTATTGCTTCTCGGCTTGCGCGGCACTAATAACTCTTGGAAAGTCTTCGTTTGCTTCTCTCTCTTGGCCGGATCCTCTGGAGTCCTGTGTGAGAAATCTCCGATGTAGGAAACTTACACATCGGGTATGCCAGTGGCACCAGCTAGAGCCATGACTTATATAAAGGTAGAAAGTTTTCCTGAAACGCTGCCAGCCTTTCTGTTTTTTTTTTTTTTTTTTTCTTTACCTGCTTGATATATATCCCTCATCTGCTTTGGATCTCAAACGACAATGGGGATTCGATCCATCTTTCGTCGGCAGACTACCGACACTACTACTACTACTACTACTCAGATTGACACTACCACGGCTGAGGAGACCAAACAGGGCCCTGCTACTGATGTCGCTGCCGCTGAAAGCAATGGCTCCAACAGCGATGAGCCAAAGCTGGGGACTCCGGCTGAAGAGCTCCAACCCGGTGTTAGCCATATGGAGGCTATGACCCAAACCTGGTCCAAGTGGGCGCTTATCGCAGTGTTTTTGAAGTACGTTCCGTTCGTTCCTGCCGGCCTCATGAATTAACCTAACGTACGTATCTGAACTTCAGCATTTGGATGCTCTACTTCACGAACGCCTTTCAAAGCGCGATCCTGAGTAGTCTGATCCCCTTCATCACCAGTGATTGGGAATCTCACTCGCTCTTGAACACCATCTACATCGTCGCAGATGCCATTACAGCGGCTTGCTATATCCCCCTTGCAAAAATCATGGATCTGTGGGGCCGAGCGGAGGGCTTCCTTTTCATGACAATTTGCGCTACTGTAGGTTTGATCATGATGGCTGGATGCAATAACCTTGCCACCTTCTGTGCTGCCTATGTAAGATTGCCCTAACAAGAGCCCCTCAAAGCCCCATAGACGCTGATAGGCTTCCTAGGTTTTTTACTCCCTCGGGTTTGGAGGTATGACATATTGTGTGGATGTGATTACAGCGGATACCTCTATGTTGAGAAGTCGAGGCCTGGCCTACGCCTTTACGTCCTCCCCGTATATTATCACAGCGTTCGCAGGGCCAAAGGCAGCGGATGATGCCATCGGTCCCCATGGTATTGGCATGCGCTGGCCCTTTGGCATTTTCTCAATCATATTTCCCATTGTGGCAGCCCCTCTGTACGGTGTTTTGAAGTATAATATTCGCAAGGCTGAAAAGGCTGGCCGTGTGGTTAAAGAAAAAAGTGGCCGGAACATATTTCAGAGCATTTGGTTCTATATAATCGAGTTGGATGGTACGAAACATGGCCCATACCAAAAAAAAAAAAAAAAAAAAAAACTGACCTTCGATAGTTGTCGGTGTCGTCCTCTTCTCTGCCGGCCTTGTTCTATTTTTCCTCCCGTTCGATATCGCCGGCAGCGCCCCCAGCAGCTGGCAGACTCCTTACATCATTGCTATGCTTGTGGTTGGATTTGTCCTGCTCTTCGTCTTCATTTTCTGGGAAGTATTCATGGCCCCCAAGCCCATGTTCCAATTCAGCTTTCTATACAACCGGACGGTCATCGGTGCATGCCTGTTGGATGCCACATATCAGCTCTGCTACTACTGTTGGAATAACTACTTCTCATCCTTCCTGATGGTGGTGAACGACTTGAGTGTAGCTGACGCTGGATACGTCACTAACACGTTTGACGTGGTATCTGGGGTGTTGCTCCTGATTGTTGGTGCTTTGATCCGATGGACTGGTCGTTTCAAGTGGACGCTGTGGATTGCTGTTCCACTGTATATCTTCGCCCAGGGCTTGATGATCTACTTCCGGCGACCTGACCAATCTGTTGGGTACCAGGTGATGTGCCAGATCTTTATTTCCATCGGTGGAAGTGTTTTCATTCTCGTTGAGCAGCTATCAATCTTGGCTGCCGTCGACCATCAGCACGTTGCGAGTGTGCTGGCTCTTCTTAATGTCGTCGGTACCATCGGGGACAGTATGGGTGCTACTATCTCCAGTGCTATCTGGCAGAACACATATCCCAATGCTTTGCAAATGTATCTCCCCGAGTCTGCCATGTGGGATTTCGACATGATCTACGAGGATATCGATACCCAGCTAAAGTATGCGGTGGGAACCCCCACCAGATTGGCCATCCAGCACGCCTACGGCTATGCTCAGACAAGAATGCTCGCGGTGGGAACCGGTATCATGGGGCTCGCGTTTATCTGGACCATGATGATCCGGAACATCGACCTGAAGAAGGTTCCGCAGGTGGCAGGTACGGTGTTCTAAGAGGACGGACGAATTCAAGTCGGACAATTGCGATAGGCAGATAATCTTCCCCTAATATTTGTAATTTATCAACGGTATGGCGATGCCCAAAAATCAGGTGCTGATTAAAACATTGTATACTGTAAGAGCAAAGAGCCCCCCCCCCCCCGGATTAGATGGTATTAAGAACGCAACTTATGTATAGTTTGAATCGTAGCCCAAAGATTGATTTATTATCCCCGAAATGTCTAGCTTGATATTGAGAGCCCTAATGAAACCGCACTCGATATACCAAATCATACTAACGTGGATATCATTTAGTAGCTGCAGCTATAAAGTATTCTATTTTGGCACGGCTAGCTATATCCGACCGCATAGTTTCTTTTGTCCACCACAATGTCTGCGTCTAATATCTGGATAGATGAGAGTATCGGATATTTAGAGTGATAATACAATCGCTTTCAACCGCTCAAAATCCGGAATACCAATACCTGTAACAGGATCCCAGCCTTCGGTGGCATTCCAATGAGCATAAGGGATGATACCTCCGCCCACCACCTTGTCTCCACTTTGGGGGTTGGTGCCATCACAGCCCACGGAGCTACCGGCAGTGATATCATTGAAGCCTTCATAGTTAATGGCATAGAGCAGTGGGTTTAAGAAGCCCAAAGTCGGCCGCCCTGCCTTCAATCGAGCATCATTCAGCATCCCGACAATACCCGCGAAAACGGGACTGGCGGCAGAGGTACCACCGGATCCATAGCGTTTTCCGTAGTAGATGACTTCGTATCTAGTCATCATTAGGAGATGGATTCATTTGTCAGGAGGGGGAGAAAAAAAACAAGCGGGGCCATACGGAGGATAGAAACTGTGCGTAGCAACATCAGGGAATCCTCTGCCTTTAAAGTTGGTGTACTGCGAGTAGTATTCTTTGGTGTCCTTGGTGATGTGCTTTTTTAGATAGTCCTCAACTGCATCTTCCTGGTACCAGGCGCGAGGGAAGTAGTTACTAAACCCGCCGGAACTAGAGTTCCAGGCGATCTCGGGACCGTAGGACTGAGTGCCTCCAACGGCTGTGATGAAGGGACAGGTTCCCGGGAACTGGGGGGTGAATTGGGGCTTGTTGGAGCCATCGTTGGCGAGACAACCGGCGCCGATGCCTTGTTGCCATTGTTAGCACGCCTGTTACGTTGTGACTGGTGACGCTTCCAGTTTTAAATGGAATCAAAACCAAAGAAAAGAATGGAATGCTCTACCTGTATCACCGGATGATTCGAGAATTGTAATACCGCGCAAGCCCATCAAACCAATCAAATTGCAAACGCGGCGGGCATAGTACTCAGGGACCGTCTGGCATGTCTTAGCTGATCTGGGCTTGAATCTCCAAGGAATGAAGAATACAAACCTGCTCATCGTCGCCATAAGAGTTGGAAATGACCTGGGGTAACTCCGAATTAGGCTTCGAGAGCAAATGCTCATAGTAGGGCAGATAGGGTTCGTTTTGATTGTCAGCCGCAGTGGGTTCATCCACATTCGGAATGAAGGGCCTAGAACCGCGAGGTAATTAGTATTCTACTCATACAATGTGAGGGAATGGTAGTTCCTGAGGGCAGTACATACGGCGATCCACCCGTGATGTACTCATGCACAGGGAGAGGATGACTGACAGCCACAATATTCTGTACATCCAGGTTGGCCTCGCCGAGAGAAGCCGTGTTGGGGTTCTGGTCATCGATTCCACCATCAAACAGCTCCACAGTAAAGTTCTGCGATGGAATGCCGAATAATTTCTCGAACACAGCTAGATCCGAGTAGGATGCCGACTGGTTCAGGAAGCTTCCAAATCCAATTCGACTGCCGGATGAGACACTGGGCGTATAGTCCCCGTAGTTGTACATGCCCTTCAAGCAGTCTGGGGTGATGACATTGGTGCAGGACGAGGAGCCCGAGCTGTTGTTCGAGGCTTCGCGTGGCAAGGGAGTTAAATAGACCTCCCCTTGCTCTTTGCCAAAGAAAACCGTAGGAGAAATTAGATCGACGGAGTCGCGGAGCTCGTCAGGAATCGAGTACTGCGTGGTGCGCACCCTGGCAATGGCGCCATTCTGATACACAGCAAACGTGGTGTTGAGGAGCTTATTCGCCGTGTTCACATCGGTAGCAAAGTTTACCAGTCCCCCTTGGCGAGCGATTTGGGTGACACCGGCCTCCTTCAGCCAGTTGACAACCGACTCGTCACTGACCAGGGGGAACTGGGATTCAATTTCGGACTGCTCCATCCACTGGCCATACTGGGCTTGACCGGGGGTAGCGCGGGCCAGTAAAATGGACTCCAGCTGCTCCAGGTTGGTGCGGGCCAGGGCGATAGACAGGAGGATCGAGTTCTCACCAGCCGCATTCTGGATGTAAGACCAGCCATTTGGCACCGCGGCCAGTTTCTCGTGAACGAGAGCCTCGGTAGCAGCGGCTAGAGAGCATAGAAGCCCTCCGTACAGATGGGAGGGGAGCATGATGAACCCGAATAACCTTGCTAGTGTAGGTTCTAAGGGAATGCAGAAGAAGAAGAAAACAGGAGATAATAGTCCTTTCTGGCCATATTTATCTCTGCTGGGCCGAGTTTTACCATCTGGAGCACAACAATAGGATTTTGCAGGGTGACATCCGGTTATCTCTCCAAAGGAAACAAGCAGGCAGTGAAGCCGACAATAACCCCAGTCCTCCGGTTGGTGAATAGAAGATAACCCGCGCGGGAAATTAACCTATCGAATAGAAATTGCCGGATGCTATTCTTTCTCTGAGGTCCGGCTGGATCTGGATCCCATGCAGAATCCGTATGCGACATTAATTTATAGGGGAAGTGAATTCAGAATAGCAGTTCTCTTACTCCGTACTAAAAGGCTTATCTTTCCCAATATCTATTAAGCCGTCGACTAGAAATCTCGCAAAGGACGCCATTAAGGATGAATGCACCCTTTCTATGTATTCTCTTGCATAGGTGGGCCATTTCTCATTCAGGACAAATAAGACCACTTCTACCTGATAAGTGCGGCAGGTATAGTCCCACTCATGATTTGTACACCGTCCAGGGTCTCCCCTCTGCAAACGAAGCGCTATCATCAGGTGTTGACTCGGTAAAGAGGAATGAGAGGGCTATATTATGACCTAGGCAGTGTCTAGGGAATAAGTTTAAGCCAACGCAGTCGGGTACGGAGATAAAGTAAGACGTCTTAACCTTGATCTACTTCTTATCCGGGTTTGTCTTGAACAGCATTGGACTATTGGCTATGCATATAGTGGACTAACGGGACATATATAGATAGCTTTAACTCCGTTAATTACCGTACAAGCTACTTAGGGAACTAGTGATTTAGTCCAGAGTAGTCCCAGTTGGCCACCCCTTTTATAAATAATAATATATAATAAGGGTATATTTATCGCCCCGGGTTCGGTGCTACTGTCCCACCATGGGAACATTACTAGGAGGACTGGGGAGAGAGTAAAGGATTAGGAGTTTAGACCACCTATAGACTGTCAAGATATCCAGACTAGATATATATATCCATATATATTGACCCTGATCCACCCTATGTCTTGACTATGGCTAGTAGTTGGTACGGATCACAGCAACCGTCAGGTACTGGGGAAAGCCCTACCTGGATTCTTAGTGGAAAGCACATCCTGCAGTAGCAACCACGCCAATAGTCGTCGTGATAGTGGTGACACGGACTCGCTTCGTCCTGCTGACGGCTTCAAGTGTAGCAGTAGGCCCGGGGGCGGTCGGAGTCGGAACCTTGTCCAGGGTCACAGGGTGGGAGTAGTCTGAGGACCAACCAATAGTTTTAGGCACAATTCCAGGCTTCGTGTATTTGGAAGAAGTAGCAGTGGTGGGTGACGGAGGAGGAAGCGCTGGGGTGGGATGAAGATACGCGCTCGAGGGAGCGAGGGGAGGATGACTGGAGCTGGAATCGGTAGGGCTTACCGTCACATATACGGTCGACACTGCGGTGCTGGCGCGGCAGGTAGAAACCGAAGGCGAGGAGACTGTGTCCACACAGCGACTGCCGTCGAGAGACTTATTCACAGTAAAATGCGCTCCCTGGGCGTAGATGATGTAAATATTGGTGCCGTTAATCGCGCTGATCTGATATCCCCATTCAGGGTTGGTGTCACAGGGAATTTGCACCGAGTAGGATCCATCCGACGTAGGGATATTGGTAGCCAGAGCAAGATATGATGGAGGCCATGACACAAAGTTCCAGAGATAGAGACTGAAGTACGAGGGATCTGTGTCAACGGTGGTCCAGTTGACAGTGACCGTGGATCCAGCTGCGTAAGTCGCATTCAGGCCGGGCTCGGTGATGCTGATAGCAGCCGCCAGGGAATTCAGCAAGATTGCCAGGGGAATGAATGCGCGCATTTTGATCATGATTGTTTCCTTCTATTGAAGAAGGGCAGGATATTGAAATGAATGGATAGCTCTGGACGGAGGAGCTTTCGACCAACCCAAACGAGTGATGGTAATGATACGAGGGTCAATGAACGAATGACTTGGGTCAGTAGCAATGAATTGTTGAGATCGACCACTGGGAACCATGCTCAGGAACTACTATATGTACTAATTTTCGGTTGGATCTCTTGGGATTAAGGGGTTCTGCCCTGGACGCTTTCCCGGAAATTATTGCCCGCCACGAAGTCTCTAATTGGTTCTGTATAGAGCGTCGATGCGCCTCCCATTTAACTAGTGCCTTGGACTCCGACTAAAGAACGAACGAGTGGCACGTGTAATTATGAATTCTATTCGTTCCTGGAAAGCATCTTCTTACCATAGGCTGAGCATGTCTAAGACCGAGACATTTACATTACAGACTCGAGGTAGTTCACATCAAGTGGGCCTTGTCTCATGGGCAGCCGTTGTGATGCAGGTGTTTGGATTCTACGGACGACATCCAAGATGAAAAGGATCCTTCTAATATTCTTGCCTTCGACTGTCAGATTTATTTGTTGTGTAATTGTAGAAGGATCCATCGAGTGGCTGAACTATGAGCCACGGGGAAAGAAATACCAGAGCAAAGGGCTCATAGTAACTGATAGAGGGTAAAGACCCGCCGCGAAGATAGCGAAATAAATTCTTGGAATCAGAACGCATAGAGAATCCTGGGGATCAATAAACAATTGTCAATGGAGTCGTATGTAATGATGCGTTGGGCTGAAAGGAGGTATGCCTGATTGATTCCATATATCACCCTTGGACGTTTACACATTGGAAGGAGAATACGATCGGCATGAATAGCCCATGGGAGAGCAAATGAATGGGCTGATGGAGGAGGGTATCCCGGTATAGCCAGAGACAATGTTTTACTAACTAGCTGCATTCTGGTGGCCGTTCATCTACTCGGACACCATATCACAAGCCAGTCTCAGCGCCGTTTTCAAGGTACGCCCCTACGTTCGTGTGTATGTTCATGATGATTCCTGAATCAACCAAGACTAAAACCCCGCAGGATCCCCTGCACATGGCTAGGAAGTTGGTGACAGTGCTTGTTAATCATGCAATGCTGAAAGTATCCCAATACAGACTAAACTACAGACCCTGCTACCTTGAAAGGGGTTAAAAAAACCCCCCCCATAAGACAGTCCCTAGGCGCCCAACTGTGGCAGTTCTACGACTATAAAGGAGAGCTGAACTGGCCGAGAGCGCACCCCCGAGGAAGTACTATCCAGCGGAAGACTTTTTGGAGAATCGGTTGAGATCAATCAACCCATCTAACATGCGATTCCCTGCCCACTGTCTGATTGCGACTGGCCTGCTGGCCACCGCACTTCCCGTCACTACAGGACATTTTACCAGTGGCTCGGCAAGGCTGCGTACAGTTGTCACGACTGACATGGAGCAGGACGACTTAGCCTCGCTGATTCGATACCTACTTTACACGAATGAGCTCGATACACAGGGAATCATCTATAGCTCTAGCCGCTATCACTGGGCCGGCGATGGTAACCACACGGGGTTCCGCTGGACTGGCACGCGGACCATCCAGGATATAGTCCTCAAGGCGTACGCACAGGTGTACCCGAACCTGCGCCGCCATGATCCGTTTTACCCCACGGCGGAGGACCTTTTGTCCCTGGTCCACATCGGCAACATCAACCTCGAGGGCGAGATGGATCATGATACGGACGGCTCTGATCTCATCCGGTCTCTCCTATTGAATGAGGACCCGCGGCCGCTCTACTTGCAGGCGTGGGGGGGGACCAACACCATCGCCCGTGCGTTGAAGTCAATCGAGGAGCAGTACTCCAGCTCGCAGCAGTGGGTGCAGATGAAGGATACTGTCTCCCGCAAAGCGGTCATCATGGCCAGCGGCTTCCAAGACGACACGTACGCAGATTACATCTCGCCGAGGTGGCCACAGGTACGCGTTCTGGATATGTCGATTGGCTACGCGACCTGGGGCTACAACTGCAATCTGGGTCACGGCAACGTCCGTGGGCTGCCCGACGATCTCAAGTATTTTAGTGGTTCCTGGATTCAGTCCTTCATTGAAATGGGACCGTACGGGAAGCTCTACCGTTCCTGGCTCGACGGCCAGCACATGCCAGGCGACCCCTTTGATACTTTCGGCAATCTCACTCAAGCAGCTTCTGGGTGGTGCAAGCCACTCGGCCCGTACGACTTCCTCTCAGAGGGCGACAACGTGGTTTTCAACCCCTTGTTAACCACTGGCATCCAGGACCCAGCTAACCCGAACCTCGGGGGCTGGGGTGGTCGGGCCACGCGGAGCAACACCACATTGGCGAATCTGTGGGTGATGGTTGATAGCGAGAAGAACCAGACTGGCACCGAAGTCAAGTCCTACACTACGAACCGCTGGATAGCTGCCGTCCAGAACGATTTTGCGGCTCGCATGCAATGGACAGTCACGCCGGAGTACCATGACGGAAACCACGCGCCCTCAGTGGAGATCCTGAATAGCAGCAGTGTAACAGGACGTCCTGGGGAGACCGTAACGCTGACCAGCGCGGTTCACGATCCGGATGGCGACCACGTTACTCGATCCTGGTGGCAGTACTTCGAGGAGGGCACGTACCCGGGCATGGTGAGGGTAACCCAACACGATCACAACTGGGCAACTGTGACCATCCCGACTGACACGAAGATCCACGAAACGATCTCGATCATCCTGCAAGGAACCGACGATGGGAAGTTCCCATTGACTCGCTATGACCGGGTTTATATCCAAGTCATATAGTGTACTGGACTCTGACTCTTATGGGATCGAATCTTCGGTCATAGGTAGTGTTATTCTTAAATGATTGAGAACTGCCCTTCTTGTAACGCTGTCAACCCACTAGAGGCCAATAAGTCCCCAAGGATATACCTCAGTCTCTGTTGATAATGTTCAAATGCAGCAGGATATGGGAAACAAAAGCCCTGTCTATCCGACCAGCCCAAAGGTATAATAAATATAAAAAGGGTTCATGCCCCGAGCCATATACTGAAGTAACTAACATCAGTAAGATCATATTCCATTGGTTAATCGAACCCATGCGTCGTCTCCAGTCTATAAAAGACCACCGATACCGTACAAGCCGCCGTTTTCCTCTGTTCCCAGATTGCTTCTACACAATTCAGAGTACCTGGATGAGGCAGTTCAGTGACACAGGGCTCAGTCGGTAACAAATTCGTCCAAGTTTCCAGGGAATCGAAACTCCGGCTTTTCTTTTGGCCAGCTGTGGTTTTAGTTACATCTTACGTTACACTAAGGACCCTTTGGGCCCTGCTCCGGTGGAGATTTACTAGTATGAGCTAGACGGAATGTTTTGTTCCACCTCTGATGCTTGCAAGAAGCAGCCTTACCTGTCACAAGGCGTTGTTCATGCAATGCCGGAGTAGAATAGCACTGTTTGAATGGCCATTCTAAATGAACCCTGTATAATAAAGGTCGACCACATGAGGAAATCAGACAGGGTCCTCTATACAACTATTGGAGGAAATTCCTCCTAATTGAGTATTCTGACATGCTGCCTTTGATCTGGGAAGTAGGTATCTGAACAAATAAATAAATAATACTATCGAAGCCAGGCGACATACCTGCATGGCTTCAAATCCTGTGCCATTTCATTCCCCTACTAAGGTTGATGCGAAATGTACTCACAACTGAACCTTGAACATGCCCGGGCACTTGCCCTAGTCCTGTTTGCCATGGGCTCCCTTGTCGCCGCTGGGCCATGCGATCTCTACTCCTCCGGCGGCACGCCCTGCGTCGCCGCGCACAGCACCACTCGCGCCCTGTACAGCACCTACGCCGGGCCACTCTACCAGGTACAGCGCGGCTCTGACGGTACCACGACCACTATCGTGCCGCTTTCCGCTGGCGGGGTTGCCAATGCCGCCGCCCAGGACTCGTTTTGTGCCGGCACGACCTGCCTCATCACGATCATTTATGACCAGTCTGGCCGCGGCAATCACCTCACCCAGGCTCCACCTGGCGGCTTTGACGGGCCGGAATCCAATGGCTACGACAACCTTGCCAGCGCCATTGGCGCACCCGTGACGCTGAACGGGCAGAAGGCGTACGGGGTCTTTATCTCGCCCGGCACTGGATACCGCAACAACGCGGCCAACGGTACCGCTACAGATGACGCGGCGGAGGGCATGTACGCGGTCCTCGATGGGACCCACTACAACGGTGCCTGCTGCTTCGACTACGGCAATGCCGAGACTAACAGCCACGATACCGGTAACGGCCACATGGAGGCCATCTACTTTGGCGACAATACCGTCTGGGGCACTGGCTCCGGAAGCGGCCCTTGGGTCATGGCGGATCTGGAGAACGGCCTGTTCTCTGGCTCGAGTGCGGGCACTAACGCTGGGGACCCTTCAATTTCCTACCGGTTCATCACGGCGGTGGTCAAGGGGGGGCCGAACCAGTGGGCAATCCGCGGTGCCGATGCGACATCGGGCGCGCTGTTGTCGTACTACAGTGGCGCGCGCCCAAGCGTGTCTGGCTACAACCCGATGAGCAAGGAGGGCGCCATCGTTCTGGGTATCGGCGGTGACAACAGCAATGGCGCCCAGGGCACATTCTACGAAGGCGTGATGACCTCGGGCTATCCCTCCGATGCCACCGAGGACTCAGTTCAGGCGGACGTCTTAGCCGCCAAATACGCCATCACGTCGTTAACTAGCGGGCCAGCACTCACCGTCGGTTCCTCGATCTCGCTGCGGGCCACCACATCGTGCTGCACGACGCGCTACATCGCGCACAACGGCTCTACCATCAACACCCAGGTGGTCTCGTCCTCCAGCACGACTGCCCTCCAACAGCAGGCTAGCTGGACGGTTCGCGCCGGCCTTGGTAACAGTGGCTGCTTCTCGTTCGAGTCCAACGACACCCCCGGCAGCTATATACGGCACTATAACTTTGCGCTTCTGCTCAACGCTAACGATGGTACCAAGCAGTTTTACGAAGACGCCACGTTCTGCCCACAGGCAGGCCTCAACGGCCAGGGGAACTCCATCCGATCCTGGAGCTATCCCACCCGCTACTTCCGTCATTACAACAATGTACTCTACGTTGCGAGCAACAGCGGTATTCACACGTTCGATGCTGCCGCCTCCTTCAACGACGATGTGAGCTGGGTGATCAGTGCCGGCTTCGCTTGAGTTCCGGCCCAATGTCCAGGTACTACACGGAGGGCGAACTCTGCCCCTGAACTACAGCGGTTAGAGTGTGGTCGATGCAGGACGGCGCAGACTGTGTGCAGAGGTCTAGCTGTAGAGATTTAATCTTTCTAGGTCATATACCTCAACCAGTATGTGTATAGGTAGATCAGAGCAGGAGTGGTTCTAGGGCCACAACTAAAGAGAACCTACAGTCACTGCTGGGTAGATAGCAATGTACTCTGAGTTTTCTCGCCGAGCTCCTGTCGAATTGTCTTCCGGGTGTGCTGCTCCAGCTCCACCGGCAATGGCTTTCAATATCGCCTCTAACATGACCCACATGGTTCAACAGTAGGATTTTTTTCTCCAGGGGGGAAAGCAAAACAGGAAAGAAATCCGATGACACTGCTGCGGTCTAAACACTTTCAAGTTTCCGGTATCTATTCGAGGCCAAGGCAAATTCGTATCCCTGGCCAGGTATTCGACCAAGTGGTGTCAGCCGGCAAAAGTCTGGCGTCCCTGAAATTCCAAAAGTATACAGCTTATCAGAGTACACTTCATCTTCGCTGTCACCTCAGCGACCTCGATCAAATCCAATCATGATTTCTACAAGAAAAGCCCTTTTCTCCAGAAGGGGAAAAGCTAAACCAAAGACGTGTTAACTAGTATCCGAGGTATGGCTCTCTAGGGTACAGATGCTGGTGGTTAACATCAACCAAAGCAGCCCTGGATATGTGTTTAGTACATCAATGAGTAGTTATTCACTACACACTCTCATTTCATTTCTTTATTATCTGTATAGTGAACCGAGATTCTAGGATATCCTGGGGAAGAAATAAAACAGAATATCATCACGGCCAACCCTGCGTGGTCGTGATCTGCGGTTGTTGCTCGACATCCTGTTCAATAACGGTATGCACCGCAATGCCCTGCAATTCGATCTCTGAACCCTGACTAGAACCCGCACGCACCTCAGTCGTTTTGCTCCCCTCAATTCCGTCCGCCATTTTCAGGAATCCATCACTTTGAGGGGTGGTTGATTGGAAGTAGAGCTTGGTGGCGGAGGAAGGGTGGGAGCGACCTCTGGAAGCACTGCTTTTGACCTTCCCCAGTAAGCCCTGAATAAGGGGTTTCATGATCGGGAGACAACCGCAGATAATGGCCACATCTAGCTCGAGGATGGTCCAGATGGATTCTTTGGCACTAGATGCTGGTGGGAGTCAGTGTGGGAGATCTCGAATTAGGGTGGATTATGCTGACATGCGAGATCTGTGAGGATGAAATTTCGGAATTCAATCAGACGCATCAGACTGAAGATGCACACCAGTCCACCAAGCGAAAAGACAAGCGTCACGGCGATTTTCTGGCGCACAGCAATTTGCAGTCCCCAAATGACCGGGACCGGCAGCGCGAGGATTACGACATCTTCCACCAATGCAATCGAGCCCATCGTGATGAAGAAGACCGTCTGCCCCTTCATACAGTGGCCATGCAGTGATTTATCGTAATAAAATTGAACGGGGTTGCACTGGAAGATGTTCACGAGCAGCGCCGCGACGGCCCATAAGGTGATGAAGACGATCAGCCAATTTGATATCACACGAAAGGTCGGAAGGGTGCCGAGGATACGCTGCAGGAAAACGATGATGGAGGTCTTCACGAACGCCATGGAAGGCGCCCAGAATTTCTGGATCATCCACGAGCCCTATGTAGAGATGTCATTAGAGTCAGGCGATGGCGCGCCGCGAAGTGAGAGACGGAAACATACAAACTGAAGGCGTTGAAGCTCCAGCGCTGGCAGATTTTTGCCCGAGATCCCAACGCCATTAACGGCAGCTGTGTCGAATCAGACAAGCTGATAGTACACACATGAGAGAGAGAGAGAGAGAGAGCATCCAATTACTGACTGTAGATAACAAAAGCCGTGGCGCAGTAGGAGAGAACCAACCCAATGCCCATCAACGCATCGTCGAGTCTGAGACGACTAGACGAAATATATCGTGCAAAGAGCCTTAGGGCATAGGACAGAGTAGCCACTGCAGCTCCCACAGCAGCTACGATGATCAGCGTATTCTCCCAATACTTATTCTCCAAGTGTTGCCGGTGCTCCGGGTCCATCATTGCGCATGCTCAGGATAACAGAACGGAGGTTCCTGTCCAAGAACCGAATCATTGAGGATTATAAGAATAGGTCGTATGTCTGTCTGGCCCTTGAGATTTTACAAAGAGAATAAGAAAGTTTCTGGAAAAGGAGAAGGGGGCAAAGCCATCCAGTACATAAGGGTTTGAATAGGGACACCAGTGACACCCACATTCTCTCAATCTTCGACGTCTTGTCAGTTCCCACTCTTCCCCATTGACGAGAACAAAGTTTTCGACTCGGTTCGGTAGGCCCTCAGCTTTGTCATACCCGAAGTGGGAATCTTAACTCGACCATGGGCGTATGGGACTAGTACTCAACGGTCAACCCCCGAATGCACGGAGGATTCATCGAATCTCGCGACGACATCGCACGAGAATAATCGGTTAGGGGCTAAAAGAAGATGACCAAGGGGCGCTAGTGAACTGTGATTTCTGCGTGGAAGCGAGGAATCCTAGTGCCAGTGGTATCTTAAAGGTCGATATCGGTTTCGGGTTCATATAATTTTAGTCCATGCTCTGAATTCCGTTCAATGGATCTCTCTTCACGATCTTCCCATACGGGAAGCGATGGCTCGATCATCACGACGCTCCCAGCCGTTGAGTGATTGTCCACATACTCGGTACATTCCTTCCTACCAGCTTGATGTAGCGATGTACTACTCCGTAGCGTTTACCTACTACATCCTCGCTTTAACGGGCCCATCTATGTAAGACACCGGCGCCCCCCAATGAAGATTGCCACGAGGAGCAACACTGTCAGGACGAAGCAATATAGTTGGCCAACATCTTCATATCCGGAGACCGTCCGTCATCCCAAGCTATCCTCTACATCCACTCTGGTCCACTGTGGAGCTGGTTATTCCATCGTTTGGACTGTCGATCCCATACTAGTCCCCGAATGGCTGCGAATACTTGGAGCTATTGGAGAGACCATAGAACTTAATTGAGCCCGAGTGGATCTAAATTCCTCCCTTTATCTCTTGTTCCGGGCTGATATACGGGTAACCGGGTATTCGCCGGAATGTTCCCCGTCTGCAACGGTCACTATTGGTGATGGATGCTCCATGCCGGAGATTGGAGAGAATGTGGCACGACTCAGTGTGCAGCTAAAGGGAGTGCGCCTTCTCTAGCCCTCGGGTTCATGCACATAAATTGACTGAAAGGGCAGCGATCTTCTCCTTCTGCAGCCCTGCTCTTTAGATTCGCCGCACTTGACTGACACAATGGTGTCTTTGCGATTGAAGAAGAGGTCACTGGCCCTTGTGGCCGCGCAGCTTCTTGCTGCTTCCGCCAACTGTACGTCTTCTGCTACGACGGTGAATGCTTGCACTGTCGAGAGCTTCAATTCCACCCTCCAGGGTCGCATCCGGCCGTTGACTCCCTTCTCGTTGCCCTGCTTCTCCAACTACAATGGCACCACGGTCGCAGTTGACGAGGCCGCCTGCGAGCGCATCCAGAGCAATTACACTGACCCTTACCTGCGCGCGAACTCGCCCAATGGCTACATGAACAACCAGGATGAGATGTGTGCGTCCGATCCTCTCGATCAGTGCCTGCTGGACAGCTCCAATCCGACCGATACGCTGGCATATGTTGGCACCACATGCAACCAGGGCAACATGCCCTTGTACTACCTCGAGGTGAAGACAGCCTCCGATGTCATCGCGGCCTTCGCGTTCTCCAACTGCTCCGGAGTGCCTCTGTCCATCAAAAACAGCGGACACGATTACCTAGGTCGCAGCAGCGGGAAAGGCACGCTGAACCTCTGGATGCGCAATCTGCAGTCCATGAGCTACAGCGCTACCTTTGCCCCCGCTGGTTGCTGTACCAACAAGAGCTATAACGCCATCACCGTTGGCGCTGGGGTCAATTTCGCCGAAGCCTACGCCTTTGCCGACTCTTACAACGTCACCATCCTCGGTGGCTACTCCCCGACCGTTGGCCTCTCCGGTGGCTGGGTCCAGATGGGCGGCCACTCCATCCTGTCCCCCGTGTATGGCCTCGGCGTCGACCGCGTCGTGGAGTACAAGGTCGTCACCCCTGACGGCCAGCTCCGCATCGCCAACGAATGCCAGCACCAGGATCTCTTTTGGGCCCTTCGCGGTGGTGGTGGCGGCACCTTCGGTGTTGTGCTCGAAAGTACCCATCGTGTGGAGCCCCAAATCAGCTTCGTCGCCGCCAGCATCAAGTTCCCCGCGACCTCCGATAACGTCCTCCCCTTCATGGATATCGTCGTCAACAACACCCTCCAGTGGGCCTCTGAAGGCTGGGGCGGGCACATCACCGGAAATACCCTGGTCAACGTCTCCCCGCTGCTCAACCTCACGCAAGCCAAGGCCTCCGTTGCGACCGCCGCCGCTTACGCGCTGAGCCAGGGTGGCTCTGCCGTCGTCGAGCAGTTTGCCTCGTGGTACGCCTTCTACACGAAATACGTGACGTCCAGCGCCGTCAGCGTTGGCGTCACCCACTTTGCCGGCAGCCGTCTCGTGCCGGCCTCCGTGTTTGAAACCGCGTCCGGCCGCGCCAGTCTCATGGACTTCTTCGCTCTGCTCCACAAACAGGGCGCGAGCCCGTATATCCCGGTCGTTGGCCCCGTCCTCTACAACTACACCGCAAACTCCACCTCGGCGACACCCGCCTGGCGGCAGGCTGTGTGGGAGCTTGGCTCCGGCGCTGCCTGGGCCTGGAACAGCACCCTCACCACCCGCAAGGCGAAGATCGCTGCCCTCCAGAATATGACGGCCACCTTGGAGCAAATTACGCCCGGAAGTGGCGCCTATAGTAACGAGGCAAATGCTTTCACCGAGGACTGGCAGGATGCATGGTGGGGTGAAAACTATGACGCGCTGGTTCAGATCAAGAACAAATATGACCCCAGTGGGTTACTGAGCTGCTGGAAGTGCATTGGATGGGAAGAGACGACGGCCGCTAGTTCGTGCTTTTCAGCCTTTGCGTGAGAAAAAGAAAAGCCACTGTAAAGTATAGATTTCTGTGTACATAGTAAAACCACATCGACGAAGCTTCGGGGAAGGTATATAAGAGTTAGACATTAATCAACAAGATCAGTTAACCAGTCCTAACCGCCCTAACAGCTCTGGTAGATCTTGTTTTTCTTCTTGGATCCAGTAACAACAAGCTGTACGAGGGTCACCGATCCCTGATATGGAACTGCTGTCCAGTCCCATTTTACTTCATGTATACTCGATAGAGCATGATGTTTCTGCCCGAAGGGGTACTGGAATACTTTCCTTGACCACTTCTACATAATCCCGAAGCTAGTCCTGTATATTTCTGTCGCTACGGCCCTGCCGCTGGCGAGGAGGTTATTTACTGCCAGTCAGTGTCACCACTTTTCGATGGCTTCGAAATGGCAACAATTCATATCGCCAAAAGAGACGCACTGGCGCAATCAATGTACCCGCGATCCGGTTGAAGGGCTCATCCCCGATAGTGTCGTCCCCATGTCGTTCGGGAAGAGACTAACCGTTACCCCGGTTTATGATATTAGTCTCTGGGTCTACGACGAGGTCCAATGCTCGGCCACCAGAAATACAGGAACGAAGCTGTCAGCCCGAAGCCTAGTCAACGACCAAGCTGATAATATGTCCGGAAATGCAACTTGCTTCTCTTGGCATATGTACTCCTCTAACCTTTCGTGCATGGACAGAGTGCAGATTGGGAGAGGCAACCCTACGGCCAGGAAACAGATTCGCAACCAAGGCGTGTGTGGGCCCTAGTTTCAGGAGAGAGAGAGAGAGAGCTTGAATAAACCACAAGGCATCCATCTAGAGTGAAAATGAATTCATCAATGTTATATATACTCGACAATTATTAGTAAAGTACAAAAATTGGTCTCGTCCATCCCCTTAGGATGAAACAGGGCAGAGTCGTCCATTGTTATTCCACGAGTAGGGAAGGGGGTCGGTGACCTGAACTTCCCAGTCCTCCGCACCCACAGCGGTCAAAGCGAAGAACAGGCCAGTAGGATCATACATCTGCTTCATTGCATAGAGCTTTGCGTAGTTGGATCCATAGAAGGCCTCCTGAAGGTTGGGTTCAAGAAGATCAGCCTCGCTCATGTAAGCGCCCGAATCAGGGGCGATGTCTCGCAGCACATCCATCCAGCTGGTGACATAGAGGGAGGAGTTGTGAACAGTCTCCCAGCTGGCATCGGTCTCCCATTCAATTCCGACGATAACATGGGCAAGGGTATCACGCCAAGCGGGGAGCACCGAGGTGTCGGTGGGTGGTGTGACGGCTTTACCAGTGCCTGTGACGTGGAATCCAGCAATAAAGAGACCCTATTCGACACTAGTTAGATCCTTTTTCCGGGAAGTGTATGCAGAGGGGGGAGAGAGAGAGAGAGAGCCCTCATACATTTTCAATAGCATCCTTGTGAGCGGCATAGGTACTCTGGCGAAGGGTATCGTTCTGGAAGACACTTCTGGGCATCAAACGCGACGCAGTCTTCACCAGGGCAGTGCCGACATATTCCTGTGGGAAAGCACTAACCCAGACGTCATAGCTGTATTTCTAATGTTAGCTAGCAGGTCCTTCTGTTTCTTTCGACATCAGGCAAGAGGGGAAACGAACAAGTTGTCAGCATGGTTGTACCAGGGAGTGTAAGTGATGTTGTTGCTGTCCAGCACCTCAAACCACGGAGCAAGTAGGGTCTCGGTTTCGGCGATGGTCATGTTCGGGGCCACGAAAGATTCCATGCGGAAATAGTATTCGGTAGAGCCGTTATAGTCGGTACCAATTTCGTAGGCCGAGGCTCCAAGGTAGTAGTAACCGTAGGTGCCTGCGTCAACAAAGGGCTCCATGTTGTCGATATAGGCCTCGACTCCCGCCCAGAAAGCATCAGCGTTGGGGCAATCGTTAATTGTGAAGTTGAAAGTAACCGTGGTTGTGGGCAGCTGTGGATAGGCTCGGATCGTCAGCGAAGTAACAACTCCGATGGTGCTACCACCACCTCCACGAAGCATCCAGAAGATGTCAGAGTGTTGGGTAGAAGTGGCAGTGATGAAACGGCCATCAGCCATGACAACTGTTCAATATGCATTAGTGAGCGATCAGTTGCGACAAACCCCCAGGAAAAAGAATACATACCTTCCATCGCAAGAACTTGATCAGCAGCCATGCCATACATGCTGCTCAGAGGCGAATGGCCACCGCCGGCGGTATAGCCACCTCCAAGACCGACGGTGACGGCCTCTCCACCGACAACACTCATGCCGTTGGCCTTTGCAAACTCATAGGCCTCCCAGACCTGGACACCAGAACCAACCTTCATAGCAGGCCCGACATAACCATTATCGGCGTGGTAGGTGGGGTAGAATGCCTTGTCCTTCAGCCAGTGTGTCCAGATGGACAGGGCACCCTTTCCGGCGGCCTTGCCATTGAAGTCGTGACCAGTATTCTTCACCACCAGGCGGAGGTTCAAGTTGCGCGCAAAGTTCACGGCTAGCTGAATCTGGGCCACGTTGGAAGCGTTGACAACGTAGGTAGGGTAACCACCGATTTCACATGTGCTAGTGTAGTTGTCGCCAGTTGGCATACAAGTACGACCCTCATACAATGGCAGCATAATGGAAGCTGGGTCATTCATGCTTTGGGTTTACTTAGCAGACGGTCTGCAGAACACCGGGAAGGGGAACATACTGCAGATCAGAACTGTACCATTCCGATTTGATGGTGGCACATTGGTCGGCGTCGTACTCAGGCCAGTCCGGATAGCATACCGCAGCCAGTGGCGTCGTCTTCACCAAACGATTACCGAGCAGTAAATCAAAGATATACCAAATGATATCACTGGGCCAGAAGAAGTCACCGGGCATGAGCTTGCAGAAGTGCAGACTCCGCTTGGACAAGGTGGAGTTCGTGGTATTAGACGCAAACCCGAACATATTCGAGACGGTCGAATTCTTGAGGGCTGAAGCAACATTGGAGAGGACCCCATCCGTCAATTGCACCGTTTCAGCCGGGAATAGGGTAGCCGAGGCGCTGACGGTGGTTGCAGCGGCAGACAGAGACAAGGGAACAGTCACATTCTGCGCACCAACTGCAGTCACCGCAGCCAAGGTGGCAACAGCGGATGACAGTAGGCCCTTCATGGCTCTGCACTGTTTTGGATCTTTCAGAGTGATAAGGCACCGCTACCCAAAGATCACAAAAACACACAAAAGGGGCAGAAGGAAAGGATACTAGGTGGCCACAATAATGGGAGAAGGAAAGCCCACAGACAAGATATATCCACGAGGGAAAACCGGCTGGACAAAGGTCTTATTTAAAAGAACAATCCGGCCCTTGCAACCCTTGGCTCTGCTCAGCAGAGTAATAGTTGAAAGAATGGGGAGATCCTGGTATGCACTGTCATGCTTGGATCCTAGCAACCACGTGGAAATGGAGATGGGTTCCCCCTCCAAAGGAAAACGCGCATATTCTCCACTAGAAATGGTTAGAGATGAAGTTCAAGCGTTGAAATCCTATGTGGGCTACTGTTTAGCAGCCGACGGGGCAGACTATTTGATTCCCGCAGTAGTACGGAGCAGCGGTACTCTGTAGGCGTAGATCTAATTTAGCTCGTTTAATCTGGAATCACCAGCCCGTTACCCTGCTCTCTAAAACCTGTCATTGGCTGTGGAGGACAGTTCTTTTTTTTTTTTATCAACGGGCTGGTCGAAAGTCCGACATGCTTATGGAGTGATCTTCCTTCCTGCACTCAATTCGACCACATCTTCGAACTATTTCCCATTAATCCTGGTGAGTCGGAGCAATACCCGCTTGCCCACAGGGTAATTACCTAGATATCAAACTCTTTCATTGGGATGGGTGTGTGTTGGGAGGGAGGGGCGGCTCAAACATGAAAACCATGGCACTCAAACCAATACAGCCTCACAGCGAGGGCTCCAGGTCTGACCCGGAATGCTTTATCCGATGCCCTCGGAGACTGCTGATGTCAACTACTGGCTTAGCAATGGGCGCACGCGGTGGACCCGTCAGCTTCAAGACCTTAATCTCCAAATTGGAACAGAAACGAGGCATGTATGGCTGTTCATGGCCGGCAAGGTGGAGAACCAATGCAACCATTTAATTTCCTTCCTTCATAACGGGACAATACGCCGCAGACGATGTCTCCGAGGCCTTCCGTTGTGTTAGGCAAATCACCCCTGCACCTTGGTAGCGAAATACACTCTATCTCTAAACTTGGCCAGGATTCACATCCTTGATTACGCTCGCGAATGACTCGTGAGATGGCGACTATGAAAGAGGCTAAAGATCGCTTCTTCATCCATTAGAGGTCTTTTTAGGTGCGTCCATAGCCGCCAAAGATTCACCTGGCCTCGGGAGATTTTTTTTTTTTTTTTTTCACCCTTCTCCAATTCCTTGTAGGAATAAAAACGCACCTGTTCTTACCGAGCCCACGAAGAGTACTTCGTAGGAGGGTAGTAGGTACATAGAGTATTGCACCTACCAACGGACCATTTATTCTTATTATAGCCATTTTACGGTATAGTGGAAGGGGTATCTTCGGAGTAGGCCAAAGTCTAAAGAAGCGTAAAATAATAATTATTGCATTGCCCAAAGGTCAAGCAAGCTTCCTGCCCTCCTCCGTGCCCTAGCTCCCAAAGTCAACCCAAAAGTCTGGATCCCTTCAACCCCTAGTCGGTTTTCTTCATAGACATAAACCACCGGTTTGGACCCCTTAATACGACGGGTTTGGTTTCTTTCCTTTTTCACTCCCTTATGCTGGTTCGGGTGTCAAACCTCTCGCCATGGCCTCTTCCAGCGGTAACATACAGTCTCAAGCAATCGCCCTGATCTTCGCCTTTCCCGCCCTTGCGACGATCGTAGTGGTGCTGCGGATCTACATTCGAGTATGGACCCAAACGTTCGCTCTCGGTAAGACCCTAATCTACACTTATATGGCTTTGCTGGGGTCGGATCTTTTGCTGAGGGTGGCCAGATGACTGGGTTATCTGTTTTGCAGGGGTAAGTGAGAAGTTATTAACGGGGATGCGAGAGACAGTGCCGGGCCCATATCATATACTAATGATCGTATCCAGATCCTATACTGGGCTGAGACAATCACTTCGTACTATGGTAATCATGACTTCACCTATACTCTGGCAGTCTCACTGACTAAATCGCAGTGATCAAGAACCTATACATCGGATACCATGTTTGGGATATCCCAAAGACTAGAAACACAGCGTTGGCAAATAAGTATGCCTACGCAGTAAGTCATTATCCCAAGCGTCACGTCAGGGGCCAGGAAGCGAAGCTGACGGGGATTCAAATAACAGACCGAACTCATTTACAACCCAATTCTGGCGGTCATCAAAACTTCCATTCTACTCTTTCTACTACGCCTGACGGGCCAGAAAATCGCCGTGCGCAGAGCAATTTGGGGCCTTCTCATCCTGAATGGAGTAGCGATGGTTGCGACATTCCTTCTCACGACATTCCACTGCATTCCGATTGCATCGAACTGGGATGCAGCCTCGTATCCGAACGCCAGGTGCATCAATTTCGCCAACTTCGTGACCGGCACCGCCTGTGTCTCCATCTTCACCGACGTTCTAGTCCTGATTCTTCCTACCTGGATCGTGTACAATCTTCGCATTGCACAGAAACAAAAGCTGATGCTCATTGGCATTCTGTCCTTTGGTCTCATGTAATTTACCCCAGCCGTTATCTCCTGGCTGCAACCCATCTAACGAATATCTTTTCTACAGCACGGTGATCTCCGGTATCGTGCGAGTTGTCCTTCTCGACAGATACGACCGACACCCTCCAGCCGACTACACCTACTCTGTTCTGTTCTGCATTTCTACCATTGAAGTCGGCCTTGCCTTTGTCGCCGCATGCGCGCCATCTTTGAAGCCACTTGCTGCGAAGCTGCTCCCCAAAGTCTTCAGCAACCGAAGTCGGAGTGGACCTCAGTACAGTCGCGGAGAAGGTACCAGCGGTAGACTGGGCTACAACATGGACGCCTTGTCCCGATCACGACGAACCCAGAATGAGGGCAATCTTACGTTGGTAGAGGCCGGCGAGGATGAGCGACAATATAACATAGGGCGTAGCGATAAGCCTGGAATTATGATGACCACAGAGATGGAGGTCAAATGGCACGGATCGGATAGCACCAACCACCCAGTGAATGATGGAAGTAGTACGGAAAGCCTTGTGCAGCCACGGCGATAGACAAGACCTTGCTTACATCCTCTGGCGTCCATTTAGTCTTCAAATATACCTCTATAGATATCTATCTATCTACCTATCTATCAAGATAAAGATCTCACACATCATGCAACTTCACCATAGAAACATTTGCAACATATTCCATACCACTCGTACCGGCAATAACTCTGTACAATGATCTTGCATTAATTGCTTGTGGGCCCCCTACGGGGCTAAAAGTACTAACCTCCCTACCCACCCATGCTGGAAATACTTCATACCCAGCGTATTGATCGGACAAATGCCGAAGTCATGCCGCTAGAACCTGAGGAATCTTTTGATTTTCTCTTGTTCTGGATTCCTGTTCGCAGCGGCGCGCTTCCTGCATGGTGGAGATCCGGGCGAATCATAGCGTAGTCCGTGCATTCTCCTATGGGGTTCATTTTATAGGAAGCCAATGCCGGAGAATAGGGTGGAGTCTGGCTGTGATTATCAGGGTACTACTCCGTATATAGTCGGGCTACGGAGTAGTACTAGTAGGAAGGTCGTCGGCGGCGGACCCAAACATGACCAATTACAGCAACCATTGTTGACAACCAATGACAATATCATACCTAATGGCTTGGTCCGTCCTCGCTCGCAAAACGGTAGAGTCCTGGTGGGTGGAGCCTTTTCAGACTTTGCTGCCTACATTAATGGACACCTACTCCGTACGCTCTCTGGTACTCCGTGGAGGTGGTGAAAACGGTGGAAACGCTTTCAGGATGGAGCCATATCCCCCCCCATTGGTGGCGGTCTTACCTTTTGGAGTGGAAACCCCACCGGATCGGAATGCTGGTATAATGAATGGCGTGCAGCACGGGAGGTTGAAGACTGGCCGCATTCGCAGCGTATGAGAGAAGCACGATCCTCCCCAAGGAAGAGGAAGTTCCCCTTGTGGAAGGAGTTTAATCATATTGCCGCGAATTATGCCTAGACAAGTGGCGTTCAATAAAGGACTGACTGTCGCCGGAAGCTACTTCGGATGATGTGCTCCGTACCAAACCAGCTTTTCCGTAAGTTCATAGGTAATCTCCCAGCAGCGGCTTTCCAATTGTGTGATTTGACTTCCGCTTAGAGTGGAGAGCCCATTGCACACTTATTATCCCCTGAGGCTTGACGTCGGAGGAGGTGTTGCTGCTCTTCGCAGGAGAACTTCCACATAGCCTTCTTTGGCTGTACATAACTATTCATGCCCGCCTCGTATTACATGAGAGCTTTCGTACTGCTAAAATGATTGTCAGCCGCGAAGTTCGCACCTTGCTCAACCAGACACTGTACAATACCAAAAGCAAGGACGGCCACTGGATGCTCCGTTGAACAGGGACCAGCCCTCTTGATTCAGGCTTGCATAGGTCCGCTCCTTGGTCTATCAGATTCTCGAGAATTTCCCAATGCTAGCTGCCAGCTGCGAAACACGCGCGAGGCTGTTTGGTTTCGCTGGTTGCAAGGGCAAAGTTACGCGAGAACAGGTGGCGATGCTAAAATGAGACCCCCTAGTTTATCTATGGTTAGGCACCAAGTGACCTGCAGCGCTGAGGGGAGGATTAAACTTACTATAGCTATACGACTCGATAAATAAACCTACTCTGCTCCTTACGGGTATTCCGATGCTCCTGGGGGCTGCTCATGTAACTTCGGCGAGATATATGAGAATGCCACAGCCTCTGTGGACCTTGTCAAGTCGGAATGCTCGAGCTATGTATCGTCAGAGTCAACAGCTCTAGAAACCTGCCAGTGCTGTGCCTGGAGCGCCGCTGTATCTGCGTAAGTACCGAACGTTAGGCCAATTAACATCAGGGTCTGGATTGAAATGATTGCTAATGGGATATACGTCCTGCAATAATTTCTACGGAATCTGCCCGGGCTACGACCTCACCAATTTAGGCCTATCAAGCCTCGAGACTGCGGCAGCTGATTCGGAAAGTATTGGAGGTTCTTGTGCCGGGCTCACATCCTCTGTGTGTCTTGGGGGGGGGGGGGGGGGGGTTGGCATAGGGTCCGCAGATGATGGCACGTATTTGGATCCTGCCAATCTTCCCTTGCCAGGTAATAAGGTTCTGAGCAACACGGAGGGTTCAGGCCCATTAACCACGCCTCCTGGTGGAGCAACGATGACTGTGACGCTGCTCAGCACAGCATATACAATCACCGCGGCTTCCTACACTGGAACCAGTTCTACGACAACTGGAGCATCAAGCAGCCAGGGCTCAGGGAGCCAGACCTCGAGCAGCACAAGTGCTACAAAAACGAACGTCGCACCAAAGCTGGGATATACTTCAACTCGCTTTTTGATCTCGCTTGGTGCCATGCTAATGCCCCAGATATCCCTGTGAATCCACCACACCGTCCATATACCGGGTTGATATTAATTTAAGAAGCCTGGGGTATCATGACCATGCCTTATGTATTGCTCAGCGCCATGCTGTATAAAAGATTGTTATTCCCACCGCCGCTGACAGCTTCGTACCTCTTTGGACTTTGTTCCCTGGAGCAAAACAGGGGCTCTCGCAAGCCGTGACTTGAGAACTAGCCGAAATCCTCACCTCTATTTGTAATCCTCTTTACCTGTTTCATATTCAATAGACCAGTACGACAAAGAGGTTAAAACTAAATCCCTCGCATTACATAGCAGCTAAGAGGGAAATCGACTACGCAGCTCTAATATTACCACCCCACAGTCGCGAGGATCGTTTACTAACTCAAAGTCTGCGGTCGTCTAGAATGGACCGAAGAGGAAACAAATAGTTAAGAAGACTATTTTAATTCGAGACATTTTTGCTCTGTCTTCAGCCACACGAACTCCACAAACACGATGCGGTCCAAGCGGGTGAAGAATCATACTCCGTACTTCTTTGTGATTATCCTCAGCTACTGCTGCCAGGCTGAATAAAGGATTATGTGTCTATAGTCAGATTATAGCTAAAATCTACTCTGTACGTGCTTGGGCAGATATAGAAAGTCTGCATGTAATCAACCGTACGAATCCTGAACCTTGCCGGCCCCAGTATATTCTATAGAACTACTCCGGATTGACTCTCACAATTTATCAAGGATCGTAAGGGGCAACTAGCGTGGAAATATATTTAAAGAGATGCTTCTGAGCGTCCCAGAGTTGAAACTGATGCAACAGGCGTTCCCAATCGATGGGTTAAACTAAGTAGGGCTAAGTGCATACACGGTGCCATTATGCGAAATATTGGACCAAGGAGAGGGTATGCTACTTGCAAAAAAAAAAAAAAAAAAAAAAAAAAAGGGTGAAAGTAAAAGTCAGTCAGAAGCAGATAAGGCCCATATCCTAGGCGCAAGTCATTCGGACTAACACGATAGATGAGATGGAGACATGGAGAGAAAACCTGCCATTTTCTTGACAGTATAAATTCTACCAGTTTTTGAAGAGACACCCCGAAGAGTACAATTTGTGTTCCGGCCATTATCCGAACCTCTGGGTCACTTCTATACACATTTTCAGAACTCTAAGAATATCCTGTGGAAGATGGCCGTTGTCGAAAGCAGCTTGAAGTTGAAATACTAGGAGACTGGCATTCCTGGTGGCTATCCGGTGATGTGGCCTCTATAGTTGTCCGGAATGCTCAACCCGTGGAACGGCAGATCCCCGGCCGTAGCGGAGAAATGTTCGTTGAGTTAGGCTGTTAACAGACCTGCAGTACCAGTACCTCTTTCATTAGCAAGGTTGAGTTTGACAAGAAGTGAAGGAACTGCCCTATATGGACATACTATTTTCGTTATGAGGACTGACGAGTGAAACTAGCCTAGACAGAACACCAATCTCTAGCTTCAGCTTTAACGCGTAAAAAAAGGTTTTCAAAACAGTTTGAACCATGTACCTCGTGGTGTACTGGAGTACTAGAATGGAAATATCCATCCGGATAATGACCACGTTCAGCAGCAGCAGCTGGTACATGATATTGGCTTTCCTCTCATTTCGTTCCGGATGGAGTTGAAGAATCTTCAATGTCTGCACAATAAAGACGGATGATATTATAAACTCTTGGACAAAGAAGCCTGTGATTTGGACGCTTTCCCAGGTGTTGAAAACCGTGGGAAATGCAGTGTGTTCGGCATAGATGGAACCGTATGAGACGACGATCTGCGGCACCTGAAAGATCACGGCGTCCACGATAATTAGAAACAAGATGAGCCGGAGAGCGAGTTTGTTAAAGAGAACAAAATGCAGCCGGGAATACAGGACCAGGGAATGCCCAGTTGCCATAATACACCATCCGACGGTAGACAGTGTTACTGGAATGCTAATAGTTGCGAGCTCAAAGTACTTCAAAAACAACCCTACCGACTGTGGAATAACCCCAAACGCGGCAGTGACCATCAGGCTCCAGAAGTAAAGATTGAAGTAATGATGGAACATGAAAAAAATGATGATGATAAGTTCCAGAGCATTATATACGGCGCTGGCTAGAAGGGTTGCCAACACAGCTTGAACTGTAAAGCTGTTCCCCGTATACCCTGCAACGATCCCCTCCACGGGGCCCGAGTTATTAACCATCGTTGATCAGAGAAGGCCTGTCATGATTCGAAGTGTGTAGAGTGATTTCCATCCCCATCGTGCCCTTGAATCGACGAAACTTTCCACATTCCTGTTGGGGGGGGGGGTTCTTTTTTCTCTACTGCACTCGGGGACACGTGACTCTGTACCAGAAACGAAGCCGGATTTTTTTGGTTAAGTTTTGGTCAACTTTGTTAATAAGAAAAGTGAACACTTTAGTCAACCTGATACAGGATAGAATTGCTCGTGTTTGGTTGGTGTACGGACTATATATATAGATGGAAAGGAGCTAATTTGATATCAGACAATTTTACTCACTACGGCAACAGACCAATGAAAAGAACATGTGAAGTTGACTCAGCTTACTGATAAAGATCAAGTAACTAACTAGTTAACTAGGACTAGGACTAGAACAGTGTATGTTATGGCAAGAAATTGTTTTCTGTACAGCTTGTCTTGTCTTGTCTTTGGCTAGAAAAGAGGCACCCAGGCTGAGTCAGATCTTACGTGAGCAGAAGACGGCCCGGCCGTATCGGATGAACTGTAATTCCGGATTCCGTATCCGCTCTTTTAGTCCTCCGTAGATTGTAACTATACTATTATTAGATCTGTTGATTCTTGCTATTGTGAGAAGAAACATGGGCCATGATATGCATTGACTAAATCGAATGATTGAAATTGGTGGTTAGGAATGGCCCTACTGGTCAACATACACATATCCGACCACAGCTGCAATACTGAATATCCTAGATCGGGAGCACATATCATCCTGATAACGTAGTGATAGCAGATCAAGATTACACATTCTAGACATCGCGATAAAGAATCTTGCGTATCAAGTGCAGTGATAGTGGCGGATCAAGACTTGAATCTTGCCGGCGGATGCGTGGCGGATAATGCACCGCGCGGTCCGCCTTCCGGCCATATCGCCGACTTGGATCAGACGTTTCACATCCTCTCTTATCTTGAGATCCAGGCAAGAAGAGACATAAAATGAGTGTTGAATCCGCCAGATTATGTCTCCCTCAGATCTATCTCAAGTATCTTCTTTATTCTAAACCAAAATGGGCTCCCTCTCTACCAGCTGGAAACGCTTGAGCGTTGGCATTGTTGGCGGCGGTATTGGTGGTTTGGCGGCTGCCATTTCCCTCCGTCGTGCCGGCCATGATGTGACAATATACGAACGTCATGATTTTGCCGGAGAAGTCGGTGCGTCCATCTCCTGTGCTGCCAATGGTACGCGGTGGCTACAGGAATGGGAGGTCGATATCGCCAAGGGCGACCCTGTCTTACTCCGCAAGCTGATCAACCGAGACTGGAAAACTGGAGAGCCAGTCAGCGTCTACGATCTGGACGATTATGAGGAACGATGGGGATATGTTTATAACATGTTCCATCGCCAGTATATGCATTCCATGCTGAAGGATTGCGCGCTGCAGGAGGAAGGGAAAGGCACCCCCGCTAAGCTCATCGTCAATCATCAGGTAAAGTGGAGCCGAGCCTCGAGTGATAAATACGACGGAGTACCTCGTCATGGCTAACACCCAAGGTAGTGCCAGGAAATTGATCTAGAGAAGGGTGTTATCACCTTTGCGAACGGCACCACCGCCCAGCACGATCTCATCGTCGGTGCCGATGGTATTGGTTCGGTTGTGCGAGGTATCATTGGCCTCAACCCAGAGAAGAAGCCAGCCCCGTCCAGCTGCTTGCACGCCAATGTCCTCACCGAGGATGCCGTGAAACTGGGTCTGGTTGATTACTCTCAGGACTCAGCATTGGAATACTGGGGTGGTCAGGAAGGCAAATGGGACAAGATCGTCCTCTCCCCATGCAATGGCGGTCGTTTGCTGTCGTATTACTGCTTCTTCCCGCGCGAGGTGGGCGATTACACAAATCACACCTGGGGTGGTGAAGATCTCCCAGTTGAAGAACTGCTGGCACCATACCCTGAGCTAGATGCGCAGGTGCGCTCTCACCTGGCAAACGGAATTGAAATCCGCCCATGGCGCCTCTGGGTCCAGTAAGTTAGAATCTTGCCAGCGAGCCCAGTGTTGTTGCTGCCCGTTGCCGAGTATGCTAACGGATTACCCAGTCAACCATACCAATATATCAGTCGCAATATGGTCTGTTTATTGGGCGATGCAGGACATCCGGTAAGGCCTTCCCTGGTGTGAATGGTTGCCAATCCATGTCTTATCTAACCACCACCAGATGATGCCCCATCAAAGTCAGGGAGCCTGTATGGCACTTGAAGATGCTGCCGCTCTCGGAATCCTCTTCAGTAAGGAGTACTTTTCAGGAGATGTCGCCGAAACGCTTTCATTCTACCAAGAGGTCCGCTTGCCACGGGCCACTAAGGTTCAGGCAGCCTCTGCCAAAGCAGCATATAATATCAATGAACGTATCGGTAAGCTATCCCCCAGCATCCTACTGAAAGAAAGAAGAGGATGTGCGGCTAACCTTTACCTTCAGGATTCTCTAGCAATACTGGCAACGCCAACTACAAGGTAGAGGACGAACAGAAAAAGCTGACTATTGAAGAAATGAATGCGTAAGTGATCGACCCCAAGGATTATATCCTACTCGTTTGGCCTATGGATTGAGTCCTCACTGACATTGTCTCAGCTATGACATGTACAAGGATGTCGAAGAAGTCATCGCAGCCAAGAGAGGCGTACCTTTCACACAGAAATTTATCAGAGGCCTACCGATCGGCCTGAAGCTTTCGAACGGAGTAACTGTTGGAGAGAACTGAGAGCTTTTGGGCGCTAAATATATTGATTAGGGTTTGGTCACAGATCCAGAACCACCCATGCGTTACGATTTTTAGCACTGAGATTTAGATATTTTGTGTACATATTCTTTTGAAACAATGAACTGGGCCCCAGATAACTGCAAATCAATCATTATCTACTGCCCTTGCTTCTATTTTTGTTCCTTATTCTTTGGATTTAAGACTGGATAATCCGTCCCACGCCTGGATATGGGGGTACTGAACGATCACTTGTGTGCACCGATTAAACCATTTCTAACCTGTATTACATACCATGAGCCATCTGCTCCTCTCTCAGCTTACCATTCTCCAGAGCATATTAGAACCCCACGCAGGAACAACTTTGCTGTAATGGACCGTTATAGAAGAATCAAAACAAAATGTCAAAACGATTAATAACTTTTCAAAGGACTAGGAACTGTTCAATTCCATCACTGGAACATCACCAATCCAAAGACGAACGGTACAAGACTCCAGCACGAAGGCATGAAAGTGGCTGCGATACCAGTAAATGCGAGCTGGGACGGTGAAGTTGACGGTGAAGAATGCGTTTGGGATCCAACAAATGGTCGGGATGTGGTGCTACTTGGAGCCGTTGGGCTCGAGATTACACCTCCAGTTGGGGGCGAGATTGATGTAGTAGAAGGATTGCTGGGTGTTAGAGAACCAGTCTCCGAGGGGCTTACGGTGATCGGAGTTTGACTCGTGAGTATCGAAGTGGTGGGCCGGTTTACCGTCTCGCTCGCAGTGGACAGAGTAGACGAGGTCGATGAGGCTGTAAAGCTCGAACTCGAGGTTGAAATCGAAATGGAATCTGAAATCGAAGTTGATGTCGCACTAGGAGTTGAGGTAGTTGTAACTGATATGGTGGTCACGGTGCTTGGAGTAGAACCTGAAGTAGAAGTCGAAGTCGAAGTTGATGTCTCACTAGGACTTGAGGAAGTTGTAACTGATATGGTAGTCACAGTGCTCGAAGTAGAACCTGAAGTCGAAGTCGAAGTCGAAGTTGCACTAGGAGTTGAGGTAGTCGTAACTGATATGGTGGTCACAGTGCTCGAAGTAGAAGTAGAAGTAGAAGTCGAAGTTGAGGTCTCACTAGGACTTGAGGAAGTTGTAACTAATATGGTGGTTACAGAGCTTGAAGTAGATGAGCTGGACTGGACGGAGGACGTTACGGAACTGGGCGTGGTAATGGATTCCGCAGGAACAGAGGTGGTACTAGATGAGTCGCCCTGGCAGTAACCTAGCCATTGCTGAAAATCAGGTCTAAGTCCCTGGTCAAAGCTGGCTGAATCCGCAGTGCCCCATCGAGCTACACAGCGCTCACAGATCCCAAGCAAGTTCAAGAAAGGCGAGCCGCTAGCGCATAGGGCTGGGGACTTTCCGATATGCTGAGCCTCAACTGCGGCGTTGTTGCACTCATCATAACAGACTCCTGGGATAACGGCCTCAGTAATGAGCGATTGCCGTAAAAGGACGGCTTTCCAGACATCGTCCCTTATATTGGACATCCTGTAGTAATGACTCTGCTCGGGCTGACTATCTGGTAGCCGGAATATTGAGTAATTTAATCCAAAGAGACCTGGATCCAAGTTGAAATAGTACTGGGACACATTGTAAGTTCCAATTTCATCAGACACCACAGGCTTGCCCCAGGATTGATCATGGATGTATGGTGGACTCTTAATACACTCATTGGGACTGCACACGTAGCTGTCTGCTGGTAGGCTAGCCTCCAAGTTACATCCAGCGTTGTCACCAGAATATGTAGGGCTACAGAGATATCCAGGAGGGCATCCCCAGGTGTAGTCGATAGGGAGTGTGGCAACAGGCGTATAAGTTGGGTTAACAGTCAGACTAGGGCAGATTTCGATAGTGGTCGTGGATCCTATGGCCAGTGAAGTCAGCCTAGGCTATAAAAGCAAATATAGTATTATCAACGTACCAGGAACGCTGGTTGTCATGCTAGGATTTGTTTCTGTGGTGCGAGGAATGGTCTCTGTGTCAGTAATTATAACAGTGGTGATTGTGCCTGGCTTCCAAGATCAGCCATAAACTGACAAAAGGGAATACAGACAGCAGCTGGTAAATGCGGCATATCTGACGTACCTGGAGAAGTCACAGTGTTGACAACTGTGCTCGTGACGATCTCCGTTACTGAAACTGTTTCAGTTAAAGTAGGTCCCGATATGGTGGTAGTCTGAGTAATTGTAGACCCGGGTAGAGATGTCACTGATCCTGAAATGGTAACTGCTGTACTTGCCGGGTCCGTGATAGTAGTTGATGTGATGGTCTCTGTTGTTGGCGAGGTTGGAACTGTTGTAGTACATGTTATCGTGTCTGTTGTCGCAGATTCCGAAACTGGCGCCGTGCTTGGTGGCTCTGGTACAGTAGTTATTGTTGTGTCCCGAGGCAAGGTGAGCGTCTCCGTTGTTTTTGGGCTTGTACTGGTGACTGTGCTCAGTGGCTCTGTAATAGTATCTGTAATAATATTCGTGATAGTGTTCGTGACGGTCTCTATGATTGTATCTGTAGTATTGTTCGGGATAGTGCTGTTAATGCTGTTTGTAACAGTGTCTATCTCAGTATTGGTGACTGTTACTGTCTCTGTCGTGGCAGGTGGAGGAGTTATGATTAGGGTTGTTGTTGAGGTTCCAGGAACAGTTGAGGATGTGACACTTGTTGCGGGAGGCAGAGTGGAGGACTAAAGCACTTATTAGTTTCCTTCCCATGGGTGCGAAGTCAGATTATCATACGTCGCAGGTCTCTGAGATTGTAATAGTCTCATAGCAGGTCTTGGTCACTGTGATTTTCCAGGTATCAATCGAAAAGCCACCCCAAACGGGAGAGGAAAACCAAATGGCCACCAGGAGAAAAATCGGAGCTCGGATAATGTGCATCATTAACCGTTGTGCAGAGTGTGATTGCACTTGTCCCTACAATAACGAATGGAGGCCCAGAGAGCGGCAATTCCGAAACCTATTACACCAGCATCAAGAGCAGCGCAAGGCAGTCTTCCAGTTGGATGTCGTGGGCCAGAGATCAATCAACAGGAAAGGGCAATTTTCTTATCTGACGTGCGCTACTCTCAAGCAGCGGCTTCGAGAGAGAAACAAAGAAAATGAAGCTACCCTTGCGCCTGTGGGCCACGGCTCCGTCATAATCAACATATAACTAAATACTACTCCGTACTAGTCTCTTCGAGATGATCCCCTACCCTAGGGCAACAGTGGGGTTTCTCGAGTGCCCCTTTCCGGATGGAGTTGGGAACATTGAGGCCCAGGCATCCAACGTGCAGCTGCCGATGATGTCTCGGAAAATGAACAATAAATTGGGGGGGGGGTCAGTACGAATGAGACAGAAGAGAGGACGAAAACGAGGACAGGGGAGGGGTGCTTGATGTCCAACTGCAGTCTGTGGGCCGAGATGCAGCATTGCTGAGTTAAACAATGCGAAGTCTACTTCAACCCCTCGATAAACCTGTCAGCAAGGGAAAAGATGTTTGACCGACTACGGGCATGGGGCAACCAATTGCAGCTAGGAAAATGTGAATTCAATGTAGCACAAAGCGAGATGGTGAGTTTGGACGGGCTTTTCCAAGCGTACGTCTGCTGACCGTTTGGCCAACATTGACAAAAAAACGAAGGAAATTCAGTTGAAGCGTCGGCTTTCATTACCTGGCAATGGTTATAATGCTCGGAAAAATCCATATTTCACAATGGATATTCAACTAACCCATGAAGAAGCAAGGACAGTATCATCGGTACATACAGCTACCGCAAGCCTCTTCAAATTTGTTTCACGGGCAGCCATTGGTTGGAAACACTCCTCTTCCCACGAGGCTCTGCGAATTTTCGAAAAATCTCAATCTTCTTGTTGTGTCCGGCATTGGAATGATTGAAGTCTCGGGTTTATTCCTTTTCCCGAGCTATTCGGAGTATCCGATGGTTGCAGCCCCGTGCTCCCCGGCCATCAGAGTCGTTCGCTTTGAGCCAAGTGGCTCGAATAGACCGCATTAGACTACAGTATACCGATGGACATGCACTAGCGTCTAACTAGTTCGATTATCTGTCGGTAATGGTTGGGCTGCTGTGTCGTCACGGTGCGATGGTACCACAGTGCTACTTTGTCGACACTCCCCGCACCCCCTCACACGATACACAGGGTTGCTTATTATGGAACTATGAAGCTCGTAAGAGACAAAGAAAACACAGCTATATTCTAGGCAAAGGGGAGCAGGAAATAGTTTGAAAGTGGGGTTTTATACTCCGTAGTAACTCCCCGCCGTGTGTCTCGATTCCCTCGTCTGCTAGGGTTTCGAGAACCCCGAGACTTGACTACAGTTCTTCTCACGAAACCATCCATCTTCCCTCTATTTCAGCCCAATTAAGATCCTGCATATCCATCTAGAGGTATTATTAATGCTATGTTCTTTTAACTATATTAACTTCCGAGAGCCGCACTTCACCCACCTGGGCATAACCTGGACTCGCCCCAGCACTACGCTCCAACCCAATTTAGAAATCCATTTTGTCTTTCTTTGTAGCCATCGGCCACTCCCCGGCAAAAATATTATTGCGAAAGGTGCGGCAAGTAAAAGAAGGGCAAAAAGATCCCTAGGGAAGAACAAAGAAAAAACATCAACATACGGAAGCAGGGCGTCAAGGTGCGAGGAAGAAAAGGAAACGAAATATGGCGAAATTCTCAGGAGCGACCTGATATAGCCACAGCCAGTATTGAGTCAGAATGTCACCGGGTCCATGGCTAGTCGTAGCCCTTGCTACGGGCCTGTTCGGCCGTTGTGGCGCGCAAACGACTTGGAGGAATCAGATCAATATCTCGATGTGCACATGGGAAGAACTTCGAGGTGCGACAATCAGAAGAAATGCTCGTTTGGGAGATCGGTTAATAACTTCGTCAAAGTCAGCACAATCCGCGATACCGTCTACCTTGACGGTGGACATCTTTGGTGGCAGCTGTAAGTTAACCTCATCCATACCAGTAGAAGAGAGGACGTTCTAAGGAATATCGTTGAATAGCGGTTATAGCGATGGCTCAGTCCTTCCGGTGAATCCAGGTATGCTTCAACCATCACCCTGCATGCTGTTAAGCCATACGACTGATATTCGACACAGACAACTATGGGGGTTTGCTCTACTATCTGAATCTTTCCGCTTCATTCGATACGGCGACTACAAACCTCACGGCGCTGTTTGGTAGCATCCCCAAGTCTGGGGGAATCGCAAATAATCTAGCGCCTACCTATCATGATGGTGTCATGTTCGCGAATGATGATAAATTCTATCTCTATGGGTACTTTTCCCACATCAAGCAGGTGTCTAATATCCCTGACTTTACCACAGTGGTCTTCTCCTACCTACCGCTAGCCAGAGCCCACCTGATGGCAATGCCATTCTCGCCTATGAGAGATATCAATATGGCCCCTTCCTCAATCTCTGGCAACCCGGCTTCATCAACACTGACCTTGACAATGATGTGACACGATATATTACAAGTGGAGCAGGAGTCTCCTCCCCGAGTGAGAATCTTGGTTTCTATGTGAGTGGTATGCGCGCGCCAAACTGGGGTCCCATCTACGATAATCAGTCGGCTACCACTCTCTCCAGCCAAATGATCAAGGTCGATATGTCACAGATGCGGGATAGCAGGTGGTACAATGTTTCCCTCCCGCAGTTCGTCCCCCCACGTGCAAATGCAGAGGCTGTTTGGATTCCCGTATCCGAGCAGGGCATTCTCGTCCTGATTGGGGGGGTCATATACCCGGAGTTCATTTTCACCTCCAGTGGGCTAGATAGTGGACAGCAAAATGCTAGCGAGCGCTCGAGCCCAGCATTTATGGACACTGTGTCCATTTACGACATCGCCAACGACCAATGGTAGGTGTATAGACCAATTCCAGACATTTTAAAAAGAGTTCTAATATGGGCTGGAGTGCACAGGTATCTGCAGAACACAACAGGGGATATCCCCCCCCAGCTAACGCAGTTTTGCTCCGTCTATGCGACTGCATCCGATGGCACGTCGCACAATATCTATATCTATGGTGGATATGATGGTCTCAGCCCGACTCATATCCCGTCCGATGATGTCTATGTGCTGTCTCTACCCTCATTCGAATGGATTAAACTGTACAGCGGAGACAGTAGGACCCACGGCCGGAAGGCGCACAAGTGTGTCAAGCCTTACCCAGATCGCATGCTCGTGCTCGGAGGTTCAAGTATCGACCCTTCGAGTTGTATCGATATGATCCAGGTATTCAACCTGAACACAGGGAGATTTCAAGACACCTATAATCCCGCTCAATGGAACACGTACCAGGTACCTGATCTAGTTTCCGGGAGGATCGGTGGCGAGTACGTTTTTAACGAAGCCAAAGCTTACGTTCGGATCTAACTGAGTCCTCAATAGTTCCACTGGAGGCGCAACAAAAACCGCTCCGAATTCCTGGACTAATTCCTCTCTGGCCCAGGTTTTTGCCGCTTCATATACCAAAACAATTGCAACCTGGTATCCTTACAATACCACTTCGCACAATAGCACTCCCACACCCGTCCCAGTGCCTTCGGGCGGCTCATCGGGATTCCCTGCCTGGGCTGGCGCTATCATTGGTGTTCTTCTCGGGCTCCTTCTCATCGTCGCTGCAGCTGTTTTCTGGTTTCTACGGCGCCGGCGAAGCTACCAAGGTTCGCGCCAGACAAGTGCAGTATCGGGTAACCAGTTCCGCGCGATGCAGGGGATGTATTCTGGAGCGTCTGCTACGGACGCACCAAAAGACCACGAGACAACCGTTTCTTCTACATGTACCAAAGACAGTGCAGTGGAGCAGTCAGTAGCCACAACGCACACTACTGCGGAGGCCGGAAGTGAACCGTTATATGAAGTACATGGTACGTTGAATAGCGTGAAGCTGTGCCATGCTTTATTCCCCCGTTTACTAAAGCCTCATCCAACAGGTACCAGCTCTCCACCTCCCGTCGAACTTCCAACACCTTACAATGAGATCTCGCTACCAAGCCCATCGTTAATATCGAGTACTTGCCGATCTGGATACGTATCTCCTATCTTTGTAGACATCCCCGAAGAGGAGACTACCGACAGCCAACCTCCCCGGCCAACACACCGGCGGCATGTGTCCAGTCTTTCGAGCGCCCGCTCCCTGTCCATAGCAAACAGAATGTATGACGATCAAGATGGGAGACTCTCTGAACGATCCAGGTATATTTCGGGTGCTTCGGAAGCGAGCATTAGCTCTAGCGGGAGTCAAATAAGGGAAGAATCTAAAAACACTAGTGGCCTCGAAGATATTCAAGATACCGAAAAGGAAAAATAAGTGGTCAGACGGAATGATTGTATGTTTTGCTTAGAAAGTGATGCATTGTCACCGATTTCCATTCTATTCAAGGTGCATCAGTAGTGTCTTTATAATTACTTAAGTTGTGTCAAATTATCATGAGAAAATGTGAGGGTTAAGCTACGCATCCAAGAACTATATGTATTTATACATGTAAATAACTAGCTCTTAACGTATAGTTCGTTAACGACGCCAATTACCCTGATTTCTACATATCGGCGTCTCTTGAAGAAATGTTCCTTCTGCCTGACAACTGTTAGAACTTGTGTTTTAGGAACCACCCCCTGATTACAATACATTCGGGTCTATGTTAGCTTTTGATCAACATTATATTGTCCCTGGGGAAAGATAAGTCATAGCAATGGTCAACTGCGCTTATAACACGGGCGAATTTGGAGCGTTTCAATGTGAAATATGTTATAAAGATGGGGTGTGCAGGGTTGAAGCCTGTATGTATCTAAACCCCATTTGGTATCCTTGGTTTAAATAAGGTATATACAAGATAGTAACCGATATCCGAGCCTCTAACGCGCCGTATCCGGTACAGGCGAGACAGAGAGAGAGAGAGAAATAGGTAGACTATGACTCCCAGGGCGAATATAATGATCCAGAGTCATGCCAGATTGGGTCCGGAACAATATTACCCATAGTTGGGACTTGGTCCACCCTCAACATTTGTAGGAACGACTGAGCTGCATTACCACAGGTCTGGGGACTGCGTAGGCCCTCCTGTATATTATGAAGTTCCAACGCGCATCCATAGTCTAAGCCACTCTGCACCATGCAAAGTTCAGCAGCTATATAGAGGGGAATTGCGGTAAATGGATGGGCCTGATGGAAGCGTTAAAATGATCCCGCATTCCGGATATTGTAGAGTGAGTTTTCGGTTCCTTACCTTGGACGAACTGAGTTGCGCTAATGATTTCGTTAGATCAATTATATGTTGTGCGGCTGTTAATGCCTGGGTTTTCGAAATCAGAATCGTAGTGCCGTGGTCTGCTGTTTCGTAGGGCATGGACTCGATGATGCTGTATTGATAAATGATTGCCGCCTGGGCAACGATGTTGATGAAGATCACCATCGGGTCGATATACTGATTGCCTAATGGGAACTCGTTGGAGAGTAGGCGAATTCTCTGCAAGAGGGTATCGTGGAGCCATTGGTGTCTTACCCAGGCGTCTGCCAGTGTGTCGCCATAGATGTTCTCAACAGAGGACAACTGTTTGTGGGATAGGGAGCGCCCCCAGATGGTGACCAGTAAGATACACTCGGTGAACACTGGAAGCGAATTTTGATCCGTTCGGGCTATCTCCTCAGAGAGTAGCCCTGTAGTAACGAATCGCGAGGTTTGGAAGCATTCTTCAGATGCTGGTAAACGTGTTGAGATCTGAAAGCCGCACCGTTGCGTCAGCGAATAAGCTACCTTTCTGAACGTCCTGAAAAATCTCTAGTCTCACCACTTGTTCGGTAAAGGTTAGAGGCAGATCAGCCTGAATACTGAGGAAGCGATCTAGCAGATACGCCATCCAAAAGGTGCGGCGCTTTTCCTCAGTCCGCGCCCACTCATTCTGCCCCATCGTATCAGAGCAGCTAAGAATAGGTTTCGGCCCATCGATATCAAATAGTCTCTTGAGCTGTGTCAGTCGAAAAGCTCGTCCTGCACTAATCCAGCTGCGTGTGTAATTCCCTTGGGTGACTTCATAGATGGTCAGTAGGATCCATGTCTGGATCTCCTCAATGTCGGCGCCAACGCCCGTTTCTGGCAAAGTTTCCAGTTTTTGCCTGGCTACCCGGTAGAGACTGTCGGAAATATGTTGAAATTGGGAGGAAGATGCCGCTGCTAGAGTCCACATGGCGTATTGAAGACAGCTTCGAGACGTGCATGTTGCAGCCTGATGAGCTCGTGAGTGATACTGGCGCTGATGCAACATAGGAGCAAACATGTGGACCCTGTCGAAATACAACCGATTCCTTTTGTAAAGGTTAGAGGCGTTGATACTCCTGTAAAGACATAATAATACGTTTCTTCGGCTTACAGTTCTTCCTGCATCGCATTCGACATACCCATTGGGTGACAGGCTGCGAATGACTCAGGCGACGGCGGGAGGCCTGTAGATAGCGAGAGAGGGGATATAAGCATATCGCAATCCCCATTACGCATATCTGACGAGATCTGCGGTGAATTGTTCGCGGAGATTCTGTCGAGCAATGGGCTTTGGGTGAGGCTAGTCTCGGGGAGACAGATGTCTTGATTTTGTTGGGCCTGGAAACATTTTTCTAGGGCAGCTAAATAGAGCCATGGTTAACCAAACCCTTTTAATGGGCTCCGTATTTCCCACTAAATGGGCTGCGAACTTAGGGCTTGGTAAGCCTTACCCACTCGGCTCTCTAGATCCTTGATATGTCCTGGCTTGGGCCCCCGGGGAGGGCGATAGGTTGTGATATGGCACTCTACTCCAGACTCGGCGCACACTTTACATTGCGGTCGCTCTCTATCACAGCGTAGTTTCCGACGACGACACTCTTCACAGGCGGAGCCGGGCTTCTGTCGTGGCCGGGGAGCAGAGCCGTCCTCGGGCTTTCGCTTGAGCATTGCTTCACAAGGACTCACAAAACTCGGCAACGTAGCGGATCAATGGTGGGGTTCTCTTGACATTCTAGCTTCTGCATGGAGGATAAGGATAAAGATCTTGCGATCGACGAAGAAATAGAAAGGGGCTTGGGGGGTTGGTGGCTTTTAAAGCAGATAATCAACTACAGAGTCGGTCCACACACATCTGGAGCGGGGGGGTATGGGAAGAAGTAAGCCTATGAATTGGCTGACTGCTCCACCAACACCCCGTGCATGCGCTACTGGGGAGTTAAAGGATTTGTTTTCTCAGGGTTGTACGTATACTTGCTCCTTGAACTCGGGGACATAATAGGAAATCTAGTCAAGTGTGGCCTTTTATGAGAATTGGTACGTCCTCTGTGTAATACATTTCAGCGTCAATAAAAGGATTCGTTGCGCTGCAAGAGATCCAAAAAATAATAAAAAAAAAAGTAATAAAATCAGTAAATAAGTAAATATACTTTGATCCAGCGCCTGGTATAGATAGCTCTTATACTCTGTAGATAGGCGTTGAGGCATCGCCACAAAACCGGACTATATACGGCGCATAAGTGTGAAGAAAGCAAAAAAAAAAAATGACCGAGAATTTTCTGATAAAGAGAACAACACGAGAATCGCCCAAGTGAGCCTCTGAATGGGCCCGTTATTAAATCCATGGACTTTGGCAGCCCAGGTCAATCCGATCAAGCCAAGTTAACCTAGAAACCCCGTGTATGTGGCGGCTACGCATGTCTAAAACCTGGAGCCAGAGTATTTTGCACGGGCTGAGATGAGACTATTGGAGCCAATGGTGGCAGTGGAGTGAATCTTGTCTCTTCTTTACTCTTCTGTCCTCGCGCTCACGGTATGGTTACCAATTGAGCCCTTGTCTTCCATGATGGATTCGACCCCTTGCATTTCCCTTCCCCCCGTCATCTCGAGCGCTTGCGAACAAATTTCCACTCTAGAAGGGCAACCAGCAAGGCGTTCGTTGAAGTTTTGCCTTTTGTCTTCCGTGCCTTCATGTTTTGTCCAGCGGTTGCTAACCCACCCATAATGACAGTGTTCCACATGTAAGAGCTGGACACAAACAGTGAGCTATCCGAGGTGCCATTGACGATGTTATAATGCTGCTCGTGATCAGGGTAACGATTCACAAGGACAATTCTGGCGTATCGCCCGAATTGCCCCATGCACGGACGAGGATCGCCGTGTTTATGATCCGAACCTTCCTTTGCTTTGCTCACGGATGAGTAGCGCTCGAATCCCTCAACTAGGTACGGAGTAGCGCCCTCTCGCTAGACCAGAGTGAGCTAAGGCAGGCTCGCTCCGAGGATATTCGCTCTACGGAGACCCGCTTGTACTCTTGCGAGCCCTGGCTTATTGGCCACTGGACAGAGTAAAGGCAAGTCTGGTCAAGTCGAAGGTGTCGGTAAATGATTATTCCTATTACTCTGTACTTGTCCAACGGGCTCCGAAGATGCCGGACATTCCCTAGTAAGGATTTGATTGTCCGAATTCATTTCCACCCATATTCGGCGATTTTCGTCTACGCTCATGTCCTCACGTAAGGCCACGATTGTCCACGATAGTACAAAAGGGATGATGACTACATGCTTTCAAGGTGAGATGAGAGATAGTTCTTATCTGCTCTCGACTACAGGACAAATGACAATTCAATGTTGTCATGCTTGTTCACGGAGTTGTCTGGGTGCTACGCAATGCCTATTGAACCATTTTGGCTGGAGGATATCCATCCGGGCACCGAAAAAAAAAAAAAAAAAAAAAAAAAAAACCAATCAATCAATCAATCAATCAATCATTTTACGGGAAACAAAATGAGCAAGTTCGGCGTTGGATTGGAATCGAGTCTCCTAGACGGCCTGTCGCCGATGCGCAGCCCCAGCCAGCTAAGACTGCAGACATGCAGACACTATCTTGCACTAGATTGACCATACATGGGCTTTCCTTCTGGGGGGAAACGGGTCCCAGAGGCCCAGCCCTGTGTTGGACAGTATTTTGGATACTCTGTGCAGCATGTCAGTATCAACGACCTTTCTTTACGCCGTTAACGTTGCCTAGTAAGCTGTCAAGGGTGGAAATCCAAATTCTCAGCACGATAAATTCCCTTCTGTACGGATACGCACATTGAAACCCTTGGATAATCAAGGTCGCCGCCTAAGGACCGCAACTCGGCAACTGCTGGCTTCAGCTTCGTTAGCCCGTTTCAAGTGCCATAACCCGGTCCCGCTCAGGCTTAACAAGCTTTCCTCCACCTCGCCAGTGGCTGTAGCCTCGATGATGATGGTGTCACTTAAGTTTCTTCAGGCTTTTCCCCTTTCCTTTCTTCAACCGGCAGGCTGCTCGAGTGGCACAAAATAGGGGCTTTTTTGAGCAATGAAAGTGATAGTGCATCCAATAGGATATGAATTTTTCTTGCAGGGCTGATCGACAGTTAAACGGATCTTGACATGACGTGAGCATGGACTCAGCTCGAAGCAGCACTGAGAACGTGGTGTGCCACATGTTGTCTTGCACTGCAGTCCTTCTCTCGAAACCTATATATAAAATGTGCACCGGTAAAGATGCGAGTAATGGCTCTGAGGTTAACCCTAATCATACGATTTGTGCTTCCGGTGGATACGCGCCGTTTGCAGCCCAGACCGATCTACGTATTAGGGCTGTGGCTACCGCGGCGGCAGTCTGTGTTGGAACTATGACACGGCGGGGATACGAAAAGGACTCGTCAAATATGGATGTACTGAAGACTCAATTGGACGCTGCAGCAAAGGATCGAAATAGCGACGCCGGTGGAGAGAAGGTGCCGGTTGTGCACATGTTGCCCAATACTCTCGAGGAAGCGCCACCAAACTTTCCTGACTCCTTCCGGGATCTGGCCGACTACTACCGCACGCCCAGAGGTTTCCATCCTCGCGTCGACAACACGACCTTGCCTAGGAGTTGGGATCTGATGGCCAACTTCGACGCGTTTGCATTCAACTCCATGATCAGCCCGCGGCCGTTGTTGATGATCACGGGCACCCAAGCGGCCACGAAGTGGTACAGTGAAGATGCCATTGCAAAGGCGAAGGAACCTAAAGAGCGGTTTGTTGTCGATGGCCTAACACACGCAGACCTGTACGATAAAGTCGATGTTTCCGGGGGCAACGGCGGCTGAATTCTTCACCAAGTATCTGGTTTAATCGAGCACAACATCTTGAAACAGAATGATATTAATACTTTGTTGTCGTCCCAAGAACTGGGTATCATTACTCGCTATTCATAGCTGGACGTATAGGGAAGGCTTGCTCTTTAGCCCTAAGGCAGGCCACAAAAGGAAGCTTTCATTCCAAGCTCTAGTATTCCGAGGCCACACCTGGCTGCATTTAAGGAATCCGGTGCTGTGAACGGCGAATTGTGTCTTTTTACGTGCCGTGTCATCCAATCAATAAAGTCAAGCATTTTGATATTGTTGCTTACTGGCCGTTGGTTTATACTTGTATTAACGTGGAAGAAGTGTATTCGAGTACATTCCTTAAGCAATTTATATTCAATAAAGCCGTTCCCACAATGCCCCATACCTAATGACTAGAATACCAAAGGAAGTCAGCGAAAAAAAAAAAAAACCCAAAAAATTGTTGCTCATTCCGAGGTCGACCCAAGAATCTTCCGAATTAGGCCCCGAGGGCTTGGATTGTGATTACATTACACCGATCCAAAAACGCCAACGCCTCATTACGAGTATGCCATGCATCGTTAAACGCAGCACTTAATGTGAGCCGTCCCCTCCAAGTCCCGAGGAATAATCCTAAGCCAGTGCCCAGTTCTTCCCCTGTAACCCAAGGGTTATCGAGCTCGAAGGCGCCATGTATTGGAGATATCGTCTTGTCCAACGTGCCTATGCTAGATATCGAGACAGATGGGTGGTCATTAGGCTTGGGGACCGGAGGTGTGTGATTGTCGGGGGGATAAGGATATGTTCCCATTGCCCAGTATGAAGGAACCATGTTTATATGATCCTTATCGTTTCGCGTACGAAGATAAAACTGTCGCACAACGCTAGCGACTTTCATATACTCTCTCCTTCGCAGTATACTGTAATCAAAGACCCGGTCCCGAGCGCCAATCGAAGCCGCCGGGACTATCAAGTCGATAGCAAGGCATCCGCCAGACGTGGAGTGGTAGAGTGAGACAGCATGTGCCGGACTGTCATAAGGTTCAGTGCAATGAGGCCGTTCGTTGATGAGGCTGTGACTGATGTACCTCACAGTTCGGGGGCGACTTTGTCGCTTTTGGAGATCACGAATAACTATCGCAAGTGCTGTATGATAGGCGTGTGTGACGCTTAATCCCAAAGCCTTACAGGCCCTTAACAGGCGATGGGTTTGCTCTGATGAAAGGGTAATCGCCACTCGTTGATGTTTCCCAGGGTTTGTCGGGCCTTTCCTGTAGGGAAGACTGGTGATCTCCACTCCCTTTTTTAAGGCAACATTATAAGAAATGATCTTATCCAGGCATGCTTGTCGATGGGCACTGAGGACTGGAGGGAGGCCGGCTGCAACACGAAGAGGTGGGCTTAATCGTGTAAACTCATTCCCAAAGCTAGGAAGTGGATATGCATCTCCTTGTTCCAAAGCCTTGGCTGCATGTTTGAAGAGGTTGTTAAAAAGCATCAAGGTTCCAATACCATCAATAATATCGTGATGGCAGCGAAGCACCAGGTCTGCCTTGAACACCCCCCTCGACGGAATTCGCGACTTTATCAAGAATAGAGTTGGGAGCTTAGGAACTGGTGGATCGGCATTACACCACTGCAGCCCAGAGAGCTTCGTAGGAACAATGCAAAGGGTAGTGTCTAACCATTTCTGTTGAGATTCTGGACTCGGTACCATCTCGTAAACTTTCCTGCACTTCTTCTGGGCGTCACAGTATTCAACTCGAGATCCGATCGACGGATGATCATACCGGAGTCGTAGCCAGGCCTTGCGCAATGCATCCTCTACCTCTTGATCCGTCCCGGACACCGAAAAAGAAATATATCCTGTCATTGCAAAGAAATAGCGCCCGCTCCCTTCATACCTCTTCTCCAGCGAAGTGTAGAACTGTTCCACTTCATCGACATCGCGCTCCCATCGACCAGGTTGCGTCTCCGTCCACACATAATCGCTAGGCTCAAGTGACCCCATTTTGGCGACAGTTCCACGTCCTCTTAATCAACACTCGACCATTTGCTGTAAGATAAAGGGGCAAATTGGGACGGAATTCAAGTTATAACCATAATACTGTCCGGATGAATCGACAGCCCACATGGCCTAGAGGGCGCATATACCCGACAAGCCGAGCGAGAAGCGGTTGTATACACTCTGCTAATGATTTCCCAAAATAGTCGAGGTGGTTCGGCCCGAAGGCCCGTAGCCAATGTAGACATCGCAAGTGATGGAAGACGCGCAAGATCTACAGCTGGTAAGTCACCTGCATCACATTGGAAAGGTATGAGAAGTGAAGAAGATCTGTGATAGTAGTGTTTCCAGAAACGGCCGAAGAGCGGTAATTCTCGTGGATCGCAAGTCGTTGTTGATATTGACCTCATATTGAAGTTGTATGCTGGACGACAACAAGTTTACCGGCTGAACTTCGGCAGATTAGTTACCGAATGCGGATGCTGAGTCAGCGGCTCCTAATCGGGGACGGTCCATGGGCGCTAACCAGAGATGGAAGGATCTGCGCTCCATGATGAGTAAGCATTAGATGGACCAATGAATGCTATTGATTGAGTGTGTCTTCACTGTCCAGGTTGTTGATTTATTTCATCAAATTTACTTGTAATTAGTGACATAAATTGAGACTGGGGAAAGTAGCATGATGGTCCTTTCTCACCCCAGACATTGCTCAGCTAAGCCACTCTCCGACCTCGTCCGTCGGGTTGTCGTCATCGTCGTTATATCTTCGCCGCTTAAAAGCTATGCTCTTTGAGGCTAACCTCTTGGCAACCTCGTTCGCATCCAATAGTGTAACAAGCTTTCTCTTAGCGCCCGTGATCTCAACGTCCTTTTCGAGGCAAACCTCGTACATTGTACGTTCCGAATTCCGACGGGAATCGACTAGGCGCTGAGCATTCTTCGTGAACTTTTCAGGGGCTTCATTCACAATGCCTGCATCAAGAGTGCGTCTACGGTAATAAGAGGAGGACGCTGTCGATCTGGGGACATTTGGCGGACTAGATGTGACCTCGGAGATCCAAGCAGCTTCAGCCAGCTCAGCTGGAGTGAATCCAGTGGCATTTTCCTTGTGCACAAGATCTGGTCTGTGAGCTAAGAGAGCCTTTACGACATCTACCTGTCGGCGTCTCACAGCATCATGAACAACAGTATTTCCCGCGCCATCAAGGGCTTCGAGGTGTTTCTGACCAGTTCCTTCAGCGAGGTCAAGGATCATGTTCAAAACAGACATCAGGCTATCTTTCTTCGTTGCACCGTAGTTTGAATAGCAAATCATCGCTCGCGACATCCAGAAAGAGAGGGGGGTTAGGGATCCCGAACCCAAAGAACAGCGTTCCGTCAACATGGAGGGGACTAGCCGCCGGTCAATAAGATTCATCATGTCCCGGGCCTTTTTTAGTATCTCTTGATCGGGCGACCACATGTTGAACAGTAGGTTGTGAATAATGTTTTTGCCTTCCTTATCACGGACGGCCTGGTTTGCTCCGGCCTCAATTAGGATTTCGGCGGCTTCCAGGTTGTGGTGACGGAACGCCACCGCGAGGGGGGTATAGCCATCTTGAGATTTTACCTCTAAACAGTGAGGCATATTTTGAACCAGGTATTTGATGAACCTCTCGGAGTCCTCGTTGATAGGGGATAGTATGGCACAATGAAGAACCAGATCTCCTATGAAGACAGTCAGTTTTACGGCCAGGGTAACGAGATGGAACGAGGAGTTTCTGAACATGCAGCGCGCACAGAGTTCACCAGGAGCGATATGGGGGTATCGTATAGGAATGGGATGCCTTACGTCTAGAGTTCAGCCAGTCATTGATGGATTTCTCAACGCCTCCATCCGCCAGTGCCAGTCTTTTCAGACGCTTGTCTCGTTTATTGGCTTTGGCGAATTCTAAGTAGTGGCGACTAGGTGCTGTGCCTAGAAACCACTCAACAGCCTCAAGATTCCCCTCACGAGCTGCACGAAGAAGAGGGGGCGGCATGTTGATTGCTCGTGTCGCCCGTATCCCTCCTCCTTGAGCAGCCCAGTCGGCACGCTTTTTGCCGTACACAGATAACCCTTGGTAATATTTGGGCTTCTCCTTGATCTCAACCCCGCTCTGTTCCGCAAGCTTGTCGAGTGGTAGACCAGCCCCAGTGCGCTTGATGAGTTCCTCCAAGCAACGCAGTCGACCGAGACGCATAGCCATCAGTAGTGAGGTTTTAGGCACAGTATACAACGAAGATCCTGACATGTCATAATATTCTGATGCCAGGTTCTGTCCTCGTTGCAGAAGGAATGATAAAAGATTGAGGTCATCTTTCCAAATAGCGTAGTCTATAAGACTCTGCAAGCCCTTTTCCGGGCGCTTTTCAGGTTCCAAAAATACGGAAATGTTGCATTCCCCTGCAAGCACAGTCTTGGGAGATATTTTGCTCTCCACCTTGGTCCTGATCTCCCCGATATTGTCAATGGTAAATTGGGAATCAATAGTGTGCGATTCAAGCCCAATACCATTAGTATCCGTGTCAATATCCATATCTGAATAGTATGGGTCTTCATCCGCATCATGTGTTTGGATGCGATATCGAATATTCTTCTCTTCTTCGGTTGGCTGATACTGTGCCATAGAAATTGCCAGAATAGCAGCTGCAGTATCGAGATGTCCACGAACTGCAGCAATTGTAAAGGGTGAATACCCACGAGAATCGGCTACGCCAATCTCCAAAGGGGGTCGTTCTTGGGAAATTCCCCACATGCCACATGTCATATGTTTGATTTTCTCGGTATCACCCATCCATGCGGCCTCGAACCTGGAGGCGAAAAGGAGTTAGTGAATGACATGTTACTAGTTGAGAGCAAACACTTACAGTTGCAAGTAGTTTTCTGTTTTCTCTGCAGTGAGATCATATTTTTTGAAACCAAAAACAATCTCGAATGGCGTCGAGGCAATTTCAATAGGGTTACAGCGATTGCGATTGCTCTCCGTAGGCTCCCTAGGTATCGAAATGTCTGGGTACATCTCCCGGAAGGTTTTGGCTCCCCTATCCAAGAGCTCAGCTTCCAATTTTTGAAACTCGTGCAGGAGAAGCTCGATTGCTGCCTTTTTCTCTTCCAATCCCTTCCGGTTGCCCGCGGTAGCTAAGTTCCATTCGTAGTTCTTTTGGTCCCGATCAAAATTTTCTCGTCGATTGGCTAGTAGCTCCTTTGCCGTCCAGTGTTTGTAATTGCCCTCTTGGAACTCTTTCAAGTAAAAACTATCAGGTTCCAGAGCTTTAGGAGCCGTTAACTTTATTTGCTCTCCTTGGTACGAGCGAAGAATGTCCAGTTTTTCACGGACCCAATCTAGGGCCGAGGAACCGCCAGTACCGTCTCCGGAGGATGAAAGCACAGTGTGTCCGTCTGGTGTCAAAGTGTTTGGATCGGCGCCCCAGGAAAGCAGATCGATGGCTGTGAGCGGCAGATCATTTTCTATAGCACGGATAAGAGGCTGGCCAACACTGTTGTGGAACATCTCCTCGTTCTGCCCAGCAGTATTGTGTTCCAGAGATTGGAGCTGCTGAGCACACTCAATAAAATTATCGAAACTAATCACCGGTTTTACACCAGCTTCAAGCAGACGCAGCACCATAATTGGATCTCGTTTGCTAATGGCGACTGTTAGAGGGGAGTCGGCTCCACAGTGGTAGTGAGAACCAGTCACGGCGAGGTAATCGAAGGCCCGCTGAACTGCAGGCTTGTCCTTGTCCATATAGATATCCAGGATATCATGGTATGTCGAATGGGAAAGGTAGTAGAGGGCCGTTCTATGTTCAAGATCGGCCTGCGCCGGTGAAGCTCCGAGATCCAGAAGTTTCGCAGTCATGAATGCTGCTTTCTCTCGTGGAAGACGGAGAGCCAGGACGAGCGTGAGGATGGCAGCACGTGGAGAATTATCATGGTCATTCAGGAGCTTGATTGGAAGGAGCAGGTCGGCTCCGAAAGATGTGACCAACTCTTCGACGACTTCCAGGTGGCCGTGTAAGATAGCAAGGTGGAGGGGAGATGCATGGCTGTCCCACGCTAGGGCATTGATATCATAAACATCAGGATCATGCTCGTTAGAATCACCCAGGATTCCAGGTGCTTCTCCGGACAGCTCAGCGCCCTGTTTGACCTTCACAAAGGATCCGGTGGCGTAAGAGCAATTTTCGGCTCCCTCGTTGTCAGATGGATTGCTAACAAGCTCTCTATCATCTTCTTCCACCAGTGTGCCTTCCTCGTGTTTTTTGTTTTGGAGCGCTTTCCTGCGGGCTTCTTCCTTGCGAGCCTCCTCTGCCTTATTTTCCTCACTCTTCGTCAACAAAATTCGGACAATCTCCACGTTGCCGCGTGCTGCAGCGATATGCAACGCAGTACGTCCATCGGCAATCCGAGCAATCATGCGAGCACCGCTGTTAACCAGAAGCTGGACAATTTCCGGAGTAGATACCATGGCTGCCAGATGTAGTGGAGTACGTCCAGTGTGGTCCCGGCGGTTGACATCAACTTGTTGCTCCAGCCAATGTTGAACTGCTTCTAAATCTTGGTCCACAATGGCTTGGCACAAACCTGCTGTGTTCCCAAGGTATGCCATTTCTACTCGGTCATCAGCTAACGAAGTCATCTTAGGGAATTCCATGTAACAAACCTGTCCAATCCGTTTCCGTGATTGGGTTGAAGCTTCCAATTTCCTGACGACCCGGATTATCTTTAAGGAAGCTGATTTCGCCAGCAACATAGATCTTACTTTCCTCATCCGCCACTTCCTGCTCCTCGGGCGTGCCTGGTTTAGGACAGCAACCACAGCAATCGTGGATGATGTCCTCTGCGTTGCCGAAGAACGCGGGATGCCGGTGTAGATGTACCTCCCGGTCCTTTGGCTTGTTCCACTCAGCATTAAGGAGCAGATCCTTGGTATAGAGAAGCTTTTCTATCCTTCTGGCATGGTAATTTTCTCCATATGGAATCGTCTAGCTCGTAGTCAGTTCACTGATTTCGAGGGGATGAGTCGCAAGCCATACAAACGTGTGGTAATCAGACACCGGGTCTTCTTCGAACCATTCGGCCACTTCATCATCCCAATCATTCTTAATATTACCATGCAGCTTTCTAGAATGTCGATAGGTGGTATTGGGTGGACGGCCACGTTCCTGTCGTCTCTGATCCAGGTATGCTTCGCGGTCGGAAGATTTTGGCAGTCTTTCCAAAACTAATAGACGAGCCAGGCCAGTTACACGAGCGAAGCTTCGTTCAAAGATCGTCTAGTAGCCCACCAGGTTAGTAGCCAATAGGAGGTTATGAGCCCAGGAATCTCACCGGATCAACGCGGGAGCGATCCAAATCGGGCCAGAACACTTCAAACCCTCGATGGGAGTATTTGGAGAGCCGATTTTCGTACGATGGTGAGCGTCTTGATAGATCAATTTGGTTGGCCTGGGTGATGTATGCACTCACCGCCCGTGGGGCGAGATACACCTGACGCCCATCATAGGCGGCACACGCACAATCCACATCGAAGCCAGTCAGGACCTCTGAAATGGACTTGTACAGACGAAGGACGATCTGTACGTGACGGGTTGGATACTGGGAAACAATAGTAATAGCATGTTTTGTGCGGATGGTGGATGTCTCGGTTAGAATGGAGTCCTTGATACATCTTTCGATCTGTTTGATCTTTTCGATAGCTTGTTCCTCAGTCAGGCCATAGAGAAACAAATCCACATCTGAGGCAGGCGCAAACTTTTCGTGGTAAAATTGACGGAGGCCCCGCTTTGAATCCGCGAGATCTTCTGGAACTGGCAACAGAGATGTGGTCACGGCACTCCCTGCTGCTACCACATTGCTCCAGTCCAAATCACTCAAGGAATTCTCCGAGAAAAGGTTAAAATTGGTCTGAAACTGCCTGATGCTGGACACGGTCGCGAGAGAGCCATTAGGCTTGCGGGCTTCATCTTTCAGTGGCAGCAGATACTTGGATTTGGCCTCATCCGACTCTGCAGCGAGGTTCCTCGCGCGAATCCTCACGTCCGTAGATCCATTGGCATCAAACAGCGGTACCAAGTTGAGCACATTTTCGGCACCAGCAGGATGTTCGGGTTCCTGTGCAAAGATCCTACGCAGCACAGCATCATATTCATTATATGGCTTCAGCAGATCACCAAGGGGGTCCTGGGGATGATCGTTGAGGTATGCGAGGAAATCCGCATGTTTGGCAGGAACCGGCGGGAGCGAAGTATACTGTGGGGTGGTGGTCATGGCGAACGAGTGTGGTTGATGCAGGAATTGATGACGAGATGATCCCAGTCCTGTCAACGATAAGAAAGGCGTCCGATATAAACCAGATGAGTGACCGTTCTCAGCGAGAAGAAGAGGTGGTCTTAAATGATGAAGATGGAAGCGTTGCGGGCGATGGACGGAGCACAATGCGGGAAAGGAAACCGCGTGGGGCCAAATGCCGGAGGCTCTGGCGGCACCAGGCACCCCCCAAGCAGCGGCAGGCAGCACCAGCTCCGGTTTGGGGAGCTTCAGGTTTCTGGGTCGAGGCGACCAGCCGCAAGGAGATCGATTGATTTGGAGCCTGCATGCCCCCCTCTTAATCTTGCCGATTGGTAGCATTTCGCCGGGTGGTCCAAGAAAACACCCTCGTCGTGAACTGGGTTCGCGGTTGAGACCACAGGTCGGTCCGGATGGGCCCTGGCAGTCATGTGTTGGGACTAACCCCATTAGGATGATATCAACTTACTTAGGCCAGATTATCTGACTAACAGGAACTTTTATTCCTCTAACTAACTAGTAGTTATTAACTACGGAGTAGTTTTCACTTACTTTAACTTATACATACGGAGTACTCTGTATATCTAGGTACCTCAGGCAGCTGTCCATGGATTATGGATCCCGATGTGGTGCGGCTATACTCGATATGGACTAGCCTCCGAGTGGGGGTATATTCTGAACAGGGAAATTTTGGACGCAGATCGCTGCTCCCGGTGCGTTTCTTCCTCAGGCACCCCCCAGGCCCCTTTCCAGTACTTTCATCTTGTATTTGTTCTACTCTGTACCTCCCCTTTCACGAACTTGAGACGATCCATATTTCCTTTGAAAGAAGCAACGGTCTCTGAAGATCTAGTCTTGACGTCTGGGCACAAGCCTTAGTTACAAACAATTATGTGCGACGAAGAAACCAAGATCGCCAAATCTCTGGTTATAACCTTGGCTATCTATCCGTTGTACCTTGAATAACCCAAATAACAGCCCTAAGTGCCCTATGATCACAGGCGTGTCCTACGGTGATGCAGTCCATGAGAGCACTGATGCTCCTCCGACTCGAACGGAAAGCTGCCCATCCACCGTAACAGACCCAACCGCTGCAACGACCTGATACTTCGAGTGGAGGACACGGGTTTTCTTCAAGAACCCGGGAATATCAATTTCGTCCTAAGGACGTCCCCACCAGAAAATGTGGAACATATACACAGGCGTTCATTTATCGAGCGTAGTGATAAGCTAGGAGCGGAACATTCGGAAATGTCCATACTAATAGATCAAGAGCGACGAGAATTGCAGGCGCGATGTACGTATCATTCCCGGAGAGCTTGTCGATGCAGCTAGATAGCTGTTCCTCCCATTCAAAGACCTTGAGACAGCAAAACGGAATTGTCATTGTACAGCAGAAGGTCAGCTTCAAGAGAAGCGGAAGAAATGAAAGGGTTCGAGAGTGTTGTGCCCTAATTGCACTCAGGCACCAGACAAATTCAAACTCCACAGGCGGATTTAACATACGGCTTTCGGGGCGATAAAAAAAGAACACAAATAATGTGAAATCAGCACCAACCAAAATAAGTTTGAGGGGTCTTTTGTATACTGCTACTGGTAAGCAGTAGTTAGTTGAAGTCTCGGTGAGAGTGGGAACTTCGGGGGCCTGAAAGCTATTACCTCGTCTAACAACACAAGTTTGAACCAATAATCTGAAAAGACATGCATGAGAAGAGATTTCTAAAATGACGAGGGCAAGGGCCGTTGGAGATCAAAATTACCCTTGATTCTCAGCAGGAATCTCAGCTCAGTTGATGAGAGTTGCTTTGATCCCCAGAAGGATTTCTGCAGGATTTTACCAACAGATCGCTGAGTTGCCGTTGTCTAATAGGCCAGCGTAAAGACGATTTCGCCAAGTAAATAAAAATAGTCGGGTCATTTTTCAGGCTTCCGAGCAAAGCACGGCCTCTTCCAACAGCTGGAGGCTGTGTGCGTGCAGCCTTGCGGCCCTAAAATTTACGAAACATACGAGCTTTCCAATCCGGTGGGAGTATTCGCATAGCTGATCAAATTGCCAAAGCCACATGGAGATTGTGGATTCTTCAGGTTAGGTAACTCTTTTTTTTTTCCAACTATGCAAATATGCCATGTAGAGGCATACACCTGGCGAAGGGCTCTGAACAAGGTTCAGGTAGATGGCCATCATACGGTTATTAAAGGAAACAGAATTCCCCTGGAATGGGTTGCCTCATCTCATCTCCATCAGCTAAGGTTGTTTGAAGGCCCTGGTTTTCCCTGCACTTGTTGATTACCACCCTATCCGTTGTCATCATACTTCCATCCAGCAATCATGAATGACCTTGTAGTCACCAATGCGACTCTGCTCGCGGATCCCAGTCTTTGTACTCTTGACACCTGCCCACTGAGCATGGCCAGTGTAGAGTATATCCCCTCTCTTGCAGGCAACGCCCTCTACATATCCATCTTTGGCGTGGCCTTTGCCCTCCATCTTGGTCTCGGAATCTGGTACAAGACATGGACTTTTATGATTGCCATGCTTCTGGGTCTCGCGGGTGAACTTGTGGGATACGCTGGCCGTCTTAGTCTTCACGATGATCCCTTCAGCTCGAATGCTTTTCTTCAGTACGTCAAGATCCCTTTCGTCAGCGGCAGGCACCGGGTATACTAACAAAGTGTTTTCAGATACCTGGTATCCCTCACAATTGCCCCCGCCTTCTTGTCCGCCGCCATCTATCTTTGTCTCTCGCGAATCGTTGTCGCCTATGGCGAGAGGATCTCCTACTTCCGCCCTCGCACCTACACGATGGTTTTCATTGCCTTTGACTTTATTGCCTTGCTTCTCCAAGCCATTGGCGGTGGCATCGCAGCCTCAACAGATGGTAGCAATGCCAAGACAGTTCATCTCGGAAAGAATATTATGATTGGCGGTCTTGCATGGCAGGTTGCTAGCTTGCTCATCTTTGCCGGCATGTCGGGCTACTTCGTCCTGCGTGTCCGTCGCGCGTCGCCCACCGACTTCAACTACGACTTTGAGAGAGTGCGTCATTCACGATACTTCAAGCTGGGTATGTGGGGACTAGGGATTGCTACCCTGGCGATCTTCGTCCGTTCCGTGTTCCGGTGCGCGGAGCTGTCTGAGGGTTTCGACGGAACTCTAGCAAACGACGAGGTCACCTTCATGATTTTGGAAGGCGCCATGATCTGTATCGCGGTCATTTGCCAGACTGTCTTCCACCCGGGTGCGATATTCAAGGGTCAGTGGCATGATGCCGTGTGGCATACGCGTGCCAGCAAGGAGACGACGAACTACCCCAAGGCTACGAGCAGCGACAGCTCGACTTACTCCCCAAGCAACCCTGCGTATGATCGGTATGCTCAGGCTTGAAATGCAGATGGGGGAGGGAATTAAGATCCTTGTGTTTAGGGGCTTTATTGATAGCGTTTTATATCATTTCACTGATGTTCTTCATTTGTTCAATTATGGATATAGACATGCGATGGGTGTCGTATACAAGTTTTGCGAACCGGATTCTAGATCAAGTTTATTCAAAATCCTTTTGGCTAAAACAATGCCCAACCCGAATGCAACAACAATACGAGCGCAAGGGGGAACCGAATCCCAAATCAAGACACCCCAAGATCATTAATCGGGCCCAGCCAATCCTTAACTCAATTTTTATGAGCCGGTTTGGGGGCGGGTTGAGGCTGAGTGTAGTTGATATTGTCTTGATAGGATACCGGTGCGACCATATCTCACTCCTGAAACTTAGGGTCAATCGAATGACATTCCTATTCAGGCCTATTTATTCCATCACTAGGTCATATTCTAGTTTTAATATTTGGAAATGGAAAGAAATACTCCACCACAAAGGCATTGCCCTAGCTGGCCAAGAAGGATTCCTACAAAAACCTGGTTACCCATCCACACTATCAGTTTCTTCACCAAACGCCGTCGTCTAGCCATTGTACAGAATTCAATACATCGTCTGGATCGTCTTAAATCATAATCATCATAAGTGACTTAATCCTGGAGGCTCGATCTTGGTGCTCGCGAAAATCACCCTGGTCAGGGGTAATAATGTGGAGACGTTTAGAGTCCCAGTTTCCTCGTCGTGGAGCAGCCGCCGTAAAGTCTGTGATACCGGTGCAGTCCTACCATCCTGCCCCTTGGGTGGAGTTGAGTGTTGTCGTAAATATTCTCGTGCCGCTGACCATTCCCGGGCGCTGCAGGCCCGCCACATACACTCGGGTGCTGGGAGTGGAAGCTGCAAGATCATGTCATCGTCCAAGGGCTCACAGTATACCCCGTTGAGCTTGCCCGATTTGGCTCCGATAACATTGATAATATGCACCAAGAAAATATTGCGCCGGAGAGACTCGAGAAATTTCCAGCGCTCCCAGCTCGTTTCAGCGTCGTGGTCTACCTGGAGGGCATCTCTGTGGTGGTTGTACAGTCGCCGGGTCATCTGGAACAAGTCAGTCAGAACCCGACTATACTACGTAGCGGACAACAGCGCAGCGTACTTTGAGGAGAAATGAGGTGTGTAATTCTGCCTGGCGCTCTACCTCCTGCTGTTGTTGATCAAGCATCTCTTTCAGGTTTGGAGGAGACTTTATCGCCGCAGGAAGAAAGTTATCTCCAAATAGGCCCAGGATTTGATAAATACAGACCGCATGCACTGCTGCGAGACAGTTTTCTTGGCCATTGAGGTAGGATTGAAAGTTGCGCACCAGTTTCTCCCTCTCTTTCATGATCATCGCATCGACAAATCCGTAGTTCGAGCCAATCGATCCCGCGTGGGCGGACACGCAGGCCAACGCAATGCCCATGGGTTCGGCCATGCCTCCGACCGAGCAACGATACATCTGGTGGTGAATGAATGGCGACCAACGGTCCCGTTGCAGTACCAGGCTGGGATACTGGCGCAGAGCACTGAAGACCGCTTGGTAAATCTCCTGAACTTCATACGGGGCCAAGACCCCAGGTTTTACAATAAGTTGCCCTCCGAAGTCCAAATTGGATGAGTTCTCCGGGTTAATTTCGATATATGGGTAATTGTGTGTACCGCCGTGAGTGTTCCGATCAATAATAGAGCTGTCGACCACCCTGGACGGTAGTGAAGATATGCTGAGGTCGCTGGCAATTTGAAAAACATCATGGGGGACCGATGTCGGGAGTCCGTTCTGTAGAGGAAGCCGTGATGTGGGGGAATCGCTCGGCTGGTTGCTACTGAGGGAAGCCATGATGATATCTCCTTCTTGCATCAAAGACTCTGAAAGGGGCGAAAAGCTGTTATTCCATGGCAGGGTTCCTGGGGCTAGGATGTCAGGATCTGGAAATAAAGGAGTATTCGGGAATTGATGGACCATGAGATCCATATCTCCTGAGGAAAACGGGCTCCAGGGGCCTGATGTGATGGGATCGAATGGATTTGAGGTTGGCATTGGCCGTGTCTGGAGTTCTGCAGCGGGTGACACTTCGTCCGAAGCACTGCCAGTGGGCGCTGATGGGGCCGGGCTCACCGAAAGAAGCGAAGCCGTAGAAGTGGATGTTGTTGAGGATATCAGAGCCTCGTTGGACTCCGACGGTTGAACGGGGATTGCAGACGGGGGATAGCGGCAAGGAGTCCGTATCTGGATACAGCGACTGCAGGCTGGACGTGTCATGGAACACCGGAGCTTCTTCTGAGCACATGTCTCGCAGGATTTTCGTTTTGACTGGCGTTCTTGACCAATAGTCTTGATACATCGTCGTCGATGGCGGTCGCGCAGATCGCCTGTGCTCGTTAGATTTTGTTTGGATTATAGTTATTCTAACCCCGGCAGGTTTCTGAGTGGAGATCGGAGTCGAGGAACCATATTTTCTATATCTACAAGGCGCAACCATGTTGGAATTCGGGGTGCTAAAGAAGAAAACGGATGGATGGGCTTACGGCGACTATACGTTTTGTTGCAAATCCCACAGCGAAACTCTCCATCCGCGTTCGGCTGTTGCGGGGCGGGAGGAATATGGAGGGCGGGACGGAGATTTCGATGGCTATTATCGGCGAGATTCATCCCATCGGGGCGTTGGGAAGGCTCATCAGCCTCCATGCGATGCTGTTGCAGGGATGGGGTAGGGGGGAGTAGTGAGGGTGCAACCAACATAACGAGGGGATGACACAATAATTGGAAAGATTCAACCGGGAAACGGAAGAAGAAGAAGAAGAAGAAGAAGAAGAAAAGAAAGGAGAAGGATAGCTTGTTCATTCCTTTGGTTAATAAGAGGATGAGAAATCATCAAGACAGTAAGTAGTTAGTTAGTACTAGGTACTAGGTCCATTTAGCGAGCAAGGGCAATCATGACATTGAATAACGACTCTTTAGCACCAGTTTAGTAGCGGGGAATCGTCTTTGGGGGCGTAAATGTGGATAGACAGGCCGAAGACACGACTCGCACCACTTCCTGCCTGTCTTTTTGGAGGTTTCATCTTTGCTCATGGATCTGATGGACCACGGATGATTTGCCAGATCTAGGTCCTACACACACTATACTATACAAGCACCAACACGGCGCAATACGCCTCGTAGACACACTCGCTATCTTAAACCCTATGTTATGTATATCATCCGGATGTTCATCATCATTGATCCTGCACCTTCAGTAGCTCGATTTTCTCTAGACTCGCCAACACCCAACCGAAGCCACAACCGCGATCCTGCGGTTCAGGAGTCTAGATTAGGGCACAGTCTTCAACCAGCCGTGGCGTCTATATTTCTTTTTTGGTTGAAAGTATTCCACTCGGAGTTTCTCAAAAGTACCGACCAAGCTTGTTACTGTCATCATCCTCATCCTCATCGTCATCTTCGCTGTCATCCATGTCATACTTTGTGCTGACTTATTCCCCCCCCCCTGGGTCTATTCCCTTGTTTCCATGCTGTTTGTTGTCTTTGTGAGCATTCAGAATTTCCTTGCTAAGCATCGAACCCGCTTTCGACATGACAGAATTTGCTGCATCTGGGATATACGGTTTGATCCGTCTCACCTCGCAAGCCAGTCCCATCCCCATCCCTCACTTCTTCCTGCCTCTTCTGTCCACCAGCATGTTAGCGACCCCCCACCTCATATCCCCAGGAGAGTCACATTAGAAAGTGGCAATCCTCGGGTCCAGGTATTCACACGAGGACAGGAGAATATCTCGCTTGCTGGTCGCATGATTAGTGGCGCAAATCACACGATAATTATCATCGGGACCACCCGTAGTGGTACTGGGCGGGACGGTCTGCACATGCATTGTGGCGTTGGAGCTACGAAGGGCCTATCTACATAGTTAGCCAAACACAATGAAACGACGGGTCGTTGGGGACGAAAGCCAGAGAAATAAGCAACCGGAAGTGTAAGCGTAGAAGCTAACCTGCATTTCTGAAGACCCGGTTGGCCGGATTGTCGAAGAATATCACCATTCCTTCCGAACTCGCCTACCAGGGAGCCGATCCGGACGCCCATGAATTGCAAGAAAATCACAATTCCGGCCAGTGAGACATCGTGAATGGGTGACTGATTGGATCAGATCACTCCCTGCCTCTCCTTCAGAATTGCCTCGGCCTCTTTCTTACCATCAGCAGCCATGTTGTATACTGCTCCCTGCACCCAATTCTTGTTATTTCTGCAATGGACCATGGAAAGCCATGGATGTCGGAGGTATTGCAGTTCCCTTGCTGTACTGCAATTGTCGTGCAAGACATGCTCTCTTGTCCACATGTTTCTTGTAGGGGCGGCGACTGGCCGGCCTAGCCTCCTGGGCGTGGATATCCCCCAGTCGCAGTGTTTAGGGTAAGAGTAGGTATGCGATGAGTTGATGAACATGCTAACCCTCTAGTGACAGCAGATGTCCATGGCTTTAAATTCTGAACGCCGTTCAGAATAGGTGCAGAACCAACTTGCTCCGGTCCGCCACTCTCCGGTTGTACCACGGGCCTCCATATAGATTCAGTGCTATTGAAACATGCTAAATGAATCACCTTTCTAGATTCTTCTAGAAACAGGTATGCTGCACCCTAACGAAACACCCTGTGAGCTACTCAAGGGAGTAAGTAACTACTATCACCACGCAATACACAGCTAAAACACCAGCCTGATCCCTCGGGGTTCCCGTCCGCAATAGATGGCCGTACGCCCGATGACGTGGATGGTGGTAGTTTGATAGTGTGATAGTGCACCAGGCCAATCCCAGATTAGCCATATGTCCGCCAAGGTGACTGAAGGCTGTTTCACGGTACCAAACTTGATACTTGCTGCCGGGCTGCAGGGCTTCCTGCATATCCGAATGCGCGGTCCTTAGGGCTGGTGGCGAACCAGACTCTGGGCTGTGTGATAACCCGAGCATATTGACCACAGTTACAATGCGCTTTGTATGTAATGGGTTGCTTATCATTCTCGAGATTCAGAACGATCCCTGCTTCCGTTTCTTCCTTTTATTCCTTACGTTGGCTTCTAAATCATTCCGTTGCTGGTATCCGTGCTAAGAAGTTCCCAGAAAGTTGCTACAAGCCACAGAGGCCCTAGCCGTGCCGCCCTTTCTACGAAGCGATCATAAAATGCTGTATGTATAGTGGACCCCTAGCAGCCCTAATGTACGCCACAATTCATCCAGGGCAATCAAGGCCCGCTTTGAGCCCCAAATATGAGTGCATGGGCCCTTGCCCTTGTCAGGGAGCCCCGATCATCGAAACCCCCATGACTCGAATGCCTCTAATGCCACATCGTGGGTTTCGGTGTTACACTTAAGATTATACGGTTCTCCGGGAGAATATCAGTGGCGAATGCCGATGTAAGCGTCCCGCGGTGGTGGTCATTACAATATGCTATCTATTGTAAGTTCAGATCCGCTGCAAGGGAACATCCGTCTCAACTATCAACTACGAGGGCGTTTTAGGCCCTTGAAACATGTAGCATGCCCCTTGCCGGAAGGATACTCGAGGAGCGGTGTACCGATGAAAGTCACTTTGCGTCCCACGTTCTGTCGTAAACAATTCCTAAAATGTTCAGTAAAGAGATTCTATTCTGGAGAACAATGCTGTCGGCAACCATGGGCGTTCTACGCTTTCTCCAGGCGGAACTGTCCCAGTCATTCACTGGGTTGTGTAAAGCTATAGGCCCATCTTTTGAGTATATATTAATCCCTGTTTCAAATCATCTGTTGAGGCTCGTGTCAAATCCAGTCTCTGTTATCACGGCATTTGCTTCGCACAGAGAACGAACAAAGGTCATGTCCGAAGAGGGAACCCATCAGAATTCTGTACGAGTTGATTGTAACACGAATCAACTTCTCCAAAACACTATCATCGCTTTCTGTCTGCAAATCGCCGAAACCCGCAAACTTGAAGACCGCCTGCACCACAAACACAAGGGTCTAGACATCCTTCTTGCTCAAAGAAATCGTCAAGTGGATGAAAAGGATGCGCATATCCACAACATACAGACCAAGTTAGCTCAAAGTGGTGAATGCCTGTCTAGTTTGCTAAGGGCGAATTCGCGGCTGGTGGAATGTCTCGAGGAGACAAATAAACGCGCGGCCTGTGCAGAGCAAAGAGAACGAGAGTGGCGGAGGAAGGCTCAGCAGGCGGCTTTAGCCTTAGAGGAAAGAATTTCTCATGACAGAGCTCGGGTTCAGGACTCTCAAAAACCTGAGAGATCTCGATTTAATCATCGGGTTTGAGTTGACGCCGGGGCTACTATGTATCGCCCAACAGCAATTCAATCTGGGATGTGGCTGTCTATTTTTGGGGATACTTTATGTCGACTTTTGCGTCTTTCTAATTCAATTCTTTTTTTTTTTTTCTCAATTTTGTTTATTATATGAAGGTGACGTGTTATGATTAATCTTGGGGAAAGTTTTCTTTGATATGCTCCGTGCCGCGGAAAAATATTATATACATAAATTTGACCAAAACCACAGGCATGTCAAGTTGAAACCACTGAAATGCACCCTAAACACTACAATATTTCATTTCCATTATGGCACAATTTCATATATCACTCACACCCAAACTACAAACTTAGGCTCAAAGCCCTTGCCAGCGTTGACTGCTTTCTCCAACCCATCCCTCCGCGACAGAACAACCACATTCTCAGGGTACAACTTGCCCAACACTGCCAGAGCCACCATGTGGTCGTCTGTTGGGATAACATGGAATCCGCCCGCTTGGGCGGTAGTGAGCCCATGTTCCGGGTTGAAGAGAATGTCTCCAGCTGAGTGCACAATGCTGGGTGATTCCACTTGTCCGGGCTCTCCTGCTTCGTAGGCGTAGCGGTGTCCACGAGCAATCTGACCGATATCGACCATCGCGCACTGTCCATTATCAAATTGAAGCTGCAGGTCCAGTTTCCCAACCGATGGGGAAGTGATGTGTGATGGGCGTAGGCCCAAACTCATTTTCTCCACCTGGGGAGCGGTCGCGCCAGGGAATGAGCGCAAAGAGGAGGTTGCTGTACCCTTTGGGATTTCAGTCCGTGGAGCAGCGTAATAGTCCGGAAATTCGTACTCGAGCAATATCTCCGGATGGGAAGGGTAGACATGAGCAGGGATGTACTGGAGGAGATGGAATGGCAAAGGACCAGTGGCGAATAGCGTGGGCAAAACAAGACCATACTTGTATTGGAAACCATAGTATCCTTCTGTGGTTGCTTGAGCAAGATTTGGCGCTAGGAACTCCCTTGCCATTGCGACGACGGACTGCTGAGTGACTTGTTTAGTGAAAAGGCCGGCGAGGAACTTCGCACGAGGACCTTCCATGTCGCGAATTCCACGCCCTTTCCCGCTCACAGGGATGAGAACATCTTCGTAGTTATGAAATGGGAGCAGTGAGTCACGAAGGAGGATCATCTGGTGCATGTACTCATTGAATAGTTGCATGAGATGTGGTTTGCTCCGCCGGCCGAACATAAGGTCGACATTGTGTGGGAGGAGCAAGTGACCTTCACAGGGACTGCGGAGAATCAGATCTGGCTCGAAATGGCTATCTCTTGCCTCGTTCGCCCATTGTACGAGATGCTTGCCGATACGACGGGCTTGGTCGCGAATTTCACGGCGACCTTTGTCTGTGACCTGCTCTGGGAAGGTCAAGGAAGATTCACGTGTGTCCGTGGCGAGATTCGCGGCGAGATTATCAAGCAGAAGATCACGGGCTGCGCGAGGGCTGGAAGGATCTGGAGCCAAATGGTATAGCACGGTGTCAAGAAGAGGCGCAAACCCTCGGACAAGCTGACGTGGAGTGTAGACGCCGGGCCGCAGGGTCCATTCAGTGGTTGAGATGCTGGCAGCTGGATAGGGCGGCGAAGGAACCGTAATAGGCTTCCCAACCAGGAGGCTACCCAAGTGGTAGAGTGAGTTCTTCGTGATTGCCTCAAACATTGCCGTTGCTAGTACAATGGGGGTCTTCATTTAGGTGACGGTGATCAGGAAACATGCCAAATTGCCCACTTCTAATAGTAGGGAACCTCGGAGACATCTGGAGGGAAGTCGGAGTAAATTTTACATGATTACAATTCCATTATAGCGACTGTATAGTTGTATAAGAGAGGAACAGAGTATACGTGGGGATAGATCTCGCAGCAAAATGGTCATGACCATCCATCTCCGAAGCCTCCTCTAGGAGCTTAGCTAAACCCTAACTTAACTGCAGGAACTCCTGATTAATAGCAACAACAGCCTTGTTAACGGAAATTTTGTATTCCTTTAACATTCACAGGATCGTGTCCTTTTACAAAATCGCCTTAGCCTGACAGGCTGGTTCCGACCCGCGCAGTCTCAACACTCGATACGTTGACCGAGACCAGGGAACGCGGTGTTCATAGTACTCTATCTCGAGGCCGGAATACCTCATCTCGGATACAAAGGCACCATATTGAAGTACCTCAGGGCAGAGTACCGCGTTTAGAGCCATGCTCTCCACTGCGTTTGCTTCTCATTCACAATATCTTGGACTGACACTAGCCACAGCGAGTAAGCTGCACCTATATGGGTATACATATCTATTCAAGTGAGAGGTTGAACTCGCGTGATCGAGAATAGAGAGCGACACGAGTACCTTTATTGGCCCTAGATTATTGGAAGGGTATCTTACCGACGGAGGGGTTCGCTGTACGCTACGTGCCCGAGTGATGCAGTATGGAAAATGCGGCCGCACTTGTGAAATAGGCATATACATTGTCGTCAAATGTACTATTCTTTTCTTTTCCTTCTTTTTCTTTGTTTCAGTGCATTTCCGAGGAGATGGGTTGTCATATCCGGATTCGTCCGTGGTGCACTGTTTCTTACTGCAGGACAATATGAGGTTTGGCAAAGCGCATAACTTTGTATGCATATAGTAGCGCCGTTCCTCTGATTCGAGCATATTTTACTGTTATAGTACTGTATGTATTCAACAGGGAGCCCCCATGATTGCAGCCCGAATGTCATCTCGCACGTTTGAATCACCTTATTAATCACCTTACTGGAACGCAGCAGGCTATTTCAAGAGACACTATCCGGATGTATCTTTTTTATAGCAACAGCTTCTAATCTCAGGGACTGCGGCATTAACATGGATCCGGTCTATGCTTAACATCTATTTATACTGTTTTTAAACTAGATATTCAACTCTTATCATATAGAGACCGTCAGAAAGCCTCAATTAATTTAATATCTACTTTCCTGGTATACCTTCATGAGACGATTATCCCCCGGCAAATCCAAATCCACACTGCAGATACTGATAATAATGCAGAACTTATGCGTCGGAAAAATGCACAAGAACCCCTCTTTTGCTGCTGATTTTATCCTGTCGTAAACTATGTAAAGCCTGAATACGGCCCCGGATACACCAAAACTGGACCGTTTGACTCCATATGATTTTGCATAAAAGGAATAAAACTGTATAAAGAAGGGGCCCCGCATCGAGGATTAGCCATTTCTCCAGAATTAGTGTATTGATCTGGCTCCAATTGGACAAGTAAATACCATGTGTACAGCGGAAAATTGTGTCTGTTCGTATAAATAGGAGTCCATACTGGGGTTGCAGTGGCGCCTTTCAACCTTTTCGCTGCTCTAAAATTCTCTGCTTAGGCGCAGATCTGATCAAGAGAGCAGGGGCTTCAGACAGACAGATGTCCAGCATCGAAGACACTGAAAAGGCAAAGAGAAATGTCCCAGCGGAGGAAAAGGTCGACTGGGATGGGCCGGACGATCCCGAAAACCCCATGAACTGGCCGAAATACAAGCAGATGCGGCAGCTGGTGCTGATGGCCCTGAATACCTTCATCACGTAACTGCTTCCCTTTTCCTTAACCATCCCATATACTCTAGATGAGCTATGGAACTAATGGACAGTCCGCTCGCCTCGTCCATGTTCGCTCCCGGTGTCCAAGGGGTCATGGGCGATTTCCACTCCACGGACTCCATGCTGGCCTCATTCGTCGTCTCGGTTTACGTGCTGGGGTATGTCGTGGGTCCATTCATTGTTGCGCCTCTGGCGGAGTTGTATGGGCGCGTGCCTGTATATCACGGCTGCAACGTGCTCTTCCTAGTCTTTACCATCGCCTGCGCCGTCGCCCAAAGCCTCCCACAGTTGATTGTCTTCCGACTGCTGGCTGGTGTCGCAGGCGTCTGTCCGCTCACTATTGGTTCTGGGACAGTTGCGGATATGATTGTGGCAGAGAAGCGTGCTGGTTTTATGGCTGTGTGGGCAATGGGACCTATTCTTGGCCCAATTGTAGGGCCAGTTGCCGGAGGCTTTTTGGCTCAAGCAGAGGGATGGAGATGGGTCTTCTGGGTGATTGCAATCACGGTATTTTCGTCTCCTGGATTTCTTCCATATAAACCTGAATCGCTAACGACCGTATAGACCGCGGTTATTGGTATTGGCTGTCTCGTTAGCTACCGAGAATCGTATGCCCCCGTCTTGCTCGAACGAAAGGCTGCTCGACTTCGCAAGGAAACTGGAAACCCCCGACTGCGTTCTGTGTATGATCATGGCCGTCTTCCCAGGGAAGTATTCACCGATGCATTTACCCGACCAATTAAACTCCTCTTTTTATCGCCGATTGTCTTCCTTTTCTCCTTGTTTGCGGCCGTCTCATACGGGTACCTGTACCTGATGTTTACAACCCTCACCGGCATTTTCGAGAGCACCTACGGGTTCTCTCCATCTCTGGCTGGTCTTGCGTACCTTGGTTTTGGTGTCGGTAGCTTCATCGGGCTCATAATCAGTGGAATAATTGGGAACAAAATTGCTGCCTCGCATACTGCTCGCGGTATCTTCAGGCCCGAGTCACGTCTCCCACCCATGGTGTTTGGCAGTTGGGCGATCCCAATTGGACTCTTCTGGTACGGCTGGTCAGCGTATGCCAAAGTTCACTGGATCGTACCCATTATAGGTACTGGAGTGTTTGCGGTTGGGCTGATGACTGTGTTTATGGCAGCCAACACGTATCTCGTTGATTCGTACCTGCTTCACGCCGCATCAGTCACAGCGGCCAATACTGCCCTGCGATCCCTTGCTGGAGCCGTGCTCCCCCTTGCCGGGCCATCGATGTATGAAGCTCTGGGTCTGGGCTGGGGCAATTCGGTTCTGGCTTTCATTGCCCTTGCTATGTGCGCCTGTCCATTATTATTCTGGAAGTATGGGGAGAAGATTCGAACCCATCCCCGGTTCCAGATCCGCCTATAGATTTCAATATCGGCATAGAATCAACTTCCATTGACGTAGGTGGTGCTTTATGCATTATTTGCATAACTCTGATATTTTTGCCTACTATAACTTCCTAAATCCTCAAGTGAGATCCATCTTACAGTCATGACCGAGATCTACAGGCGAATGCAGAATCATTTGATAGTGACGGGTGGTTCCGTACAGGTGATATAGCATATTGTGATGCAGGCACGAAAAAAATGGTACATCGTTGATCGTAAAAAGGAACTGATCAAGGTGCGCGGGTTCCAAGTTGTGCCCCCAGAGCTGGAGGCAGTCCTACTCTCGCATCCCCAGATCGTTGATGCAGCGGTTATCGGTGTCCGCGGTGTTCTCCCGGAGAGTGAGCTTCCCCGAGCGTATGTGGTGAGACGTCCAGGCAGCGGTGCAAATCTGACAGAAGACGAGGTGAAAAACCATCTCGGAGAAAGACTAGCCAAGTACAAGGCATTAACGGGGGGAGTGAGGGTTCTGGCCGTGATCCCTAAAAATGCAAGTGGAAAGATCCTCAAGACGCTTCTGAGGGAGGAGAGCCAGAAGGAATTCAGGGATGGGAAGGCGAAAATGTAAATACATTTTTTTTTGCCTTACACGAGGAAGCGCGTCTGTAATGTTCTTTTGTCTACTGTGAATTAACCAGATGTATAGCTTTGACTGATTTCGCACGTTTGGCCCAGAGAGTATGGCATAAACTACAGAACTAAACCTAGGGTATAGTTAACTACTGCCACCACGACCTCCAATATCCTGCCAGGCATGCTGGAGATTGTTCAATGCCTGGTCTAAACTGACATTACCGGAGTCATTAGCGAGCTTCTGAAGAAAATCTCCAATATTGATCCCCCCAATAGTCACATTGTATAACAGATCCCTCAAATGAAGAGTCTGGAAAGTAGTGAGCAGGGTTTTGAGAAGGGATGGTAGGTCGATGTTCTTAAGGATGCTCATAACACTCTTGATAATAGTTCCCCAGTCCAATTGCTTGAGAATGCTTCCCAGATCGAGGTCCTTTAGCACAGGTGTCAATTCGTCGATGGTTTTCCCGATGTCGAGATTGCTCAGGATTTGTTCCAGGTCAAGGTTCTTTAAAAGAGGCGCTATTTTCTCGATAATAGCGCCTAGATCGATGTTCTTCAGGATCGAGTTGATGGCATTTGTCACAGCGGTCCAGTCCACCTTCTTAAGCAGATTCACAATACTCTGCATTAGGCTGGTCCAGTCAACTTCCGAGAGAAGTTTCCCGAGATCTAGGCTTTGGAGGAAACCGCCTAAGTCAAGTTGACTCAGAATGCTCTTGATTCCGTCGATAACCTTTTTCCAGTCAATGTCCTGCAAGAGCTGGTTGATATTCACGCCCTCAAGAAGTGTCCCTAAGTTTATGTTCTTTATGATATCACCAAGGCTATCAACCAGAGAGGTGAAGTCAACATGCTTGAAGAGACTAGCAAAGTTGACCTTGTTCAGAATGGTGTCCAGTGTATTAACAACCCCATCTGCTCCATCACCTAGAAACTGGCCTACTGTGTCAAGCAAGATTGAGATAATCGGAACACGCGCCGTAATTGTCAAGTTGTTTAACACTCTTTCAAAATAGGGGATATGTACTCCGTTGTAGACTGTTTGGTTTCCCGAAGCTGAGAGCTCAATGTCACCGCTTCGAAGTGCATCAGCTTCAGCCTTGAGAATGGATCCAATATTATCAAGCGCATGCTTGATATCGGCTTTGGCTGTGAAGTTGACACTGTTATTTCCCGGCTGTAGTATAACATTCTCCAGCCGTGCGGTTCCGAGAACTATGTTTTTGGCCATGAGATTAAGCGTTACATTCCCCTAGAAAGTCATCACTATTGTAATGCCAAAAATGCCGTTCCTTCCTACATACCAGTGCGAATGTTACAACAGAGTGGTTTGGCAATGTTGCCTTGCCGTTGAGGTTTGAGCCATCTGGTAAAGCAGGCAGTAGAAATGCAGCTTCGTCAATGGAGAATCCATTTAGTTTGTCAAGGCCTAGACTCTTGGTTAATCTTAATGTACTCTCAAAGCCAGAGAATAAAATACCAGCTAATTCGACGTCTTTATCTAGTTTTAAGTGAGCCTTTAAAGCCCCCAGATGCACCGTGGGTTCTCCACCCGCTGATAATGTAATTTTTTTGGAGTATACGGCCATGGCCAAAGCTCGCACAAACTCATCCTCGTCTAGAACAGGAGTGTTGTTACTAGTGGCGACGAGATTCGTCGTACCTTTCAATGAATACTCCGGAAGTGGTACGGTGAGATAGGTAATCCGTGGGTTGGAATCTCGATTGAACAGATTTATATTGAGCGGGTCTATCCCCACACGCAGACCCAGGGGAATTGCTAGCGATGTGTTGAGCGTCAAGGTAACGGCGTCGGGCTTGGGGTTCATCATAGTGGCTGAGTAGACAGTGATGTTTGTGTCATCCGCAACGCGCTGAGCAATAGCTGGAATTACCAGAAGGAACCTATTTTCATTAGTTACTAGGTCTTCAACTGGTCCAAACCACTATGCAGGGACCGTACAACACAGGTAAAAAGATAGCTAGGAAGAGGATCCCTGCTAGAAGGTAATAGTACCGAAATCTCGCAAAGTGTTGCTTAATCTTTTGGCACTTCCCAATTGTCTGCTTTTCGGCAGCAACAGCTTCAACATATTCGATCTCCTTATCCCTACCAAGAACGTCCTTTTCGGGCCCCTCATTTGACACCCCTCGATTGGCACAGATGACCTGTTTTTCGGCCGTGGAGGCCATATACGAGTCCCCCACTACCATGGCGAGGGAAAAGACAGCTGTAAAGAAAAAAAAACAAAAGGTATTCAATCGTGATATACGCCTAGAGAATGGAGTTCGGACAATAGGGGGGGCAGGGGCTCTACCGAAGACCTTGAATCAGACAAGGAAAGGGATATTATATTAACATGCGAGGGACTAGCATGGCAAACACCTCGCCAATCCCAACTACGCATAAATTTGCCAATTCCAAACATAATTTCTATTTCAGCAAACTTGTTAATGACTCTCTAGAATGAGTCGGACCTCATTTTAGCCGCCGGAAGTGCCTTAATCCAATTATAAGTGGACGATTGTAAGCCGATGGGATGCAGCTGTGATTCTTCTCCAGGTCACTAACCCAGGCGTGGGAACAGGTGTGAACAGTCATAGAAAGTTCGCCTACAGAGTTTAGGGTTTGGAGATCGCACTCACCCCACGGGGGAAGTTATTTACGAGTACTTACTAAAGATTCTAGGACTCCTGGATACGGATGATGATGCAGTATGTTAATACCGTGAATGTATGGCTAAACAATAAAAGTGCAGTTCATTCCTAATGAACTTAAGAATATCCTGGAACATAATATAATGTACAGAAAGTTTAGGTGGCATACTTCAAACACGAGCCATAGTTCTTATACTGTGTTATCGTAGATGACATACATACATACATCGTGCCGGTAATCTGACGTGATACTTGATATCCTCCCACTCCTGCTTCAAATGCTGCAAGAACTTGGTGGCACCGTTTTTACATTACTCAAACGTATAGCGAGGGCTGATTCGGTGCTAAATGCAGGAGTCGTCGATAATATCAGTCAGTCGGGTGATACGAGGCTTGTATTCAGTTCCTCTACGGTTGCTGTAGTTGTTAGAGCCTAGGCAGGTAGGGGGTCTGTGATTGCTAATCGGAATATCTCTGGAACATTCTTAATTTCTAAGATATTCAGGTCGGTAGTGATAAGTCTTCCAGCGAGTTACAGTTCAATCTTGAGGAATCCTGGTGTTGAAATGTCGGGAGATTGGGATACGACTTCCACACTGCCCTTGGAACTATTGCAGCGTTTCTCTGGCAGTCTAAAGGGGTTGGATGAAATGATTATGCCTGAGCAAGTGGAAAGTAGATAGTACTAGATGGGTAACTGCCGTAAGATCCTGTCCTCTTCGTCGTGGTGATGTGATATTGACGAGATTTACGCAGTGTCGACTTTTTGGAACTAATGGACGAGGACAGTCAGGAGATTTGTGAGGAACTATAAGCACTTCTATTTCTCATATCTCTTGTTAATGCATTCTTTGACATAGGCATCGTAAGAATATGTCTGTAGACTCATAGGGGCCAGCTGCTGTCTTCATTCACGGCAACCCAAGGCTCCTCCTGGGTTTATATCTCGTTCCTGTCATTCCCAAGTCATCATCCCTTTTCGAGGCTTTATTGAATATAGTTGACGGGATTGTTCTAAGCGAAGGTTTACAACTATACTTCTCGTTCTTTTCTCTTTTTCTTTCTTTTTTTTTTTTTTTTTTTTTCTCGTCCTCTTCATCCATCCATCCATCCATCATATCTCAATATCATCCAAGTTCCCGAGTCAAATCAACTTCATAATTCTCAGGTCCTATAGCATCTCCATCTTTCACTATATTTATCCAAACTCGAAAAATGTCCTCGCAGCACACGTGGGATATGCCCCCTACTCCACCTCCCGAGAACGAAGTGCAGTTTATCATGCCTCCCGGTATAAAAGACCTCTCGGTCCGCGTCGGAGGACCATATCTCTGTCCTCTCCCTGCCGAAACGTGCGAAATTACCGAAAGAGACGACTACAGTGCGCTTTTCTATCATTACCACCACGAAATGTCCCTCAAAGTCGCCGATTTACTCAATATTAGAGGTGTTGACTATGAAAGCATCAGGCTATGCACACGAAAGTCGATCGAGGTTCCTGTGCCAGATCCCATCCCCACCATATTCATTACAGCAAGGGATAGACCCCCAGGCGATCTTAGTTGGGTTCTTGCGGCCAACGATATCCTGAACTTCCTGGGTTCTTTCCAGGTATACGGCGCCTGTGTGGAAATATCAGACATTTCCCTAGTTGCCCCCGATGAGGAGGAGGCGCCGGCTCCGGAAGAGGAGGCAGAGGAAGAGATAGTAGAGGAAGTAATTCCGAGGAGGGAGGCGCAAGATACGCGCTTGGAACCCTCCTCCTGGGAGTGGGTTTACCTTTACTGGCCTTACGACATCCCGGTTTTTGATTATGATTATTTGGCTCTTGGGGGATTTGGTGCGATGGGACTCTACGAGCCACCGTTTGCAGCTTCACAGCTCCAGCCTTTATTCTTCGATCCCTCCTTCGAGGATCCAGAGATGTATACCTTGTGGTGGATATAGTGGGAATGTATTGGAAGAAAACTTGCTTATTGGTCAGGAGTTGCTTGCTTTTCATTTCTGTCTTTATGTACCTGGGGGGTATTTTTGTTGATATGATGTGATCCCGATTGCTCTGGAATGAAATGCGGTCTATCTTTTGCTTGTCTTTCCAATCTTCCTTTTATCCTTTCCTTGTAGCCATTAAATCGCCCAAGTCATAATATGTATCCAGCTATATTTCCCGACACAGCGATTTGAAGGGTTCTCTCGAGGATTCTGTCAAATTGTTAGCACCAAACTGTGCTTGGTGACAATTAGTAGCGATTGTATAGTCATAACGAGACTAATAGTCTAATAGTGCTCCCTACACCCATCTTCAAAGCATCTTAACAAGTTGAAAAGGTGAACTCGTCTTTGTTCGCTGCTTTTTTTTGTCTGTTCTGCATAATTATTGTATTCCCTTGCGGCGCTTCTTGAAGGGCCGCGAGCATGGACTTGGAAATTCGGCAACGGCTTCTCTGTGTTTTCAATTGTCAGTGCAGAGCTTCTGCAATATCCCTAGGGTTTTCTCTATTCCCTGTTCCCTTCGCCGGAGTCCCACCCAGTGTTTCAAATATACGGTAGTGTCTATGGAGTCCGATGAGCACCGTGCATCCTCAATGCAAAGAATGTATATGTAGGTCGGCAAAGCAATAGTGAAACCAGTGTAGACAAAGTTCCCAATGATCCAGAATAACTCCAGTGCTAACCGCTTCATCCAAAGCATCATCTATGAAAAGACGAGTCGGGCGAAACATCACCCATAGCCATTATTTATAATTGATATACAGCCAAAGAAAAAAAAAAAAAAAAGGAGGACTGGAAAGAAAGGTAGGATAAAACAATAGTAAAGAAAAGGATTTTAGACATAGGGAAATAATAAAATGGCATAGACACATCACAACCGGTGTGACGGGGACTCTGGCTCGTCGACCATCTCCACAGTTTGTGACATATCGATTGTTTTGTGGATTACTCCACGGCCAGATAGGCCCTCGCCTGCACCTGTGTAAGACATGAGGTGGCTCTGGTCCGAGCCGAACTCGTGGCCCTCCGGGTCGTGATGGGGCATATTCGCAAAAACGCCCTGGTTGCCTGCGCCCTTGACACGGCTGAGCTGGACGGAGGAGCTGTGCGGCTCGTAGTATTGGTCGGAATTGTAGCTGTGCTTGCGGGCTTTGTTGATGAAGATGCTGAGGGACGGGAGACAGGCACAAATCAATCCAACGCCTCCTTCGGCATTGCTGCATAATATTAGTGTTTTGCACAGGTGAGCAGATCAAAGGAGGGAGGCAACAGACCCCGACAGAATAACACAGATAAACACAATTGTCATATCCGGCGAGTCCCCCTCACGCAGGACCAGGATTAATCGGTAAATACTGAAGGCCGTGGCAAGACCCCCAGCCGACAGCATCCCAATGACGCGCAGCTTCTTGTTCCTTGACATTTGCAGTGACCATGTGAGGGGGAGCGGAAGAATCAGAATCAGCAGATCGGACACCACGCTAATGACCGAGTCGGCAATGAGGGCAGCTCGCTGGTCGAAACAAGAGGCATGGGGGTCTAAAGTCCAATACGCCGGGATGGGGTCGCACATGCGGATCTTGACAATCTCCGCGATGGTATAGTAGACACACAAGCAGCCGAGGAAGACATAGATGAAGAGGATCTTTGATTTGTAGGGAGCGAAGATTCGGATGAGGATGGACAGGAGTGCAATCTTGACCAGGAGGGCCATGGGGCAGTAAAGCGCCGTCGCAACGTAACAGAACTGGGTCAGTTGTTAGCAAGCGGCGGAATAGTAGAGAATAGACAATACCAACTTTGCGAAAAAGGACAAGGTCCGCATCAGAAACATCAGTGTAGTGATACCCTCCGCCATAGCTGCCAACTAACTTGGTGTAAGGATGGTGTCGTTACTGGAGTTGAATTCGAGGCTACCACTTACCCACGATGGCAATGCCGCAATATCCCATAAACAAGATCTAGGTCCGGTTAATATGGATTAATAGAGGCAAGAAGCCTAGAGTACTTGCCCATGCAAGCAAGCAGGTTCCTTTTGGCAAGTTAGCATGTCGGATGGCATGTATAGTATCACTACTAGCACTTACCGTCTTCAACGCCCGAGAATTGTTTATGATATAACCGGATAGAGAACCGCGCAATCACGAAGACGCTTATGATCGGAATGCAGAGACATTGCGTGACGAAATTGACAGTATGTAGGACATCAGGTCGACCCGATAGCTGGGTGGTCGACATGATGAAGGAGTCGGCGAGCTCACGGCTTCATACTGTGCATCAAAAAATCTAGAGGTCAAGCGAGCGAGATAGGAAAGGAAAGGGAAAAGAATAAAAGAGTGGAAAAGTACGTTTCTGACAGTCAGACTTTGCAGGTGTACCCAGGAATGAGTAGTTATATCTCCACCCAGCTGCGGCTTTCGTCGTCCCCAGAAGCCACGATCACGATTTACTGATCGCAAACAGATGAAGACGACGGGCAACTATGGTATTATGTATACTCAAACTCACTTAGCAGGAGCCCAGAAAGCACATTCGGAAAATGAATGATGATCTAGTCCGCAGTCACTCCGTCGTTCCTACAAAGATCAAGCACCGGGGGTAGCTACTTATTTCTTGCGACTAGCACGAGATATATGGTGATGAGATATACATCCTGGAACAGAAATAGCACTACCAGAGACTAAATTACAAAACTTTAGACGGCCTGGTCAGAGTTGTGGTTCGGATATCTCCAACAGCGCAAGCTGATAGGTGTAAAGCTTTCCGGACCTGCAGCTTCAGATATTTTAGATTGCTTGCTTGCTTGCTTGCCTAGGTGTTGCACATAAGAGCAGTGACTAATAGGTGGAATTTTGGGCATTTTCTTTTGCGGCAAAGGGCATTATACATAATAGATAACGCTCCCCAGTCCAATCTCCTCCGGCTCAGTCCTCTCTATCTTGTTGTTTCCCGGCTTGTTCTGTGCACTGCGGGACTCCTCTTGACCTAGCAAAATATGATCGAATCCATGCTGAACTGAGAATTGGTAAAGCTACTGGAGATTCGGGCAAAATCCATGATCATGGCAGGATCCAACTAGTGCCCAACTAACGACAAATATCCGCTGCAATGATGCACAACATGGCCTCCCGATTCGTAAGATAACGCCGCTTATTCCGCAAGATCCCACGCTTGGGTCAAAAGAGAATTTGATCATCGAAGGAAGTAGATTCGGGGAAGGGGGCCATGGCTATAGTCGAGGGAAAAACTTCGGCGTGGTCGGGTATAGACTCTAATCATGACGCACCAACAACGATCTTGTTCCTCGTTCCCTATGTAGGGCTTATTTCCCAGAAGACGACGAGAATAGCAGCTAAGCAACTTGATGGTGCCGTGTGGAGCCGACTGACGGAGGGAAGTTTAATATCATACCATACTATGGATCTTTCTTCTCACGAAATTCTCTTGCCTTCGCAGATAGAGAAGAGCGGAATTGTCTCATATTATTGATCATGAATTACACCAGACCTCACGGTCTCGCACTAGACTCTGAAATGCGTTGGTCTCCTTTTGCTTTTTGGGGCCATGCAGAAGATTTCTTCCAGAATCTCTCGCAAGTTCAACCTCATCGACATTCTCTTTGCAACAAAGTGAAATCCACAAGACTGCGAAACTCGGATTCGATGAACCAGAGTGTGTATGAACAAATGGAATTCTCTTCCTTTTTGTCACCCGAGATCATCGAATCTTGCTGGCGGCAACTAGCCAGGGCGCTAACATCCGGAACGCCCTCGCTATGACTGTTCCCGGGGCCGTGAGGATCGATCTTTCAGGCTGGCCGCTGGCATGAGTCCAGGGCCCACAGTCGTATTCCTGTGAGAATCCCAACCTATCCGGAAGAGGATTATGCGCTGCTGCATGGGCTCTTTTAGTTAGTTCTCTTCCTGTATCTCTCCACTTTGGGTCGATTGCCTAGTCCGACGCCTTTTGCCTCGAGTATCTCCAGTCAGCTCCTTCTGTGAGCACCTCGGATTTCCAATCATATGTGGTATCCGGGGGATCTAGGTGTCGAAAACTACTATCAGCGAGCAACCGATGGCGGATGGATCGTCTCAAAAGACATTCCGCCATTGTTAGAGGTCTGTATACTCTTCGTGTCTCAATTCAAGGTTCCTTCTAGAGCTCCAATCCTGTTCTAACACCCGTAAACAGAATAATGTTATGTCCGGTATCGTTGGCCTCTTTATCCTCACAAACAATCCGCTCGCCGGAAACGAGCCGTCGACGCTGTCCACGCCAAAGGGCATTTGATCTATGTACTGTCATCCGGAAGTGACGGGCTCGCCAGCTCTGTCTGCGTTCCCGGCTGTCGAGGACTCCCCGGCCGAATGCGGCTCTTATTCGTCCCCCAAGCCGTTGGAGCTACGGAACAAGTCCTATCAAACAGCTCATCCACCTGAGACGGTGGTAAAGGTCGGATTCGAAGGGTCGAACTCCAGGGTGGCCATACCTACCTCCCCGACCAGTTCCCCAGTTCAAGCGTTCAATAAGCGCATCAATGAATACGGTGGAGCCGCCGCCCCCAAGAAAAGGTCTCAGTCAGTTCGTTCTCAGGCTCATGGAATCTTCTGTATCTCTCCATTCCCTTGTCTCCCAGACGCGTGTTGAAACCGCGAAGAAAAAGGCAACTCCCTCCGCAGCTGTAGCGTCCGCCAGAGTAGAACCGATTCTAGGTTTCTCTTACAAAGGTAGTCGTTTCTATGGCCCTTTTCGGGAATATTACCATATAGAAGCTCCACTGTGTTAGGAAAAAGGTCGCACGACCACTTAAATTGCGGGCTGGAGGAGATAAACTGAGCCTAGACCGACTGCTTTTCTGTCACCAGAATGGAGAGAGAGCACTCGGTGGGGTTTCCAGAGTTGAGTCATATACCGTCGTTTCGACCAAAGATCTACAAATACGGAAGATGTCAATAATGCTCGCGAAAGATATCCGTAGAAAGTTATGGTGTGATGGTGTGATGGAATTGTGGAAACCCGGAACGCCACAAACAATGGGAGAAAAAAAAATTCGGATGTCAAACCAAATTGATCAGGGTTTGGAGTTGAGTGTACCCTAGTCATTTGTGAACCAATATAATACTATATCAGCTAGAAATCTCTGTCTTAACACCTTTTTAGCTCAGCGGTAAAGTTCGACATCTTTGTATTAGGTTGCGCAGCGCCAGGGAACGACCCAATCTATTATAGTCTTCAACATCACTTTTCTATACATCCTCAGCTCTTTTTTTATGCAGGTCTCAATTGCATAATATTTTCTCAACAAAAAATTGCTAAAATTATGAAAAAGTTATGAACGGTTAGAACAGAATTATTCCGTAGGAGTCTCCCGTGTAAACCGTGCAGTCCGGGGCCGCCGCGGGGTCCGTGGAAAACGCGGTGTCCATAAGTATGAAAGCGATTTCTAGGTCTTCATGAACATGATATAAAGACTAGCGATGTAGCTGCGTCAAATTAAGCAATCATCATCCGAATACTGGATTCTTGCGCTGCGGAGTCATTTGCCCCCATGTTGTCTTCAACCCCAGCAAACCGGTAAAGTCCGCAAGTATATCAAGACTTTTTTCTTGGGAACGTCACTCATCTAGGACCAGTGCGGACACCCTCAGAAACCGCCGGCCAAATAGGTTAGGGCTCGACCCCTCCGAAAAGCCAGGCAACGTGTCACATGGACACCCATTCGAGTTTGGTGGTGCTCTAGGGGTGAGCATGCTCATGGCGGGATTCCCTTTGCTCATGTACTACATGTATATCGGTGCTACCTTCTACGACGGCAAGTTCCCAGTACCCCGGCCTGGAGAATCAATCGCCGCTTTCCTTTACCATCTAGTCGACCTCGTGTACACGCACGCGTTCCCGCACCGCAAGGCCTGGCTTATCTATTGGACCTTTCTCGTGCTAGAGGGCCTAGGATATCTATACCTCCCCGGAGTATACAGAAAGGGGAAGCCTCTGCCTCATCTGAACGGGAGACAACTCGACTATTATTGTTCCGCGGTTTGGTCCTGGTATGTGACGATTGCACTCGCGCTGCTGCTGCATGTCTCTGGTATGTTCCGGCTGGACACGCTGATCAATGAGTTCGGACCGTTGATGTCCGTGGCCATTTGTTCCGGGTTCCTCGTCTCAATCGTTGCATACGTCTCCGCTCTGGCGCGGGGGGCACAGCATCGCATGACCGGATCTCCTGTCTACGACTTCTTCATGGGCGCAGAGCTGAACCCCCGGTTGTTCAAGTGGATCGACATGAAGATGTTCTTCGAGGTCCGGATTCCGTGGTTCATTCTGTTCCTGCTGACCCTGGGCACGGCACTGAAGCAGTGGGAGGATCTCGGGTATGTCTCTGGGGAAGTATTCTTCATGCTGCTCGCGCACTTCCTATACGCCAATGCTTGCTCCAAGGCCGAGGATTTGATTATTCCAACATGGTACGTTCTGGCGGTCAATCCGGCGCAACAAATCCCGGGATTATTCAATTTCTGACACGGAAGCAGGGATATGTTCTACGAAAAATGGGGCTTTATGCTTATTTTCTGGAATCTCGCCGGCGTGCCCATGAGTTATTGCCATGGCACTTTGTTCCTAGCGAACCACCACCCATCTACCTATAGCTGGAACTCAACCGTCTTGGCTCTTTGGGCCGCAGCATACGTGTTTGTATACTGGGTGTGGGACACATGTAACAGTCAAAAGAACATTTTCCGCGCGGAGGAGCGAGGAGCAAGCGTGGACCGAACGACATTCCCCCAGCTCCCCTGGAAGGCAATCAAGAACCCGAAGACTATTCGCGCCAAAGACGGCAAATTCATCCTCTGTGATGGGTGGTGTATGCGACTCCAACTTGAACCGCCCCCTCCGATGACTTTCTGCAATACTAATATTCTCATAGACGGCATCGCCCGCAAAATTCATTATACCTGCGATTGGTTCTTTGCCTTTTCGTGGGGTATGATTACCGGCTTCCAATCGCCTTTCCCATGGTTCTATTCGGTTTTCTTCACAGTCATGATCATTCACCGTGCTCGACGCGATATTGAGCAGTGTCGGAAGAAATATGGTGAAGCTTGGGTTGAGTATGAGCGTAAGGTTCCTTATCTTTTCATCCCAGTAAGTTGTCCTGTCAAGTAGTAGGAAAATATATATAGTCTAACGATGAAGGAGCAGTACGTCATTTAGCTTATTCGATCGGTCCTAGGGATCAGATGAGGTGGGTATAAGGGTTGTGATATAAGAATAGAGCAAGAGTTACCTAGGACTCAACAAATACGAGACTGACGAGTCATCAGTTGGTCGTATCATTCATATAGTTTGAGTTTAAAATGTCCATAACAGACCGATTTGTAACAATAAAGTCATTCAAGAACATTGAGATATCGACTTGGTCCACATGAGAATCAAAAAGATCCTCCGGCCATATCACATCTGGAAGAGCAATATTGGCGGGACCATCGCCTGGCGGCAGAATTAGAGACCCATCCTGGTGCTGCGCTAATCCAGTCAGGGTTTGCCGTGAGTCAACGAGGACCTGCGCCGTTTTCGCAAAGGCTTCACAGATCGTATAAAGATGCATTGAGCCACGTGATATTCCCTTTATCATCTCTAAAGATCTAACAGTCTCTTGTAAGAGTGCTAAATCAGTAGCACTTGCGGTGGTAATAGCGTGCGTGAATACAATTACAAATGGTGCGAATGAAGGGTATAATAGGATCCTATCATCAATTAGAATGATTCTCTTGCTTTCAAGAGGCCACAAACCAATTCACATATTCAGCCTGCTTATGTGCTTGACGGTCGCGGAAATAGGTGAAGCATTTCAGATGGCTATGCAAGGCCATCGAGGCAGCCTGGTAGCATTGAGAGGAGATAGCCATAGCATTGTGCGCCCGCATCTGGGCCCGGTAGATCACGGTCAAAACAGAGTAAGCAATAAAGTCTGCGCAAGCGGTCATCCCGTGCAACGAATCTGCATAGAGACCCTTGCTGACGTCAATCTGGGAGAGCCAAGTTAGTTTGATATAAAACCTTCAGGAACGCTGCGCACCTCCAGAAGCTTGTCCCGAACCGCCATCAATTCGAGAGAGAGAGTTTGGATTATACTCCGCCTCTTATCCTCTGTTGTCCTGGACGCCCCTATAGAGTAAAGTTGATCATAAACCTTCCCCTGGATCGCGGCAAACTCAACAACTATCAGGTTTATAAGATCCCATGATCGCTGTTGTGGATTCTCTGATGGGGTATATAGGTCCACATCAATATCATGGTCTTGGAAATGCGATGTGACGCCGATATTTAAAGAGATATTTTTATCAATAGTGTACAATGACCAGAAGGTATGACGCTTTGTTTCCGCAATGGGGAAGGGGTCAGACTTCGTCGTAGAACTCCGATGTAGACCCATCGTTTGGCACAAGTTGAAGGCCAGGGACAGATACGTCCAACAGCGCTGGATATCGAATTCTTCTTGTGCTTTGATAACCTACGTCCATTAGTTTGAACAGGGCAACCATTTCCGGGTGTCTTACCCCAATCAGCAAGGCTTGAACTTTTTCTAATGTGGGATATACCACCATCTGGTAGCTATTGAGACCATGAGAAAAGTTTTTTTCACAGAAGGCTTCACTTGACGCCAGATCAAATCGCGCGAGGTCGGGATCTCTCTCATGCATATAATCCCGAATAATAAAGTATAGTAAGCCATGTAAAAGAGTCATCGAGCCTGGTGGAATGGTTTCGATTGGGAAGTATATCGACTGGCACAGTGATTCAAGCTGATGGGCATCTTTCCAGGACTGATTTACCAGGAAAAAGGGAGGGTGCGCTGTGGACATTCAGCAAAATGCTTCTAGACACAAGACGATACTCCAACCTTTAACTTTTTTTACCACAGCAACTACTAAATCAACAGGAAGTAATGTCTCCCGGATCTGGGGCTCTGGATTCCTCTCCTGCGTAGTCTGCCGTTGCTGCGGAGGTACATGCTGGCTGTCGAGGCTGTCTTTCAACGACAACAGGGCCGAAGAAACCTGGTCATGTAATTGCCCATTACGAACCGCACCGACCGCAGATAATGCTGCATCTCTTGCAATAAGGGTTTCATGATGGAAAGAGGATTTTCCCTCGAACGGGGGTACCGTTGTCGGCGAAGGAGCTGGACTGGCTACCGTTAAGCCTGGGGGGGTCGGAGATGTCTTCGAAATCTGCTGCAGTGTTTGCTGGATAGAATCCAGTTGCTGTTGAATCGCATGAAATCTCTGCTCACTGTGTTCATCCGTCAGTTTCCAGAACAAGTAAGAGTAGTAGTATCTTGAACGATCTTACTACTCGTTACTCTGAGTCCGCCGTGAAGGTTCTGGTGTAGCTGGCGCGGTTGCTGCGGAACTACACGAGATCCCTAGGGCTCCACAGCTCGAACATGGGACTAGCTTGTCACATTTGATCTATTCAACAGATAACCTATGTCAACTCAATGCCAGTCATTCTCAGACTGGATGGCACGTACCTTCCGAAGGCGACAGTTATCACACTAATCCCATTAATTAAGGCAGAATACAACAACACCATACTACCGAAATACATACCGCACGTATACGAAAGGAACTTCGCGCGCTAGAGACCGTCCTCTGTGCCATTGGAAGGAGGTATGAGAGACCAATGCTCAAATCAACAGTCGCGTTGGTGAAACCCAAAACGATCGTGGAGAGAAGAGAGAGAGAGAGAGAGAGAGATGACTTGTGATCTCCGAGAGTGCTGAGTCAGATAAACAAATGACGTCATGGCTCCTAACATGAGATTTTCTGTAGTTGCGATATCTTTAATGTCATTCGTTGCTTCAGCTTGATCCTCCCAGGCTATCGATATATTTCGTCCGCAAGTGATCCCTCGATTCAAACGTGGGGATGCCGTAGGTACCTCCACTGCACATGCTAGACGATATTTCTTCGGGTGGTTTCCGACACTGCGGGGTGCAGTGGGATTCACCTACAGACAAGCCACATCCGGGAACGATATTCGTCAGTGACAGTAGGGTCCAGCCAATATGGCAACTGTGAATTTGATGGATTGGATTGGGAAGAGAAGACGCTACTTGGTTACGTGTCCTCGACTTACGTATTGCTGCGTACACTTACACCAGAGGCAAAGTAGGCCTATAGATTCTCGGGTTCAGAGTGGGGTATTTGCCGGGAAAGAGAACAGGCCGAGAAAGAAAACCGACCGAGATCGCAAGCCGCCGATCCGGGGAGAAATTGAGTCGTGGATATCTGGAATCTGGATGGAGTCAGAAATTAAGAATAGAAACGACGTCATGTGTCCCTCTATGCAGTACAAAGTAATGACGAAGCTTTGGAAACCTCTTTCTGTAGCATTTAGGCCAGCGAGCCTATTGGAGAGCTTGCATATGTATTCCGTACAGCAGATTATTGCCTACTATTGATCTGAGGGCAAACCTCCTATACGGATCCCTATTTTGGTGCTACCCTTACTCACCTACGAACTTTGTCAACGCCACCATGTAGAAATCCTACAGCTGATCGCATCCGGTGCTCACACAAACCCCGCATATTCCGCAATAGAGGTGTCGGAATCGTGACTTGCTGGAAATGACGTTGGAAGTAATGAGACCTTCCGAGCGAACCGTGTCGCCCAAATGGCCACGGGCAGGATAAATATCACCATGGATTCCCAGGCGCCCATGGAGCCACAATGTGCCCTTATCCAGCAATAATGCCTCAGACTTTTTTTTCCGCCACAGACATCATCCTAAACCATGAAGCCCAGCCCGAAACTTGACTAAAACGTACGCACTTGACGCTACTGCATCAACTATACCGCTATCGGTCAATATCTTCTCTGTGCATTTGACAAAGCGCTCCCCATAACTAGCGCCTATTTAGTTAGTAACTTCCAATCCTTACACATCCATTCCTGAAGAGGAAGGAATCTATATCCCCCGGGGAGGAGCTATTCGTATTTATCTTACGCGATCCTTCGTCCCTGTCCCTCAATCTTGTCATCTTTAAGAATCACATCGAACTCACTCTAAATGACTATCCGAATGACCAAGAAACTGAAACCCCAGAAATTTACGTCTATATAGAAGAACCCAAAGATCATGCGCGACATGGCTTCGAAATTTGTCGAAATCCTCGACTTCAAAGATACTCACCATCGAATATCCGACTCTGACGTTCGTCTCGAAGATGTCTTGGCTGATCATGAAGCTGTCGCCAGCCGACCCCGTTCATCCACTTACGGTTCATCCAAAGTCAGCCTCGATCGAGAACAAATAGATCGAGGAACTCCAACCTCGCCGTCCCAGCGCTGGAAGCGACTCAGTAATATCCTTGCGGTCACTCGACGACCCAATTAGCCCCTGTCTGAACTACACCCATGATTGCGTTTTGCCGGGAACAGAGAACAAAAATTTTGTTTCTGCGACTCAGATTACCCTGACGATTTTGGGAAAGAGCTAGTCTCAACCCATCGATTCCTTTCGATTGTGCACGATCACTGTTAAACGGGATGGGTGGCTGGCATATGCCTACCAGATGATGAACCTGCTTTTCGTTCCTTTGATACCCATCTGTTACAAAGCGGCGTCCTCGGATAGATTCTGCATTTCTCTCCGTATTTTTAATTACTGCGTACTGTGTGCACTAGTAGTACAGAAGCTGGCCGAAGAAAATTTCCTATATCTCACGCGGAGTGCGTGGAAAGGAGCGTGTATATTTAATTCCAATATGGCATTCATGGTTGCTGTCTTCCTGCCACAATACCACTTCAGATAATCAACATGGGCTTCGCGTACCCTGTATACACGAAGACGACCTCAATGCTACCTAGGTACCCTTCCTGCAGCCATTATGCGACTTTGAAGACTTTGCTGGTCATTACCACGTCGCACAGCATTGGCTGGATCCAACTCGTCTCTCCCTACCTAGGTAGCATTCCTGCGCATTTATTTCTTGTTTTCTTCGAGGGAATATTTCGCGGGCTTTACAGGACGTGAGTGTTTCCCTTGTCTTAAATACAACATGTTCACAATCTCATATTTAATAAGTGGTGCTCTACAGCAGACGACCTCTGACAAGACCACAACTATGCAGTTCCAACTGGTATCTGATATCGCATTTCAGAAATGATTTCGACGGCGAGGAGACCAGTTTGGTTTGTGCACATGCAAATAACAGGGCATAAAGCTTAATTATGAAGAGAAACCAGGTTGATAAACAGAGGGTATGTTTACACGTCTCTATTTGTAGATATCAAACCTGATCAGATCCGGCCATTCACTGAGAGAACTTGTTCAGTCATAGACTACATCTTTATTTTTTTTCTAAGCAAGCATGTAATCGTTAAATCAAGACCTTGTTCGCATGTGTCAACAGAAGTAACTAGACTAGTCCTCGTTATCAAATATTGACACCATTGAGACTCAGCTAGTGAGCTTTGACAAGGATCTTTCAAGTCCTACATATGTACCAATGCGATACTTATTTCCCAGGACTATTCTTCAGCATGGAGACTCAACGCCACCAAGTACTTAGAATATTTGACTCGCTCGTGTTTAAGGGTGCCAGTATGGTAATAGCTAGCTCTTGAACCCTGGAGAGCGCGATGGCTCCTTTCATATAATCTCGAATTGTCATTTTGCTAGCTCGTCTTGAAGCTCTGGCAGGGAAGAAGATCAATGAACGTCCCAAAAGACATGGTTTTGAGTTGGTCGCACAAGGAAGAGAAAATTCCCAATAGGGTACTATACACTGTGCTGCCTAGTGGGGGATGTCTAAATTCGACATCAGAGCGGCACTGCTCATCTACGCAGCACTCTCCAGTGTAAATAAGTATCATGAAGTTGTAGTAACATCATGCAACGGCAGCCACGTTTCCAGTCATTTGGATGAGTTCCCCTCTAGGAATCTCAAGCATAGCTCAGTAGCCTATCAATGCCAGGTCATGTATAGATAAATAGGTAGCTACGTGGGTAGCGGGGAAAGGTTTTGAAGCCTGCCTGATCAGGCTACGCAATAATCAACCCTTGTCTATGGTGCAGATATCGTGCCATATTCAGTCAGGCACCCGAATAAATCGCGTGTCAAGCAATACATATAAGCAACAGATGGGTTCTCTCTCGAAAATCAAAACTCGTTCTCTGTTTCTTCCCCCAAAATCAATGCAAAACAAACCACGATGGATGCATCCAAGAAGGAACAAGCAAGCGGTGAAAAATCAGAAACCAAATCTGCACGGGTGATCCAACGCACAGGCTACACCACTTCGGGAGCATCCCATATCGGCCCCGCAACAGCCACCGAAACATTCAACATTAGCAGCGACGCGTACAGCACCCGTCCACTGAGCTCATTGAAACTAGACATGAGATTGAAACCGGTCTATTTTCCTTCAAATTACGCTTACTGATACTTGATCTCTCGTCTGTGCTGCGAGCCACATATCCTTCTTCGTCTGCCCAGAATGTCGACCCCAACACCAAAAAGTCGATCCTCGTCCCCGACGGTGTTCGAGCAGCAACGCGAGGAATTGGTTCGGGAGATTGCAGTGGTGAGTTCTATTCATTTTTTTTTTCGTCTTTCCTTCTTACATACAGGCCCCTCCCCCTTTGTCTGTGCCATTGACCTGGCCCTTCCTGTGATACCGAGGGAGGACTTTGATTAACGTCTAATAAACGGACAGGGCATGGAGCAGGTCTTGCAAAACATCAACCGGCTGAACCGGAATCTGGAGAGCATCATTGCTGTAAGTGATTATTACCAATATAACACGATCATCGGAAGTAATGGGGCTGAACTGGAATAGGTTGGAAATGAATTCGGCTCCGTGGAGGCGCTCTGGTCTCAGTTCGAAAACTTCATGGGCCGTCCTCGGGAGGAGGTCGAGGAGCATGGTTCTCGACAGAGAGAGGATCAAAATATTAATGAAGGGCCGAGTGAGCTTCATGATCAGGACTTCCATAAAGTCCAGGGTCGATGATCGCATAGGAGTTTTATAATGCGATGGCCGTCGGCCACGAACATAATGTGAAATGGATAATATGACACGACTTTTGCTTGACTGCTACGCTCGTTTTCACTGGTATCATCACTTTTCTTAATTGGTTGAAACGGTTGCATTTATCTTCATAGACTCTATATCAATTGATTCGTTAAAACAGTATGGGCGAGACAATCTTTGAATTGCTTGCAGTTACATGGAAGTTCCGTGTGCGCCAATAAACACCTATCCCATGCATGCTAAAGAGTGGCCCTCAGACCGGGTTCATGGCAGACATCACTAATGATCAGACACAAATAAAAAAAAAAAAAAAAAAAAAAGGGGGGGGGGGGGAAGGAAAACGGCCGATGGGGGGAGACCAAGGACAAAAGGGTAGAGATGAGGAAAGTGAAATTGCAGATGTGTTGAAGAAACGGTCGTCAGGGTCACTTTTATATCCAACGTGCGCTAGTAACACGTCGAGCGAAGTGAGTGCGAAGGAGACATGTCAAAGCAACCAGGCCTTGCATTTAAGGTAGGGAATTCGTGTGCCAGGAAAAAGAAACAAGGGGTCATAGTGGGAGGAAATCCGGCCTACAAGATCTTGCAAGTGCGCTTCTTGACCTTCTTACCTCCTACCCTAGGTTTAACCCCGCTGTTGTCTGTCCGAGGAGTATTCCAACTTTCCTCTTCGAAGGAAACCACAGTGTCGACAGCGAGTTGAAAGACATTGTCCACACCGCGCATTTCTTTGCTACTGCACTCCACATAGGAGGCATTCATCCGGCGAGCTACCGTTTCACCTTGCTCGGGTGTCACAGGGGTTAGGCCTTGGGTTTTCAGAAGCTCGATACAGGTCCGCTTATTGCGCAAGTCCGATTTCAAACCTACAAGAATAATCGGGGTCGTCGGGCAGAAATGCAAAACCTCAGGGTACCACTATGTATACCTGTTAGGTGGGGGCTCAACGAGATTCGACGGGGATTGCCATACCTTGTCCACAACATTTTCCAAAGAGGCCGGGCAGTCTATGGCAAAGCAAACAAACAATAAGTCGGTCTCCGGGTAGGAAAGCGGACGTAGTCTGTCGTATTCTTCCTGGCCAGCAGTGTCCCAAAGCGCCAATTCCACTGTCTTTCCCGATCGTCGATGAGTCGTCTGCGTGATATAATTTTCAAATACTGTGGGAACATATTTCTGACAGGGTGTTAGGACCGCCCAGCAGAATAGTAACCACAAGGGGATCTCTATCTTCCACACTCACCTCAGGGAAGTACCCTTGGGAATAGCTGATCAACAGGCATGTTTTCCCACATCCTCCGTCACCGACCACGACGAACTTTTTCGAATATGCCGGGGGTTGAGTGAGATTTGTAGCCTCTGACATCCTTCCACTGGAGACGCTGGTATCTGTGCTGGTGGTGCCGTTGCTAACTCTGACACTCTGGCTGCGCATTCGACTTTGTCGTGGAGTCATTGAAGGAGGGGGTGTAACAAGAGAATGGCGACGTGAAGTCGCATAATATTGGTCATTGTACATGGGGCCAGACATAATGCCGTACCAGAGACAATTTCAATGGAATGTGGCACCTAACAGATGGACTCGTAGAATTATCGGACACAAATTAATAGAACTATTGCCTAGGGCTCCACAGGCAGCACGTTCAAGCTGCAGTTGATGGAATGCAGACAAATTGATGGGAGGGGGGAATGAGAGATTGAAGGTGTTGGAATTTGAGCGACACCAACAAAGTAGGCAGGAATAATTCAAAACGAGGAAGTCGAAGAAGAAGCAAAGGGACAATGACAAGATTCGAGCTGGTACTTTATCGACACAGCCGAGCGACCATGGCGGCTACAACCATAAGGGAGAGAGAGAGAGAGAGAGAGTAAGTGTGTGTGTGTATGTCTGACACCCAAAGCGTCCTGATGTTTACGGCTGCTCAAGCTGCCATGGCAACAGATCAAATGACGCAGCAGCCGCAGCCAGAGCCAGCATCCACATCTCAGCTCCGCTGTCAATTACGCCTTTCTCGCACGATTCGCTCGCCCCATTTGTCTCCTTATTCTTATTTTAGCAGTTGAATCAAGATCGAGTCCCTTGGTTGGCTCGCATCGGGATCACACCGGATTCCTATCCACCTACTAGCCTGGTCATCCCAATCCTAGCTCCCCAAGCGACTGTTGTTTACGGAACGTTTCTGATCTTGAAATCGGATTGTCCTAGTGCTGGAGTAATCATTGGCCCTAACACTTCTTGATTCAATCTAGATGGCTGCCAATCCCTCTACTTGATTCCTTCGCAGGGGCCAACCCCCAGCCTTGTCTGGTCCTCGAAGAGTGAAGGACTCGAGAGACATGACTCTCTGTCCCTTACAGATCTCGGCACGGAGTACTCTGGGGACCACGATGGCTCTGAGGGGTATCAATCACTACGCTCCCGCCAAACTCTAAACCCAGACGCAGCGGAACTTGAATTCACACATCCCAGTCGGGTCTTAGCACTCCGTTCTCCGACTCGGGATTTCAAGGGACGAAAACAGGAAGACTCGAGTGTGAAGTCCGCGGAATACTACCCGAACAGAGTGTCTACTGTTTTCCCCCAAAACTCTACGGACAATGATGGGCTTATGTTTGTGCTTTGCGGCCAAGTGTGCTGGCGCCTCTTTTTTATATCATATAGAGCCATCGACCTATCTCCAAAGCACAGAACGCTCTGTTTTGAGGTCAAATTGTATTAGTACTAGGAAACAAGGACATGGTAGTTTTATGCGCTCCCAAAGCAAAATATACTCCTTCATATTTGTCTACGGAGCAGGCAACATTTGCATTGTCATAATTACTTCCTTAACTAACAAGCCGTAAACCCTCGCTACGCTCGGCGTCTTGTAGGTTGGGCTATAAAGCAAATTACTAAGCCATGCTAGACCTAGTACAGACCATAAAGAATAAAGAAATATAAAGAATAAACACTATATTTATAAACTAGCCTATTTAGACTATATAATATAAAGCAATTTCACTATTTAGATTATTTCTAAAAGAGTAGAATAATAAATTAGTAAAAATATATAAATCTTTATCCTTAATTATAGATTATAAAATTATATAACTATCTAAAATATCTAAAATAGTATTATAAATATGACCTCTACTAATAATAATACTAGAGCACTAGCTACCCAGTTCCTTAATCTTATAACTGTAAGTAAAAACCTGTTAGCTAATATAATTAAACTATTTACTCTTCCTACCCTCTATAAGCTAGTCCTACAGGCCACTAGTGCCAATCTTAGTAGCTTAAACACCACTCGTGCAGTTAATCACAAGGCTATAATAATCCAGGTTACTAGCCTTAAGAGACTGGAAAATAATACTTACTTATATTACTAGAAGGGCTTTAGCCTGTTTTTATATTATATAATATCTCCAGGCTGGTTTAGCAGCACATGTACTAACTACTACTAGAATAGTAGTAGCTCACATTACTCCCACTATAATATATTATTCTTCCTATAGACTGTATATATTAACTAATATATTTAATAGTAGATGTCTAAGCGGGCGAGGAAGAAGAAGAGGATGAAGAAGAGGATAAAAAAGAAAATAAAAAGGAGAATAAAGAGAAGGATAAAGAAGAAGATAAAAAAAAGAAGATAAATAAAAAAGTAGTTTATTATCTAGCATACTATTATATAGCCCTGTCAGCCCGCTATATACACTAGCTATTTATAATAATAGTAACTAATTTTAATATAGCAGCAGCCAGCCTTATATTTATAGCTCGTGCGGTAGCTATAATAGCTAATAAATTTATGGATAATACAGGGTTTGCAATAGCTAGTAATAAGGATAATAATCTTAACTTTATAAACTATATAATATTAGGGGAGAATAAAGAAGTAGATAACAAGAATAATAAGGAAGAGAAATAGGAGGGATTTAATAAATAAAATCTACTAATTTTAGTATTTTAACCTAGATACAGGCTATAATTAAGAGCAGGACCCCTAATAAATATATAAAAAAAAGAAAACTAACTATAGAATTCTATAGAAACTATAGAATCTCTAGGTAGACTATATTATATATAATCTCTATACCTAATTCTATTAGAATTATTAGCTATATAATATTTATAATATAAGAAAGCACTATATATAACTAATTATAAGAGAAGGCTAGTAATCATAAATCAAGACTTATAATCTATAATAATTAACCCTAGGACTTATTAATAGTTATTATAAAGTAGGGATAGACCAGAAATTAATATTAAGATAACTTAAAAGGAAGTTTTAAAGCCTTTAAATAAAGAATAATATAGGAAATTATATAAATAGTCCCTGTATAATTACCTATAAGAATATAGCTAATAATTAAGTACTTCTCTAGGCCTATAATAAATAATTAAGTACTATTATAAAGGCCTTCTACTAGTTATAAATTATATAATACTATAATTAGTATACTCTTCTTTAACTATAAAGTAGATAGTAGCATGCCTAAAAGATTAATTAAGGTAATATAATTATAGGTAAACTCCTTATAGCTAGCTACTATATTATTTATTAATACCTTATCTATTGCATAATAAGGAGTTTCCAGCCCTAATAAATAGGTAGTAATTTTATTATTAAACTTATTTAGTCTTATATTTTAGACTACTAGAATAACTTAATCTATAAAAAAAATATTATATAGAGAACTCCTTAAAACTATAGATAGAAAGATATACTTATAAAGATTATTAGTAGTCCTTATATAGCTCTATATAATATAGCCTAGAAAAATAATTAGGCTATTTAGACTAGGATTATAAAATATATAGCCTAGCTAGTCTATATATTTATAATTTATACTAGTTAGGGGCAGATATATATTATAGGTAAGGTAAAGAACTATTAATTATTACTAGAGAAAAGACTACTATAGACAGGCTACTATTATTATAAATTATAGTACCTTAGTAATTACTAGTAGGGTCTAGGCAAAGTCCCCACCTATAAAAATTAAAACTCTACTAAATAGGTAATTATCCTTATAAATATCCTAAAGGATCTAATTTACTACTTTAAAATTATAATAGTATTATATTAGTACTTTATCCTAGATAATTAAGTCAATCTTACACAATTAACAGGCTAGATTAGACTATAAAGGAATAAAGTATATGAATACCTTGTTTAACTTAAGAGAAATATAGAACATTAAATAGGCTGTATAACCATATAGGAGGAGTAAAGCAGCAACCCCTAAAGAAGCTATATAGACTACCTGCTTCTCTATAGCCTAGAGATAATAATAAATAGCCTAATAAAGAAATATCTTACCTGTACTACCAGGCCCCTAGAGGAAGAAACTAGTTACAGCCCTACTAAGAATAGCCACAATAACCTAGTCAAAGTAGTCATATTAGTCATTATTTAGATTACCTACTAATTATAGGGTAATTTCAGCTAGATCCTCTAGTAGGAACTATTCTAATATAATATTAATATCTACCCCTCCTAACTAGAGCACTATATCTAGCTCGTAACCCTATACTCTCTAGGGAGCAGGCAAACTATACTACCCTAAAGTAGAACTATAAGTCTAAAGAATATGATTTAAAAAGAAGAGACCTAGGTCAAGATATAGTTTATTAAAACCTAGGGAAACTACTATATACTCTAGGTAATATAATAAATTATTATAAATATTATTTTTATATATATTTTAAAGAGTTAATAAATTACTAAGCTTACTAAATTATAAAGTAATTATAAAAAGATTATATAAAACTAACCTAATCTTATAAATCTTTACCTTATTAAAAGCTACATACCATTTATAATTATCTTCTAATAGATTTATAGCTCTGCAGGCATCCTTAAAGATTAGATATAAGATACTATTAACTATATACAGGTCTTTAAAAGAAGTAGGGCCTATTTTAATAGTTAGGAGTAAGTATATATAGAATCTCTTATTATAATTAGGACTATAATAATACAGGCAACTAATTATAAACCCAGCCTGACAAGATCTCTATATATATCTAGACTAATCCCAGGTAAAGGTCTACAGTATCTAATTATAAAGATAATATAGGAAATCCTAGAGAACTATAATAATATTATAATAAAAAAATATTATTAAAGAAATATAAAAATAGGCTAATCAAGTCTCTAAATAGGCTGTAGTATTACCTATATTATAAGAAATAACATGCTTCCCAGGCTTATAAACCTAAAGAGCTATAACTAGAGGCTACTCCTAGTATAATAGGAACTATAGAATATAATAGATACTCTTTAGTAAACTAAAATAGGTAGACTTTATATAAATTTTAACCTTATTAACTCCTATAATCTACAGAGTTATATAGTCTAGACCCTTATAAATATATTTTATAATATATTTAACCATATTAACCCTATAACAGACCTTAACATTTACATGGGACTAGTATTACTTTAAAAGATATAGATTATATAGGACTACTTACTTATCTATAATTAAAAACTTCCTCCCTAATAAATCTTTATTAAAGGCTATATAAGGATAATAATAATATTAATATTAAGAATATCTATATTTATTTAACTAGGTCTCTAATATACAGGCCTTCAGAAAATCTTTAGTATAGTAAATTTTATTAGTAGTATTACTTTTAGAGAATCTTATTCTATAATATAGAGTATATAAGTTAAATACTAGACTATAGGACTAGTAGATTATATAAGTATAGACTAGATTATATAATTCTAGGTTATTTATAGGATTAGGTAGCTCTACTAAGACTACCTAATTAATATAATAAGACTCTAAAAAACAGTCCTAGCCCTCTAAAAAGAGTAATAAATATATATATAATAGACTATACTTCTAATACTTAATAGTATAAAATCAGCTAATAATTTTTTTAAAGATATTCTTTATATACAGGTCCTTAACTAGTATAGCTTATTTTAACTTAAAAATATATATAACCAACTCTAGATAGTTATCTAGGATCTAGCCAGGCAGTAGTTCCTATATAATTTTATTCTAATAGGAATTTACTATAAAGATAATAAAGAGAGATAATAGTCTATAAAACTAATAAATTACTATAGTATTCTAGAATAGCTATTACATATATTAAGGACTACTAACTATAGAGGAAGAAAGAATAATTTTCTAGCTTATATTAGTAAGTATATAAATATTACTATCTATATAGATTAAGATATCCTAAATACCTATATATAGATTAGACTATATAATATCCTGGTTCTACTTAACCTAGTCAAGCCTAGACTAGTAAATAGTAGCCCAGGCATTAACTAAATACTACTACTATAGCTAACTAGCCTATAGCTAGGGACTAAAATACCTATAATACTAGAATAAGTAATAAACGTGAAATACTTGGGCTATAGTATAGGAATTTTATCTTTCTTTATTAAGGTCATCTAGCTACAAACCCTAATACTAGCCGGCATTATTATACGGGAATAGTACGAGATATTATAATAAAAGGTAGGAAATATAGCTTAAGTTAATATAGATTAAACCTAAATTATTATCAGACTAATATAGCTATAAGATGATATTCTAAAAAATATACTAACTAAAGTTATCTATAATATTAAGTATAATAGCCACAACCTTATTATAGATAGGGATATTATAGTAGTAATAGTTTATATCTTCCTTTATAACTAACTATATATTAAGGGCAAATATAATATTAATAGGGGTATTATAGATCTCTACTATACCTAATTATTTTAGGGTAGTCTTATATAATAGAATAAAGGAATTATACTTTAAAAGAACCTATATAATATAGCCTAGAATAGATATATTAAAGTAAGGATCCTAAGCATGGCAGATCTTATTATTATATACTAGATTATAAAGCCAAACCTATATAAATATTAGCTACTTACTATTCTTAGTAAGTAAGGGACTATATATATGGTATAACTAACTATAAATTTAAAAAAAACTATAACCTAAAATCTAGTTATTCCTATAATAGATTAGACCTGTAAAATAGATTATACTATTATACTATCAAATATAGCAGCAAAACTTAATAACTTTAGTATTCATGCTAGACTATAGATTATATATATTTAATAGAGTATTAACTAGAGATAGATAGACTATACTATATAAATAGTATTTAGTAAATATAAGATTATATAATATAAAATTATTATTATACTTATTCTTCCAGTAAAGAGCCCTATAGTAAGGACACTCTAGATTTATATAGCTAAGAACTAGGGGGTATAGAGTATGTAATTTAGATTAATAGCCCTTAAGATTTAGAGAAGTATTAGTAATAGGAGGCACAGGGGGTATAGAGGAAGTTATTAAGAGGAGATATTTAACTATAAAATAGCTATTTCTATAATCATACAGCTACAAAATATTAGAAATAGGTATATAATAAAGAAAAAATATATATAGTAATTAAAATATCTAGCCTAAGAATACTTAATAACTATATAATAGGGTATAGCTAGAGAAAAATTATCTAGAGACTTTAAAATCTTATAGTTAGAGTAGTATTTTTAGCCTAGGATAGCCTTATACCTTCACTAGTATTATAGAGAGTACTTAATTAGACTATCTATAGTATCTATAAAGCACCTTGAACATAACTATAGTATAATAACAGACTATAAAGCTAGATAATATAGGGAGCCTTGCATCTAACCAGGTTAACCAACATGTCTGGATCTATGGCGCGATGAAAGCAAAAAAATGGCCCTGCGGGCTATAGTTCTTCCAAACCGCTAGTGCGCGTAGAACTCAGCACGGTGTACGGGTCATACCACGGGTGTTTGAGGGGGACTTTCATATATTATTTAATTCAGGGGATGTTCAGGTGGCTGAGTAAGCGCACATCAGGCAGTTACGCAAAACTTATTGCCAGAGCCGCCAAGTAGTGAATCTGTTCAATGGCGCACGATCATTATTATTGGGACTAGTTTGTCCACAGCCCACACTGGTCGTCCATCCTCCTTTTCTGCCGACAATTGTCACTTCTCCTCGTTTGACTTCAGATTCAAGGGCCTCGGAGCGTGTGCGGTCATTGATATCGAGTCCTTGTCTCCTTTCGCCCCACCTCTTGGCCTTCGGGTTATGCCCATATCGTCAACGGCGACCTTTCCGATCCATCACGACGCGCCGAGGTTTATGGGGAAAGCCACCTCAGCCGCATCACCTTGATTTGAACGGCACACACAATGGGTAAGCTTGCAGCAGATGGCCAGCCAGATGCTGGACTGAGAAGCCTGGATCATTGTATGTGTCCCCTATTGAATCTCCTCCAAAACGAAGATAAATTGACCTCCTGGTGACTTAGATCGCAACCAACTCCCCTCCTGGCGATACTGGCCGCGACAGAAACTTCTCCCATTGATTCGATATGAGACGCCGTATCTAGCCTGGTGTCAGGAGAATATTCGCACTCCGACCTTGGATTCCTATTTCGCATTCACCGCCAACCTGGGGACGCACACCTTTTTCATGGTGTTCCTGCCAATCTTGTTCTGGAGCGGGCATCCGAGTTTAGGACGAGGGTAGGTGGTTATTGAACCTGGACGACAGAAAAATGTGGTAGGAGAAGACAGGGATTTTTCAACTAATGCGCAAGTTATGGACTAGGATGGTACATCTACTAGCTTGCGGTGTGTTCTTTAGCGGTTTCGTCAAGGACCTCCTCTGTCTCCCGCGACCACTCTCTCCCCCCCTACAGAGAATCACAATGTCCGGGTCTGCGGCTCTAGAATACGGCTTTCCTTCGACCCATTCGACCAACGCAGTCTCCGTCGCAGTTTATGCCCTCTACCTGCTCAACTCGCCGGATTCCACCCTAGGTCCCAGTCTCAATTTCTTCCTCCAGGCAGTAACATATCTTTATGTCAGCTCAATCGTGATCGGGCGCTTGTACTGTGGTATGCACGGGTTCTTCGATGTCATCATTGGCTCCCTTCTAGGTGCCTTGCTAGCCGTCATACACTACGCCTATGAACCTATAATCGACCAGTATGTCTATTCCGGAAGTGGGAAGCAGATGGCGCTGGTGGTGGTTGTAATATTAGCCCTCGTTCGGATCCACCCCGAGCCTGCAGATGATTGCCCGTGCTTTGATGATAGTGTGGCTTTTGCGGGGGTGATGATTGGGGCACAGGTGGCTTACTACACCGTGGCTAGAGCCAATGCCCGTTGGGACTTGCCTCATCCAGCAAGTCTTCCTTACGGGCTCGAACGCCTCGGGGTGTTCAAAATGAGTCTTCGATTCATAATCGGAGTGTTGTTGCTATTTGCGTGGAGGGAGTTCATGAAACCTTTTCTTCTGCGGGTGTTGCCTCCAGTGTTTCGAGGGTTGGAAAAGGTCGGACTGGATCTTCCTCGTCGGTTCTTTACCAGAGCTTCGTAAGCCCCCTTTGCCCGGTGATATTTTCACCTTAATATGCTGATGCGCTCAAAGCCAATATACAAAGGTCCCAGCTCATCTAAAGGATCACGAATTGATCCCAAGCTTTTCCGATATTCCTTCGATAATCACCAACATTCGCCATCCCAAACGGCGCGCAATCTCTATTGGACCTCAGTCTGAAGCCGATGCATACGAGACGCTCGCATACCGCGAGAAGCGCCGCCGCGAGAGCCTGTCGAGTGGGTATCGAGGTTACCCTGTCGTTGAAGGTCATCCCCATGAGTCCTCAACATCTGGTGTAGAGCCCTCTAAACTATCGCGCAAATATTCAAAGCTGGAAGATTATGAGCATATGATGGGAACAGGGTCCACCGCCATCGAGCCCGGCTCTCAGTCTCCGAATGGGATGGAACCGTTCCCCGAGTTTGTTTCTGACGAGCGCGATGAGCAAGCTTTGTTCTCCCAAATCAAACGACCTCGCGTGCGCTATGATGTCGAGGTGGTGACCAAGCTGGTGGTGTATTCTGGTATGCTTCTTCCTCCCCAGGTCCCCGCGCATTCCATATTTACTAACCCCCTTTTCATAGGAATTGCCTGGATTGTGATCGACGGAGCCCCCATTTTATTCCAATTAATAGGACTTATGCCGTAGTACGAGAATGATTAAGACGACCTTTCAATTCCTTGGTTCAGCCGGCTGAACCGCCATGTAGTATAGTTTCCCGGGTTTCTGATGTGTACATATGAATTCCGGTTCATGTTCAAGATCACTTTTGCTTGATATCTAGATCTCTCTTCTGATATCTAGAGTTTCCCTTGCTTTTTTGTTTGTTTAACATGTTGGTTTAGAATGCACAACTATTTAATTTCTACGCTTTCTTTCTTCTCCTGATATCCGCTGTCTTACCACGTGACTCTATATGTCCCTAAGCGGCTAGCTCCATGCCAGTACACGCTGACTCAGCTGTTCCACTTCTTGCTCTTCTCCATCCTAAAGAAAGCATCCAAAGGACGAGAAACAATCGCTTCCCCAATCCTGCTTTGTGTTGCTTTTGAGGTCGATCCATCAGACTCTCTCTTGCTTCACTTCATCTATCATCTGCCCACCACCACCTCTTTACTCCCCCCGCTTGCTCATGGAGCATCCCCTCACTGCTGTGATTGTTGCGACCACAACGAAGGCCAGGGTATTCACCCATGGCCAGGGATTGTGATCTGATTTGTTTCGTTTCCTCTCCCCCCACCGCATACTCTTTCATTGTCACTCTTCTGCTTATCGTCCTCTTCTGCTTTCCTACTTTCTTCAGGACCTCGTCGCCCACCCGAAAATTCCCCCAATATCCCGATTCCCGCGCTGACTTCTCTCCCAATACGCCTGTAAAGCCTCCGCGTCGAACCCGACAAGAACAGCGCGTCATGGCTGACCGCTCCTCTGCTGAACAACTGGAGATGGAGGACGTGGTTATGATGGACGCGAGCGTCCTCTCTACAGATGATTCGCGTCTAGGATTTGGTGATGGTGTATTTGACCCAATGGAAATCAGCACTCCATCCCCCGCTGCCCATAGTTCCCAGGCTACTCAGACAATCGGGTTTTGCGGCGCAGAAAAAGCCCTTCCCGACTCCTATCCCACCTTCATACCACCCGGACAACGTGCAGCACCTCTTTATATAAGGCTGGGTGGCAATTCTTCGCTTGGCTCTCATATCCGCGCCCCCGTAATGCGGCCTCGGACGCGCTTTTCTTTCTCGCCCAAGTCGCGATCCCGCGAGCAATCAATCAAACCTGTCCATCCCCGCCTCGCAGACTTACAACCTTACCAGAAGCCTCGCCGATATAACTCCTACAACTGTTTCAGTTTTGCCCACAATTCCCAAGGTTTCAATTCTCTTCCCGGCCGACAGGCGCCGTCTTTTGTCCAAGCACCCACAACACGCGATTCATCTTTCAGCAGCATCGATACGCAGAAATCCACAGATGATGGCAAGGCCAATAGCTTCGATTCAGCAACCTCCATCTCGACGTCTTATTCCTCCTCCTCGCGCAAACGATCAACCGACGATGACCAAAACGATCAGCTCTCTTCCACTTCGGACACTGGCAGTCGTCTCTTCTCAAAATACCGGCGTGTGAGTGACGAGGGCTCCGGTCTTCCTAGCGGACCCCCCGAAACTTCAGACACTGCAGGTCAGGCTCGACCTTTGGATGAGCGGACCCTGCTTTCAGCGTCGGGTCAGCCTAAGTTCCAGTCGACAACCTCATCTACGCCTATCGTGTCGCCCACCTCTCTCTCTCCTAGGCCCAGGGAATCGCCCGTGCCGACGTACCCCAATCCCTCCCAAGATTCTGTACCCGGCTGCTGGCCCGGTGTATCATATCCAATTGAGTCTTCCTCACCACCGGCGCAAGATCACACAGAACGGGCTTTGATGCCCGGCGCACTTCTTCCACCAAACAGCAGCCATATCACAAAGAACAAAGGTGATGACAAGGATATTTGCATTGATGAGCAGCCGCTAAACTCTACCTGGCGCACCTATTGGTCTTCGTTGTATGATACCATCACAACTGCGGTCAAAAGTACCGTGTCTCTGGCAGACTCCATCCAGCAACGAGTATTTGGCATTTTTGAGAAAAAGGCCCCGTCCACACGCCGTTCATCCCCCGCCGCGAAGCATTCTCCCGTTCGCGCAAACATTCGTGCCCTACCAACAGAGCAGCGGCGCCGGCTCAAGGACCATCAATGGCGCAAAGACAGAGGATATCCAACTGTCGAGGACTATCCTTTTCCGGAGTTGTCGTTTGACGGCCCATATTTTCCAAAATCGCCCGAGCCAGCAGTCAAAGTTGAACCTCAGGTTGTGCCAAGTGAGGCAGGGCCTGTGGAGCCGACTGATGCATTTCACCAACCTCGCAAGTCCGTCAGTCGGGTGGAAGCTTCTATTCGCCGCCAGCTGTTTTCCATGGCCAAAGCACCGAACCGCAGTGAGCCTACGTCCGGTGTTCGTAAGGTGTCGCGAGTTGATCCCGTAAGCCCTCAGTTGAAGCGTCGAATGCTTCTGCGTACTAGAACAAGGGACCCCGAACGTGCCCGACGGGAACGTGCGCTGCTTCAGGCACTACGTACTGGAAACTTTGATGCGTTTAATGAGATTCAGAAAGGCCCAGCTATCCCTAAAGTTCCCGAAACAGATCAGCCTCTTACCACGCGCTCCAAACCACGGCCTAAGGTTCGCTTCCAGGAACCTCTCATCGCCGAGCCCGTGCATGAAGAACACTCGATGATTGTTACTGAGCTTGCTCCTCATCTTCACCCATCTAACCTGCAGGTTGATCACCTTCCCAAGTCAGGTGATAATATAGTTGACGAAGCGTCCCTTGAGCAAAAGGAGAATATACCACCGTTGCCTGGACTTGATGTGGAGTTTGTTAGTGAGGCTGTACGTCAGGATCTAGTTGAGCCCCCTGTCGACCCATGGCTTCAACCACAGGAGTTTCCCCTTGGGAGACCCGTGTCAGCTGTGAGCCTTTTCTATCCCATTTCAAAGCCACTTCCCCCTGGTCGAACCAAATCTCTTTACGCGGATATATGGCGGAAAATTGAAGAGGAGGAGAAACTCAAGTTACGCCCTATTAGAATTCGCCCTGAAGGCCCAGCTGTGCGCCCTCTTACCCCAAAATGGGAGGCGCGAGTTGATGAAGTCAAAGCAATGCCCAATCATAGAAAAATTGCGACTACACTATCCGGTGATCCACTCACACGGAAAGATCTTGCTACATGTTTCACCCCGGGCGCTTGGTTGAACGACGAGGTCATTAACTCGTATCTCGCTCTTATTATCGACTACCTGCGCAGAACGAATGGCAATGCTGGACGTCATGACAAACCCAAGTTTCATGCGTTTAACTCGTTCTTTTTTTCAAATCTCCGCGATAAGGGATACGAATCAGTGCGTCGTTGGGCTTCTCGCGCAAAAATCGGCGGAGAGGCTCTCCTCAACGTTGACACAGTATTTGTACCAGTACACAATAGCTCTCACTGGACTTTGATCATCGTCAAGCCATCCGATCGAACAATTGAAAATTTTGATTCCCTTGGGTCACTTTCGCGCCGTCATGTCGCGATTGTGAAGACCTGGCTCCGCGGGGAGCTCGGTTCTCACTACGTTGATGAGGAGTGGACAGTCCTCCCTTCTATTTCTCCCCAGCAAGACAACGGCAGTGACTGTGGCGTATTCCTTCTTTCCACTGCCAAGGCGGTTGCGATTGATATTGAGCCAATGTCCTACGGTGCTAAAGATACTCGATTATTACGAAAGAAGATCGTCGCGGAGTTGATGAATGGAGGGTTAGATGGGGACTTTGACCCCACGGATGAAAAGGGGGACGTTTTGCTATAAGACACGTTCCCACACTAACACACACACACACACATACAAAATGTACGAATATACGAATCTAAGCGGGTGGGGAGTTGCTTGTTTTTGACTTTTTTTTTTCGGTGTTGGTTTGGACTGGTTTTGTTTTTTACCTTTTGCATTCTGCATTCTGGTGTTTATGGGTTACACTGCGGTGACAGCACTTGATTTTGCATTCTATGAGCACCAGGGACATGAGCGTGGCGTTTTTTTTTTTTTTTTTTCCCTTGTCATGATGTTTTTGTGCTTTGGGATACCCGTCAGATGAAGCTTCGGACTCCTGACATGAGCATTGAGAAGGAGGAGTTTTCCTGTGAATACGAATTGCTTTCTGTATCTAGCCGGGGGGAAGGTTCACAATGTTGTTGCGCAGATAGGATATGATGCTCACCTTGTTGTTACACTTGGTAGTTTATCCTGGAATCGAACTAGGGGTAAATAAGTAGTTCCTTCTTGTATTGATGTCATCACTACAGATAATCCCCCATCATCTACATTACATTTTGTCTAAGAAACAGAACCTTTTGTATCAGGTTTGTAAGCTCTTATTCGAGGAACCCCCCGTCTTTCCCCGATGTTTTTCGACGGAAGCGCTTCCTCGCGGTATCGTACAAAAGGAACATCCAACCCAGGAGTGGAAAGATTATACGCAAGCTCAATCCATTCAATACCCAGATACACGCTCTGGCCCACGGCCATATCCCCCGTCCAAACGCCACCATCACTCCAAAGGTTCAATGCAACAAGGCTCGGGCGATCCGGCACACCAAGCTCTATCACGGTCTGCAGCTGATCATCCGCATACCAGCGCGTCGCGCCGGGGGCCCAGTCCATGCGATGTGTCACCCACGTCGTCCAGGGCGCTGGGAGATCCGTCACGGTACGACTAAACCCCGGGGTCATTCTATCACTGACCGGGTCGTAGTCCGGCTGGTTCGCGTAGTGGATGGTACGTTGCGAGTCGGAGGTGAGGATCTCCAGATCCGACTCGCATGTTGCAGAGCGGTAGATGAACATGCCTGCGCACGCCCCCGGTGGAACCCTTTCGGCTGCTCTCCCGGGGTCCTGGCTGGGGGAGTCGTTCTCGGAAATGGTCGACTGCGACATCAGGCGCATCCGCACGCGCCACGAACAATGTTGGTAGTTTCCCAGACGGCTTTCGATCTCCGCTGTTGAGAAGTAGTTGGAGAATCGCGTAGTGCGGAGGACAAGGATACTGGAGCTGGGTTGGTCTGGGTGTTGGGTGAGGAAGACGTTTGCTTTGGAGTTGACCATGGGCCAGGAGCTGTCTCCGGTGGGTTCCCGACGCCATGACTGGGCTTCCCAGGCGGTGTTGAAGGGAGTGTGTTCGAGGGGAATCTGGGTGGTATTCTGGACGGTGGACATGGCGCGAAAGTCCCAGAATTTGTAGTGTGTGAAGTCGGCTGTGTCGGAGCCCAGGATGGGGATGTCTTTCGTGGGATTGTGAAGAGGGAGAGCGAATGAGGAGGCTACAGTACTCAAGGAGAGACTGGGGAGAATGAATATCTTCATGGGTAAGGGATAAGGAGGTATCAATAAAGGCATAATTGGTCGTTATGTGCCGGTGGAGGGAGAATATCGTGAGTCTTCTCCGCGCAGTCATTTTTCGTTGGAGGATTCTTAGGGCAAGGAGGCCTATAGTTCTTTCCTTCGACATCGCCCCCATTACACGGCCAGAAGATTCTTTATGGATTTGTTTGACCTCAATAGAAATATTGATTTATGTGAATTATCACCATTTTTTGCTTTCTCCTTTCTGGTATTGCGTTAAGTACCTTCTGTCATTCGAAGTAGTCCCCATCGCCCAGTTTGTATGGGGAAAAATTCCCCCCGCAGCCACTTTTGTCACAGTTAAGCCTTGCCTGCATCTTCGTCGCCCAACGACGGTCGGTGGATATGTGAGGGGGTTTATTGGTTCACGGGAATGAGAGATTTTATTATGATCCCCCTTCTAGACCCATTCAGTAGTCATACTGGGGTGTTGTCGGGTTGGATGTTGTTGTCGGAAGGCGTCTCAAGACGTCCAGCGACCAATTTAGACGACACAGTAGGTATCTTCTCTAGCATCTTTTCCTTAGCTCACTCTTATTTTATCTTTCTTAATTGCAAACTCGACCGTATTTCCTTTTTTCTTTCATATATTTCCTTCTTTTTCCGACTTGATTGTTAAAACTTTCCTGGTCCTCCTCGTATTCCTGAAGTACATGAAGTACACCTTCTCTGCCCTATATCATCATACTCCGTTAACGCAAACAACTCCATAGATACTGTAACAAGAGAAATGTTTTCAGTCCGGCGTTCTATTTACGTCAACCCATCCGCATTCAAGGCAGGCTACACCCCGACTCCCCTAATACCGCTCCCGGAGCTAGCAGCGAAACTCGGGGTTCGCAGTGTTCTCGTGAAATATGAAGGAAGCCGCTTAGGGCTGCCGTCATTCAAAGTACTTGGTGCATCGTGGGGGGTGCTATCGCGCGATCGCCGCCTATCTCGGCCGTCCAACAAACGTCAGCTTGGAAATCATGTCTGCCATGGCGAAAGAAAAATCAGTGACGCTTTTTGCACCAACCCAAGGGAACCATGGCCGAGCAGTAGCATTCATGGCTCGAATTCTGGGTATTGGCTGCCGGATTTTCGTATCCCAGTCCAGGGACCAGCCGACCATGATGGTTGAGATTGAAAACCAACTGGCTCACATGGGTCTCCAGGGCAGCGTCATGTTCACCCCTGTTGGAGTGGGTAGTCTCGCAAATACCGTAGCAACATTTTTGTAAATCGCGCGATATACCTCTCTCTGTGGTTGCAGTCGAGCCAGATACTGCTGCTTGTCTGCAGGCCAGTTTACGAGCTGGACAGTTAACACCAATTGAGACATCAGCAACGATCATGGATGGTCTGAATTGTGGCACCGTGTCAACCTTGATTTGATATTGAACGACCAGATTTGAGTGAAATCCGAATCCCTAGGAACCTTCGTCGCGAGTGCTCGAATGAGGTATGTAGCACCATATATACATTTATATATTGTTAGGGCTTGGGACGGTACGAGTCATCAAGATTCCGAAAGTTGAAATAACCCTACCTACTCTGTAGAAATCGACAACACTTGATGGGATTCTTATATCATTTTTATATCATGAGTGTTGATATCAAACATTCTGTTCAGGATGGATACTATGTGCAAAGAACACATTCAAAGCTGAGCGGAATTTGGAGGCGGATGTATGGTGATGTACCTACAGGTATACCTATAACATAGGGCTTGTAACAGGTTGGGTAATACTGATACCTGGTAAAAGCGTAGGGCCCTATCCCTGGTGAAATTTATGTAAGATGACGCTTTGGGAGGATTTCTGTTATTTATGTTTGCCAATCATGAAAGCTTTTGCTGTTTCATTTCCGTGGCGATAAGACACCTCCTGCAAATGATTGGCTGAGCGAGAGTCAGCTGGATGCAGAGTTTACGCTAATGCAGCTACCAATGGCACTAATCCAGATAGGGTTATTGACTTTCCTTGGGTTGCCTTGGGATTGTATTGTCACAATATGGTATTATGTATGGTAATTTTGAGCCATTTCGATCCCCACCATGGCTTTGCCAATAAATATGAATTGAGCAAGAGATATCTCCATTATAATTCTGATAATAGAAGAATCAACGTTGAAGATAATTATTGAAAAGAAAAAAGGATCTACGCAGTCAAAAGGAAGGTATGAATGAGGAAGAATGAGTGATGGTTGATGAGGCCACCGACCGTCTTCACCGCGCTAGTGGAAAATTACAAAAAAAGGGAGGGGGGGCATAAGGCAACTGACAAAGGGCACGACTTGACCTTTGCAGGTTTCAACACAGGCTCACTTGCATTCCAGCCTCTCTCTCTCTCTCTCTCTCTCTCTCTCTCCTGCCAACTACCACCACCACAGTCTCCATCCATCTCCATTTCTATCCCCCTCTCAATCATCAAAATACTATCAATATTGTCGTCAAAATGGACCTAACCCGCTGTTAAAGTGTCGTACGAGTGCAGATTTCCATCAAACCCCTTCGAAACCCGCCACTTCATCCCTGGATCTCGCTTTTGTCATCTCCCTCCCCAGCCCTATCCCCCCCATCATGACCGCCACTCTTGAACGCAGTCTCTCTCGTACCTCGAGCATTTCTCTACCGATATCTAGCCCCATGATCTCTCTCCGACACGAGACGACTTCGCCCATGTCTGACTCGTCTCTCTCCCACATTCACGATCGTTTAACCCTCCTTGACTCGCGTGTACTGGAACTACGATCCAACATTCTCACCAAGGACGGCTATGTCGAGCGACGCAACCGCGAAGATGAGCATCTTCGACGTGAATTCGAAGCCCACCGCTCCATCAGCAACAGGATCGATTTGAATGTTGTGGCGCTGAGAACGGACGTTGACCAACTCAAATCGGGAATTTTGCAACTGAAGTCTAGCCTGGGCCAAGCTAGCAATGAAACAGTCTTCCTCCGCAGTGATGTTGACCGGCTCTCCAAGAATGTCGACCAGATACAGTCCGATGTAGAGCATCTCCAGACCGACGTTTGCGGATGCCGCGTGGAAATCAGCAAACTGCACTCGACTATAAGCCAGCTTCGGACCGATCTGATTACCCTACAACACGAAACGTCGCGGCATTTGAACTCGGTTTTTGAGCGGTTCTCTTTGATCGAGTCGCGTATGAAGCATTCGGAACGAGTGCGGTTCAACTCGCTGGCTCATACCACCCATGCTCCTATCACTCCTGTCCCTGTTGTTGAAGAGGATGGGTCTCTACGCTGGCCAGAATATTTCCCACGCACTGTGTGGAGATTCTGGTGTTTAAAGAAGCGCAGCCGACGTGAGTCGTGCGACAAGTCCTCCCTGGGATTATTCTAATGTTTGTCTTCTAGTGAACCGTCTAATACTTATGTCCGACTTTTATCAGCTGGGTGGCTACGAATACTGGGGCCGCATGCACCAGGCGGACGCTATGTTTGCAAGTGATAGTGATTCAAGTGATTCGAGTGATTATCCGTCCAACCTGACCAGGGCTGAAGCTGTTCGGCTTTATCCCGAAGCCGCACATCAAGCCCTCGCTGCAACGCTCGGTCTTGTATATTACAAGATTCGGAATGAAGTTGGAGAGAGCCCATCCTCTCCTATCCAACGACCGCGCAAACGGCAACATGAGGAGGCAGATTCGGTAGCGTCTAGTTCCAAGCAGAAGCCTGCCAAGATTGCTCGCCGCCCCAACAATCTCTCACCGACCGCCCTCCACCGCCTGGTTACCGGGCCTTCTCTGGACACAAAGTCCTTGGCTTCTGAGGAATCCGACAAGCTTGGATGGAATGCTCATTCGGAGGTTTCTGATGAAACGATGAGCAAGCTTAGAGGAATTGTCTCCGAGGAAGTGGGCGTATTACTTCGCGCCTTGGAGCGTGGCCACCTCAAGTTGAAGCCCAGCCGATCCGAGCGTATGAACATGTCACCAACAGGCTCGAAAGCCGGGTCGCGGATTGACCATGTTCCTTCCGAACCAATGCCGGATGCCGAAGCTACTTTAAGTACCATTCCAACCGAGATTCTTTCGCCTTCTGCTCAAGTTGTGGTGAAGATGCAGAGAACTGAAGACCCAGAGCTTCCTGATACGGCTTCTGATACGACCAGCGCATCAAGCTGAGATTTGAAGGTTTAGCCCAACCTGATCACACTGCAGTTGTGATCTCACTCTTCCCACATGTCGTGGCACACGTCGCGTATCTTAATGATCTCGGAAGACCAATTGCCCTTGAAGGCCCTACTTTACGTCTATTGTCGCTGAACTTGTCCCTATTACAGTCCTTGAGACAGGAGATGGCACTGTTCCAACGCATGACTACCTAACCGTGTCCTATAGAGTCAACCTGTGTTTGGTTGATCAACATGTCCCGGTTTGAAGATATGTTCGCTTTGCGCTTGATAAGCATTAATAAGGCGTCTTGTATATTTTTTTTCAGATACCCTTTTTTATTTACATTGGAGTTGCTTGGGATTTTGGATTTTGGATTTTGATTTATGAAGGCGTCTTGGTCTATAATTTGGAGCTTGATTTAGCGATCAAATGAGCAATGATTATTGACTGAACCATAGCATTGACTGTCGAGCGAATCGAGCCTCTGTGCCGTGCACTCCGGACGGTGTCGGTGATTCGAGCACTGTTTATCCTTCCTAAACCCCAGTACATATAAATGCGACCTGAGCTTTGACTACGTATGCATGCGATGCGATACGTTAATTCTGTCTCCACTGATTGCTGCCAGCTGTGACTGGCGTATAGTCTAGTGCCCCTGGAGTGACTTCCAAGGTCATGCCCAGCATGTTCCATTTGGAATGTTCGTATATCGCAGCATGTATTATTTACAGGTAAATTGAATGTTTGAGCGACATGTGGTCAGCTATCACTCCGTCTCTGCCGTTAATGGCGTATCCAAGAGATCCTTCTTCAATACTTCCAAGACCTTACCTTCGTCCACGTCTCCAATATCCACTGTGCTGGATAGTGGTCGACTGCCCGCATCTGGACGAGTTGCGTCTTCCATTTCCGACTCTGGATTGTTGTGGGTATGTAAATATTCCTGTTCCAGCATGAAGCTAGATTCTTTTTGCGCGGTGGCAAGTAAATCCTGTAGGACGTAGATCGTGGGGAATTCTAAGACAACACGGTCTCGAAGGGCCGTAGCGATCGTCATCCCTGGAGCTAATGGAATCAGAACCGGCTTTTTGGTGGGGGTGCGCGGGCGATGCAGGTAGAAGTACACATTCCGATGCGGTGTCACTTTCTCGCTGGGGGGGTTGTCGGCTGGAACTTGGTGATCCGTGGGCATAGGCGTAGTTTGAGAATCTGTAGTCTCCGGGTTTCCTGGTTGTCCGCTCTCCTTTATCTCTGGAGACTCTGCCGTAGCCTGTGCAGGTGCTGCCACAGGTGCCTGCACTTGTGGGATGGAATCGTCCTTTTCTACCGGCTGCTTGGGTAGCGGAAAAGCGCGATCATAAGCCTCGGCGATTGTGCAGGTCTCGGCGTAATTCCTCGTTCTCTTTCCCCCACCTTCTGCAATCCACTCAACCGTCCAGTTCAAGCATTTGTTCCTGCAAACCATCAACCTCAAAGCCTCAACTTAAGTAACCCGATTGAGATTGCATAAACCCACCTTGCATGCCACTTCGACGAGTTCACCTTATTCCTACTCATCCCCCGTGGGGCCTTGATAACCCTAACCCCAGCAGTCTCGGCCCTCTTCAAAAACGCCACTTCTCCCTTGACCATACTCCCATGTTGTTGTTGTTGTTGTTGTTGTTGATGATGATGATGATTATGATGCGGCAGTGGCGTCCCCGACTCCAATGCCCCCCGTTTCCTCTTTCCCTTCAAGGCATCTCCACCACCCCCGAGTTGGTCCTGCTCATGCTCCAACCCAACAACAGAGAGGTCCCCATACCCCGCGCCCGCAGAGACATCCACACCGCGGTTCTCCGCGTCCCGTTCTGCGCGCTCCAAGCGACGCTCAATGCCCGTGATGAAGTTGAAGTCGCGGTCGAAGGCAGCTTCGGTTGCTAGCTCGCTGCGCCGGAGATAGGCTGCTGGGTCGCGGATTCCAGAGCACTGGGACCAGAGTTTATGGCGGCGCGTGCAAGGAAGGGAGCAAGTGCGGGTTGAGCATCGCGGACAGCGGTACTTGGGGGGGGTGATGTGGCTGGGGGTTTGGTCCTGTTAGTTTGGGGGACTTGGGTTTGTTGGAGGTTAGTAGGAGAGGTACCAGATTGCGCAGAGGTTGGTTAGGAGGGATTCGTCTTCTGTGGACATTCTGTATGTGATGAGATGGATATTTATGAATGGATTATGGGGGAGATGTTGGGTAAATGTTGACGAGAGTAAGAAGCAGGAAGAGAACTGAAGTTGAAAAAAAAAAAAAAAAAGAGGAGCCTTATCGATAAGCACGCATTTGGTGCCTGGCAGCCTCAGGTGCGCAATGCTGTCATCGCAGCTCCGGATTCTTTTCATGTCGGTTTCTCGCCTTCAAACCACCGAGATTATAAATCAAAGCTCACATCAATTCATTCTCTTGGCTTCTTAATATATATTTGTCCTGCCATGGAAACACTTCACGTTATAAAGCATATAAAGTCATTCCTCTACTACTACTAATGGCCACCAAACCGTTCGCGATCATCGCTGGTGTCGGCCCCGGTACTGTAGGCTTATCACATAACCCCACGGCTATAATATGAATCATTGTTGATGAAAAATAGGGAGCCAGCATCGCCCGGAAATTTGCCCAGGCGTACTCTGTTGTTGTTCTGGCCCGGAACGCAGCAAACTACAAGCCTCTAGTACAGGAGATCAACTCCTCTGGCGGACAGGCCCTCGGCATCAGTTCCGACCTTTCAGACTCAGAGAGTGTCAAATCCGCATTTAAGCAGATCTCCCAGCACCATGCAAGCTCGCCTCTTGCGGCAGCGGTGTTCAACGTGGGCGGGGGATTCGTAAAGAAGCCGTTTCTCGAACTTACCGAAGAGGAGTTCACACTGGGCTACCGGAGCCAGGGGTACGCTTATCAGCTAGAGGAATAACTATAACTATGCACCGCTCGCATTCATTACGCATATATACTGATCTAAACTACCATCTTTAGACAAGGAGGATTCAACTTTGCACAGACTTCTCTCCCTCTCCTCCTACAGGCGAAGGGATCATTGCCACACCCCCCAACCTTGATCTTCACCGGAGCCACCGCGAGTGTGAAAGGCTCGGCGACCTTCGCGACCTTTGCAACTGGGAAATTTGCCCTGCGTGCCCTGGCCCAGTCGCTCGCGCGCGAGTTCGGGCCCCAGGGCGTGCACGTCTCGCATGTTATCATCGACGGCGTGATCGATACCCCCAGGACCAAGGCATGGGCGAATGAGCACGAAGATGGGAAGCTTGATCCGGATGCGGTACGTTTGTTCCCCCCAATTGCGCTGATCCAGTCTCAGGCTGGAAATCTCTCGTCTTTCAACCCGGTGAACGCTTGAAACTGACCTGGATGGTAATTCGGGGAAGATCGCGGATGCATACTGGCATTTGCATACGCAGCCCCGCACGACGTTTGGATTCGAGTTGGATCTTCGGCCGTATGTGGAGAAGTGGTAGTGGGTACGGAGCACGGAGCACTAGGGCTTCCCTTTCGGGATAGGAGGAGGACTCTTGGAGACTTTTAATAGGTAAATTTGGCTGCGTGGTGGCAACTTGCAGGAGAAAACCCGGGGGGGGGGGGCGCGTTCCTCTGCTGATTATGTAGTACCTTGTAGTTTGTGTGTATACAGTCAGTGATCACCTGATGCCTGGTCCCACCTGACGCCTGATTTCCCCTCACCAACTGTTTTTTTGATAATTTTCAATAACTTATATCTTAACTAATATGGGTTTAATTAAAGCCGCGATAGAAGTAATTAACTTGTTAAAGATTAGTAATTTAATTAATTATACTAAGATTGTGAAAGAGTTTGATATTAATTAGATAATACTATTAAGATACTACTATAGAGTATAGTACCCTAAAGACTATTAATATAAGTAATAGTAAGTTCTTATTAATTAATATAAAAAAGAACTAATAAGCTATATTAATAAGCTTACTAAGCAAGGCCTCTTTATATCCTATAAGATATTTTAGAATTTTATAAAGAAAATTATTAGTAAGAAGTCTAGAAAATACTAGCCTAGATACTTTATAAAGTATTACTAAGATAATTTTATTTTAATTTATATAATAATTATTAATATTATATAAAAATAAGCTAATTTTATATATAAATATACTCTATATTTTAAGTTATTAAGCTAGAAGATATAATAATATAAGCTATAGCTAGAGGATATCTATAATATAGATAAGAAAGAATTTCTTATTAAAATATTAATTAAAGGTCTTAGGATCTTCTTAAAATAGAAATATATAATTAAAGAAGGGCTTAAGTAATATTTATAAAATAGAAATTATAAATAAATAATTTTAATTACTTATATTTATACTAATAAAATCTTTTTTTTACTAGATTTTATTTACTAGGCTTCTACTAGTAATATATAAGATTCCTAATTTTAAGATTTTAATCTTAAGCTTTATTCTTACTTCTTTACTTTCTTTATAAGTAATTAAACTAATAATAAGCTAGGATATATCTAATTAATTAATATATTTAATTATAAGATTAAGGACAAGATATATAAATAATAGAGATTTTTTATTCTTAATAATTATAAATCTTACTTTATTATAAAGTTTATTAATTATTATAATACTAATAAGATCTTATTAATAATATATTTACCTTATTTAACTTATTTACTATAGCTACTTAATATTAGGATCTTTAGTCCTCTCTTTACTATTTATAGTAAGAATCTTAAGAACTTTCTATATAAATTAATAGGTCTTAATTATATTACTAAATAAGATTTCTTCTACCTCTTCTAGCTAGCCTAGGAACAAGCCTTATTAATAAAAAATATCCTTTCTTTATAGCAAATTATAGGGATATGGCTACTAAATCTAGAAATAATTCTAGTTTAATTTAATAAGTAAAATAACTTTAGATCTTTCTTAAATAATTCCTTATACTCTATTCTATAGATAGAGGACTAGTAAAAGATTAAGAAACTTTTAAATTAAATTATTACTAATATATATAATAAAAATATTAAGAAATTAAGCTTAATAATATATTATCTCTCTATAGAGAATATTATTCTAAAATTATATTATTAAGGCCTTAAATTAGCCCTCTAAAATAAGAAAAAAAAATATTAATATAGGAAACTCTTATAATTTAAGCTTATAACTCCTAAAAATAATAGTTGTCACGGCGACCACGTGACATGCAACCACTGTTGAATTGAAGGGGTATCTCGTGATATACTTAGTAAGCAAAAGGGGGGTTATTACCCTATATTAAGGCCTTAGGCAAGCACACAACTCCCTAACAGACACACACATCAATATATCCAATCACCTGCTTCCATTAAGCTACCCCTAGGATCATCATATATCCAACAATTAAGAGTCTTATATTTACTTAAAGTATATAAATCTATACTAACAACCCCTACCAAAACCTACTAATTATTAAAATACCAATAACCCCTACTAAACCTACTAATTAGTAAAATACTAAGCGCAATACCTCTAATTACTAATAATAAAGATAATGTAGTAAGGCTTACTAAGTAGGAAGACTAGCTAATGTAGTAATCCTTATTTAAAGCACGGGCGAGAAACAATAATCTATAGGAAATAATAAAAGGTAGCAAGAGTTATTTATAATAATCTACTAAATTAATTAGGGATAGTAGAGAAACTTTACTAGTAAATAATATTAGGAGTTCTATAGTATTAATACAAGACTTTAACTCTGAAGTAGTACTCTATAAAATAGAAATAAATAAGTATAACTATTAGATTATAGAACTTAGGAAACTAAAAGATTAGATCTAATATATTATTTCCCTAAAGATCTATTACTTCTACTACAAGCTAATAGAAACCCTAGAGAAGTAGTATCTCAAACTAAAAGAGTATATAGTAGTTAACTAGAAATAAATTTAAAATATAGCCTATAATACCTATATAAAGGTAATCTAACCCTTGAAAGGTAATATAATTAGTTAGTTAAATAACTAGGAATTTACTATTTAATAGGCAATTAAAGCAAACCTTAAAGTTATAATATTATTACTAGACTAGGTAGAAGACTTCCTAAATATAATATATTACCTAGCTCTATCCTAGACCATATTCTATTAGTTAGACCATAAGAAAGAGATACTAGCAGGAACACTATTATTCTATACTATAGTAAATAACTTCCACAATACTATTAATATATTCCCGCAGTAGCATAGTAAGACTAGTAAAGGGGCTTTTAAACCAACATTCGCCACTAAAGATATAATAAATATAACTAGTAATAAAGAAACATCCCTACTATAGGATAAGGGAACAAAATATAAGCATAGACATGATAGTATAGGAAAAATAGACTCTAAAAGAAGTACTTTTAAGAACTTATATTAGTTATATAATATATATTCTTAAAGGCATGAATAAATATAATACTTTTATCTATTCCTAGAAAAGGTGCCCAAGGACTTCAAGAAAAGAAATATAATAAGAAAGCTAGTTAATATATAACTTAAGATAAATAAGGCCCTAGCTAAAAAGATAGTAAAGGAGCAAGAATAAAATAAATAAGATTTAGAATAACTAAAAGGAAGAAGTAATTAAAGAGTAAATTAAATAAAAGGCAGGAATAAAAATAAAGTTAAAGCTTTATTTAATATTTAATTTAAAACTATACTATATTTATTATAATACTTTATTATTCTTAACTTAAGATTATTAATTTATATATTTAATAATTTATATTAATTTAAGTAGTATATAAAATTAATATAAGATAACTATATATAAGTAGGAGACTTAAAAATACCTATTATAAGATATAGAGATATTAATATATAAGTTATAATTTAAAGAAATAAAAGTATAAAATATAGCTATATAATTCTTAAGAATATAGCTTATTATAAAGAAATAGCATATAATCTAGTATTACTTATATTACTAAATTAAATAAGTATCTATTTTAAGAATAATCCTAACTCTAACCTACTCTATACCTCTAAAGATATAATAGCAGCCTATTTTAATAAGAAATATGGCTAATTTATAATAAAATATAATAGTAAACCATACAGTATAATAGGCCAGGTAATATTCTAAACTATTACTAGTATTAGAGATACAAAATAGTAGTATTTATACCTTAGATATCTAGGATCACAAGTATTAAATTACCTAGTTAAGAATACTAAGAGGATAAGAATTAGAGAATCTACTATAGTAGAATATAATACCTATAGTATAGTAAAAATAAAGTAAAGAATTAATTAAAAGGACTATATTACTATAGAAGGACTAGATCTATAGTTAATAATTAACTTTTATAACTTTAAAATAGGGATAGATAACTACTAAGCCCTACTATTAGTTATAGATAAGTAGTTAGATTTTATATAGGACTACTACCTCTTAGACTAATATATAAAGATAATTAAAAATACCCTATTTAATCTATTTACCCTCCTAGAGAGGCAATATAATATCAAACCCTAAGTAATTAAGTTAGATAGCAAGATAAAGGGATAGTTAGAAGACTTTATATAATCTAAAGGAGCAAGACTTGACTACTCTACTCTATATATACTAACCTAAAATAGAGGTATAGAGTACTTAAGAGGTATAATAAAAGAGAAAGCACGTATAATAAGATAGGGAGTAAAACTACCTATATTTCTATAGCCTGAATATATCTATATAATAATATACCTATATAACTAAATACCTAAATATTAGGTAGGATAGAAAATACTAATTAACTAATTCTATACCTATATTACTTACTAAGATAGAGTAGTAATAAAATATAAGAAACTCTAAGAAGCTTACTTAAAGGTATATAATTATAAGATATTTATAATAATTAAACTATAAGTAATTATAATAATAAAGTATAAAAAGTAGTTTAACTTAAGAGTATTTATAGGATATATAGTAGAATATAAATCTACTAATATCTATTAAATATAGAACCTAAGGAAGGAAAGGAAGATTATTTATATAAAGAATATTATATTTAATAAGGAAGAATTCTTCTTAGGAGATAGAAATATATTTATCCAAGTAATAAAGAATAACTTCCTAATAATTAAAATTAATAAATTTAAATAAATAATTAAGGATATTAAAGTTAAAACCTATATTCTAATCTAAGGAGTATTAAATATAGATTACCCTATAATAGAGGATATTCTAGAAAATAATTTTAACTTACTTAATTATCTAGTTTAAATGTCAAGATCAGCACTTAAAGCTACAGATAAGGATAAGAATACTAACACAAATAAGTAAACAGCCTATCTAACACCACCAGGTAGCAGCCCAGAATAGTTAGCAGCAATATTGGCAGGTACTTACTAACATAAGACAGCCAAAACTAAAGAAGAAACTAAGCCAAATAGAAGCTACTAAATTATATAGAAATCAGTATTCATGGCAGGGAGATTAATATAACTAACCTAATAAGATAAAA